TCCTCGTTTTTCTCAACCTGTCTGAAAGGGCTTCCTTGTGACTTCTTGCCACACACAACACAACCATTCTTCGACCTTTCTTTGCTTTCACTTTCGTTTAAAATACAGAACAAGACACACGCTAAAAAGACAACAAACCGACCTGCGTACACGGCCAGTTTGCATTTAATATTTTTTGTTTTGGTTTTGCTCAAAAAGAGCGGGAAGCGGACGCGCGCGCGCCACGTGCGGGCGCGTTTCAGCGGCTACTTATAAAAGCCTCTTTGTACTGCACATGCGCAGACAGAATGCCCCTCTGTTGTCCAGCATATAACGTGCTAAGACTGCGTTATTGTTGAGAGGCCTGGAGCCTGGCCCTCTCCCGGTTCTGCGTTTTAAGAAGACTGCCCCTCACACTAGGAGAGGGGGGGGGAGTATAGTTATAAATAACAAAAGTAGGCCACTAAATTCAATTGATACAAAGACATGTTTTAGCTCTTTAATAAAATAGAGGTTAAGCATCACGTTTACGTCAAAACGCAAACGCGAATTTGTAACACGCGACCAAGTTTTCCCTCTGCTTGTCACCCACTGTTCATTATTTCTACACATAAATTAGTAGTTTCACGCAATTTTTTATCCAAAAGAATTTTCTGAGCTGTTTTATCTGCTCATTTTCTATTTTGAGAAATTCTTAACTTGAAACTGACGTATGCCGTTTGCAGCACACGTGAAGAGTTTAAAACTCTCTAATAGCAAATAGCGTGACATAGATTTCCGTGCCCACCATCTTTGATTTTATCACTGAGGAAGACTGGGGAGAGCAGAAACAGTAATCCTTGGGGTTGGGGTAGGGTTTGCCGGTTACGAGAGTAGAACTTCGCATGCACGTACCCGAAGAAAACGCCGGCAATACTACCCGGCTTTTAATTAAACGGGGTAGAATTGGTAAAGCTGAATAAAACTCGAGAAATGTAAGGTTAATAAACGTCGGGCTCATGTGCTGAATACTGACAACAAAGATAGAAGTTTTTTAACCTTTGCTTGTTTCACATCTGTAAAAATGTCCCAGTTAAGGCCCGCACAAACCTTCCCTTCATTTTCATTCCAGCTCTTGGAAAGCATCTCTTGAAGTTTCTATGAAAGAAAATTACGAGTTACTCTAGCATTAAATTATCAGAATAAATGTTTCCAAAACAAAATACAATGTCATACTGTTGATTTCCAATGACCATCAAACGATTAAGGTTCACGGAACTGCCATTCCTCGAACTCGAGCTCAATCTTCACAGGATTACGAGCAACATGGGAGAAAACAACATTAATTGCATTTATTTGATGTACCTCGAATGGTGTTTCCCTGATTTCCTCTAATTTCCTGTCAATCGCATCTTTTCGACTGGTGTAAAATGAGTCAAAGCAAATGTCTAAAGGAGAAGCCTAAAGAGGATATAAATAAAGAAGCACGGATGGACAAACTTGAAAAAAAGATTTAAAAAAAAGGATTGCAATTGCTTTTTGAAAACTTGTTGACTTGTTTCGTTACTTGATTAAATACATTGGGAGAGAAATTTGTTTGATACGAGGCTGCGGTTTTTTGTCATTTACAAGTAAATCCCTCACTTAACGTTAATTAATAAAGACGCGTTACTTGCAAATATATTAGGGTCTGTAAGGCTGCGTGCAAACGGACGCAACAATGCCAACAATGTTGGGAGTTGTTGCGTGCGTTTTGGCGGTGGTGTGCAAACGGATGCAACAACTCCCAACAATTTTGGGACCTGCAGTGTTTGCTTTCAGAATCAAAGTTTAAATAATTTTGAAAATGATACAATGAAAGTATCAGTTAACAAAGCAAAATTGACCGGTTTCTGAGCTAGGAACTATGCTACTATTGAACAGGTTTTCAATTTAAATGTTGCCTTCGGTCCCGAAAAGATACCAGGCCTTTCCAGAAACGGGTTCCATGTCCGATTATCGGTCGTTTCGATACCACTTTGTTTTGATACAATTTGATTCAGTCGTGACAGTTTCAAGTGTACCTGGAATAGGAATATTCACCTGAAATGTTTTAGTTGTTCACGCGCAAACTATACTTCGAAGCGATCGAAATTGTTGTGCAGGTTCACTGCTTGAGATCATATCGAAACGACTCTGTCATTAGAGAGTTTTAGATTTGAGGACGAGGACGAGTACGAGTACGAGATTTAAATTAAAGTTTTTGTGCGTGTTTTAAAAAAAGACACCCCGGAAGGCTTCATTTCACTTTTTTTTTCACCAAAAAAGTCAGCAGGGTCATTTATACTGAAGGTGGTTAAGCCGTCTCCCGATGGCAAAATGATAAAACTTCTTACATTTGACAACGTGTTCCCGCCACTACAACATTCTAGACAAAACTCGTAGTAGAATGACGAGGCTATCACGTTTTCCTCCCAAATTGACGCTGGTTCACGCGTGAGCAATACTCAGTATTGAGAAAATCTCGTAATCGTATATTCGTCCTCGTCTCAGAATCTAGAGCTCTCTATTGAAACGACCAATTTCCCCATGTCCTATAGAAATCCCTGAATCTTACATTGACCTTCTGGTCGAAGTTGTTGAATTCAAAGGGGACAGACGGCAAATTGTTGTTGCGCGATTATCGTTAGCCGGGGTTAAATTTCAATTGGGGTTTCTTTTTCTTTTGTTCAAAAGCATTTCTCGGATGATTTTCCGTATTCTTTTTAGAACATCCAATCATAAAATCCTAGACAAAATGAATTAAACTAAATTTGCTTTTTAAACCTTCATATTCAAATTTCGCACTAAACCTGGATTTTTTCTTAACACAGCTTTGAACAACCCAGCCCTGAGTATCAAATGCGTTAACGTACCTGAAAGGGGCTCCGAAAAACATCAGGGATCCCACTTGAGAAGATAATATCCCACATGAATAAGCAATAGAGCGAAGAATAGGTGGATCCTTCGCCATGAATTCCTTGGTCAAATCCCTCCTGACGATAATACGACAGTGCATATTCCTCTACTGCACAGAAGGTAGTGGAGCCATGAATGACCTCGCCATCCTGATTAATTTCGGGAGAGATGAAGACACCAAGCTCTGCACATCTTGTTCCTGTGATAGTGATCTACAGTGACCAAAATAGTTCAAAGTTGTCCACTAATCGTAAAAGAAGCTGACGTAGCCTAAGAACAGCCGACATCTCGTGACGTCACCACTAGTTTCTCTGCGAAATGAAGTATGAAGAATGACCAGAGAAATTCCATGCTGAAAATTTTGCTTCAACCAATCAGGTCATGTTAGTAGCAGCTGCTCGGTACAGAAATCACCAATGGTGCCTTACCCTGACCCCAAACAATACTGAAACAATTGAAAGAATGACATGTCATTGTTTTCTGCGACCAATCAGTAGAGACCTTGAAAAAAACCTAAAAAACAAAACGAGCAGCTCCTGCTGTTACTATGCTCATTTTTCGGATTAAAAGAACTATTTCAGGTGAAAAACACTAGGTCGTTACTGAGCCAAAAATTTGGGTCGGTCGGACGACGCTAAACGGAGAAAAAAAGAGGATGGCCTGTCTTCTAATCACAAATCAGCTATCTGAAACCAGTGGTGAAGTGAAATTAAAAGTTGCTACAGTTGTGGTACGAAGGTTACCGGTCATTTCGCCCTGATTACTGAGCCACAATAGTAGCATGCACGTCGTTATTTCGGAAATTATTACATTATGCGTTAGAAAAGTTATTAGAATTTGCGTTGAAAGATTATTACATTTTTAGCTCCCTATTTTAGAACGAGGAATATTATCTTTCATCTTTGAAGAGTGCTTGCCTTGGTTTATGGCTGAAAGAACGAGGAATATTACATTTGAAGCGCGTTTGTTTTGCTTTCTGGCTTATAGAATGAGGAATATTTCATCTTGAAGCGCGCTATATGACTCGAAAATAGGGGATAAGTAACCGGGGCGAAATGACCGGTTACCGCCGCGAAATGTGGACTGCTTTCTCAGGTTAGGGCTGACGATGACCTGGGTATAAATAGAATATCCAGGTTGAGTCGTTTCGCAATAATCCTTTGGAGCAGCTCAGCACTTTTGCAATACAAACGAAGCATTTGCCTTAAGTTTTTTTCTAGTGTTGCCGTGATGTTAATAATAATTATAATCACTGATGGTTCAACAGCGTCATTCTATGCAGATGATTGCTACCCTACCATGAAACTGTATAGTTACGACTCAGTCAATTCCAAGCGTGCCCACCCCACCCACCCCCCTTCGGCATTTGTCATTTTTGTTTGGAAAAGCTGCAAATGCCCCACGGTGGGGCCGGGCGGTTTATACAAAAACCCCACGGAGGAGCATTAAAAAAGGGTGAAAATGCCCCACCCAAGGACAACACCAAAATTGCATTTTTCGGTAAATAAGCTGCAAAGGCCATTTTTACAGGAATTCTGTAATAATCTGATCAAAACGCGAGAAGCACCCCAGCAAATCCCTTCTTAGTAGCCGCTAGTTATAATTATTGCAAAAAAATCACATTCATCTGGGCACGCTAAACTGAGCCACTTTATGGCTGAATCAGTGAGCAGGCAATCAAGTGAATCCTGTGTTCTGATTGGTCCTGCAAGAAAAACACTTTTCCTGGCCATATAATAAATCTTTATTGAGCAAGATTGTTAAGACAAGATTTCTGGTTTTTGTCCTGGTTCAATTTTCGCATTTTTATTGACCTTGACTTTGTCTTGGTCAATCAAAAAGCAAAACTGAATATCTGGCCATCTTGACCTCGCGCTTGGTCAGGAATGCAGGACTGTAACCAAGATTTCAAGTTGCCGGGTAAATACAACAAGTAGGCGGGGAATTAAACAGCTGGAGCTTTCTTTTGGCTCCCTTTATTTTTCTTCTAATTTCCTATGAAAGTAGCCGGGGGCCACATTCATAGTAGCCGGGGAAAATCTCCGGCCCCCGGCTCTTAATGACAGCCCTGCGGAATGCATATGTTTAAAAAGGCATTTAAGGTGGCTGAACACAGTTTTGGCAGTTTGTGAGTATATATTATTTGCCAAATCATGGCAAGAGAAAGGTTGCAGCTCACAAGCTGAAACTTGGCATGTGAAAAATACATTGATGAAAGGTTTCGATTGACAGGTAAAATGTGACGTTTTCGTAGTTTCCATGGCAACATGAACGATTGAATACAACCTTAAAATTTCACTTTTGCTCAGTTTACATAAAGTTTGCTCATTAGATTTTCCTATAAACTTGCACACAGCTTACTAGTATTAATCATTACCATTTGAAACTTATTTGACCAAATCTTAACAGAGAAGTTTTTAGATAATCAATAATACAATTGTACTGTAATTATTAAATGTGTTACAAAATTCGTCTGTTCAACTTCCATTTTAAAGTTCTCATTATTTAAAATACGATAAAAGGAAAAATTCTGCCAAATATCACAAAATTTTAATGAGTAGATTTTGAGAAATCGTCTTCTCTGTACCACTGCTTTTTTCGCCGCCATGTTTGCTTGTCTAATTTTAAACACGCGCCGCCACGCGAGTTACCGCTGACCGCACGCAGAACTGTGTTCAACCACCTTAATGTAACAGTAGTAGAAGCTCACACAGGACTTACAATCACACGTTCGTTAGAACATAAAATGTGATACTGATATTTCTTTTCGTTCCCCCCTCATTTTGGTACTTGTTAGGCCTCATCAGATCGTCCACAGACTGTATGTAGTAATGTTCTCTTAACAAGCCGAGATGCCACTAAAATGTGCTAGAAGTGTTTGCAAACAATTGGCGGTTTCTCGTTCTTTCCACCCCATTCTCCTCACTTCTTTGCCCTCCACGTGCCCGCTCGACAAACAAAACTGCCAGCCATTAAGGCTATCTATAATTTCTCTACGTTTTCTAAGGAAGTGCAAAAAAATATGTTTGACTACTGCCTTACACTTTTGGACGGGTTGGGTTCCTTCAAGTCCAAATCTGCAAAATCCTCGCTCTTTTTCTTCTTTCCCTTTTGAAATGCTGGTGATGATATGATGCGCTTGGCTCTCTGAATCAGGGCCAGACGGCGTCCAAACCGCACATGTGGGTCTGACAGACCTTGCCTTATTACCTCCATAGCCTAATAAAAAAATAAATTCTTACAATGATCATGTCATCTTTTAATTGGAGTTCCTTTCTTCCTGATAAAACAATGTAATATAAAAAAACTTGACAAACTTGTTAACAGTTCACAATTAGTATAAAAAGTACAGATGTACAGAACAGTAATTCGGTACAATAAACTGATAATTTCACCTTAGTTAGCCTGCCTACCTGCTAGGATAAGCAGGCGAGTGCTGAGTTTTTTGAGACCGGAGCCGTAAGAAGATAATTTGGGAGCCTCGCAGTTCGCTGCTCACGAAACTCCCTTGCTGCTTTCTTGTTAGCTTTGCTTGGTGGCGCTACCAAGATAATACCCCAGAATCCCACCAGCTACGCAGGCTACACTTTACCAAGTCTAAAACTTGAACTGTCTCAAATATTATAAAACATCTCTTAATTTACTTGCAGACTCTTTAAATATGCTAGTTTGAAAACATTAAAAGACATGTGAAAGACTGCATAGTGACGTTTCCCGAGACAAAAGAAGCACACCAATAATTATCATATAGATTTAGCCAAAGCCAAAAGCAAAGCTCTCATGGGATCTTTTAAGAAACGTCTTTCAGAGGGAATTCAAGTTTTGCCATAAACAATAAGCAAACCGAATTCTTGCTGAAGAAAGGGACCTGAGCCTGCAATCCATTGAAAACAATACTCTGGTCAGCAGAAAACTTTTAAAAAATGTCACCTCAATGAGTTATACATCTGAGCCTATGATACAGTCATGTGACACTGGTCAGCAGATGCCCTATTTTGACAGCTGTTAATTGACTATAACATGGATGTCCAATATCATTTTCAAAGCAGATTGCTTTGGACTCAAAGCTAGTGTGACATTTCACACCCGCTAACATGAAAGGCCGGAGGTATGTACAGACGATTTTGTCAAACCAAAATTTCTTGGATGCGTTCAATATAACCAAATTTTATTACCTATGGGGCTCTGCTGCACGGGCGAGAGCGCCACTGTTAAATTTCTGATTAAACTGGCCTGTTTTGAAGTGCAACAAGATAGAACATTTCTTAAGCTAAAATCCGCGGCAAAATTGTTGAGACATTGTACTCAAATAGGGTAACTACAGAGAACAAAAGAAACCACATCCCTCCACCCTCTTGACCATTCAAAGTTGGGGTGTTTGTTGTTTTCTATAGGCAGCTTGAACAGCAGCACAACATTGCATGGAGGGGATAGGGGAGGAAAAGCTTTATTTTTCCCTATGGAAGTCAGTAAAATGTCAGAAAGCCCCTTTACGGTAGGTGTCTCAACCAATTTTGTCGCTGATTGTAGCTACTCTTTGTACCTTTTCAGGTCTTTTAAGGTGCTGATGTAAATTTAATGCCAGTCTATCATACCAACGCCCTCGGGAATCAAAGCAAAAAACATCTTGCTCAAGCAACTTTTCTAACTGATTTACAGCAGCATCATACTGCCGCCATTTTTGGAACACTTCTACTCCAAAGTAGCACATCTTGGTGACAGCCCACTCAGCAGAGAAGCATCGCAAGTGCTCTGGAAGAAGAACAGCTGGAAGAGTTGCTTCTTCTTTGAGACTGGTCAAAATGTCGTCAAACTTTTTGGATGCTTCAGGATAGTAGCTGAAGGCTTTATCAAAACTGTTACTCTCCAGAGCCATAAACATCTCATGTTTCTGTTGGTAAGCTTCGGTGAATGCAATGAGGCTCTCACGGGAATGAAACACTGGTGTTGGCCTGTCAATCACATATGATGGATACAGAACTTTTCCAATGTTAGCAAGAAAAAGTGTTGACCTAGAAGTGAGATGCAGGAATAAGTAGAATGTTTCTAAAATTTAAAAGTACAGCTTTAAATCTAATCAAAAATGACAATTGTATATGCTTCCAAAGATGTAAGGCTGCTAAGTATATGGCTCTCCTGTCTAGCGCCTTCAGTGATGTGCATGGTCATACTTGTGTCTCACACTGATTTCGCTTGACAGACTAAGAAAAACTAGACTGCTCATAGCCTACAGATTTGAAGCAATCTAGGCTACCGTATGACCTGTAACATACTGTAAACTGCCACTCATAAGCCCTGGGCTTTAATATACATCTTTGTAAGGGGTTTTGGGAGGGCTCATAAACAGAGGAGAGGGGTTTATATCCGAGGTGGCTTACATGATCAAAATGAGTTTTGCATTTTCTAATTTTTAATTAACCTTTAAAATGTCATAAAAATTCCAACTTATCTCAATACAATAGGAGGGGGGCCTATGTCTGGAGCTTATAAGTGGGGGAGCTTATAAGCAGCAGTAACAAATTGTTTATGGTATGCTCACACTATAATGGATAACTCTTGTGCCCATGCATACTTAAACCAGGCCAGATACAAGGGCTGCTTTTCACGCACAAGAGTGTAGCCTCAGCTGCCTGGGCACACTTGTTACCTACCGGATGCCCTGACTGCCATGTTTGTACCTCAGCACATGTACAGTCAAAGCTCTCATAAGGGACCACCTCTGAAATAGAACTGGTCGCTTACAAGAATGAGCTCTCATAAGCAAATGCATGGTAAAACAATAGAGGGTGGTCGTTTACAAGAGCTTTAAAAACTCATTAATAATTCGTAAAGAAAAAACAAAAGAAATTAATGTTTAATGAGTGTCTTTATACCTGATGTAGACAAGGCAGCGTGCAGCGTGCAGTTTAAAGCGTTGATTTGTATGAATAACACTCTGAGTGGTCGAGCGATAAAGTAAAGTACAGTGCAAAGTAATACTTGTAGAACCACGCCCTCTGAGGGATACTTCCTGAGTTATAGATGAGACATACATTATAATAAAAATGTATTAATCATGACTGTTCAAGCTTGTACATACTTTTACTCTTGTATATAGGTAAGTATGGCAAGCCATTTGTAACAAAATTCAATCAAAAGTCTTAAAATTTTTTCAATCCAAGCATTTTAGCCTAATGCAGGGTGCAAAGAAAGTCAGTTTTACAGCATGCCATTCGGGCAAGCTGTAGCTAGCATGTACTAGCCCGAAAGTCATTTCAACTAGCCCTTCAAAAATTTGATGAGCAGGATTAATTATAGTTTTTCTGTAATTTGAATTTCCGCCCAAAAAATTCACTTGCCCATCGGGCAAGTTAAAAACAGAATTGACTAGCCCGACAGCAAAATCCACTAGTTCCGGGCTATCGGACACCACTTTCTTTCGCACGCTGCTAATGCCATTTAATTTGATCTTTCAAATAAATAATGTTTAAAGAATAAAAATAAGCATTCTGTTCAATTTAATCCTATGTTTATCAGTTCAATTTAATCAAGACCAAATATTCATTCAATCCAATCATACCACTGAAATATTCATTCAATCCATCTGAAAACACGTTCAATCCTCCACGCATTTCATTTAATCTTCCTGGGGCAAGAGCGGCTAATGCAGAAAAGTCAAATGAGGAAGACAAAGCGCACCATTTTGCCCACCATTACAAGCATACAGGTACGTGTCAAATGTTGTTTTATCTTATTTTGGGGATAATTTTTCACTTAATTTCAGTTTTATTCAGTGAAAAAGAGTTTTAAGCGCTTCTGTAAACTCCACGAGTAGTTTTAGATGATCATTTCACCGTAATACGTCATATTTACATACCCTCAGCGTGTTAGCAAGGATGAAAGTCAAGACCTTAGTCAAATTAAGCAATGTGGACCCCATGGAGCACACTGCTTGAATGCTCGAAGAGGCATCAAGGATCCTTCGAGAATCCCCGAGTTTACTGACAGCCTCACCAACTGTGAATGATGGTAATCAACGTTTCTGAAGTATTTCAGTCGGGGAGAAGCATGAAAAGCACTAGCCTAAGCATTGGAGTTTTAAAAAGGCTAAGTCATTCTTAAAGAACGAGATCACTGCCATACCCGAACCGGCAAGTATAAGCACGGGCCAGGTCCCTGCCCAGGAAACAGCAGCAAACCAAGAACAAGGGAGACAAAAAGGTTGTAGAGTTTGCCATTTTGAAGTCTGCAGAGGACAAGCAAGAGAACATGAAGTGGGACTCAGTAATAGCAACTGGAATGCTATCATTAAATGAAAATGACAATGAAGAGACAATAAGGCAATCTATAATTAACGAGTCCCTTTCAAACAAGTTTCCAGTGATTGGGTCAAATGATTTCGAGTTTGTGACAGTAAGGCAAAAAAAAATTTCTCCCATGGAACAAGGTCCAGGAACTGAGTACAGTTTTGCAGTTGTAAAGAAAATGGCAGGTCAAGGTCTTCTGTATGTAAGAATTGACCGAGGATATGAATTCTTCTATGCCCACAGTAATCATGGTTTGGAAACTTCCTATTTGGAAAAGCCAGGAGAAAATAACAATCATACTGTGAGTATCCATCCTGCACATTCTGCCGACCATATACTGTTTTCCCCGAAGATGGCGAGGATAAACAGCCCAAATTTCCTCATTTGTAGATACTTTGCTCCAGCCTGTTGCACAGAAACAACAATCCTACATTAAGGATACTACTGATTTTATAAATTTTATAAAAAACAAAGATAGGCCAGGATGCTATTTTAGTATCAATGGATGTTTGGCTTATAAATGAACATACCACAGGAAGAGGGAACAGTAATAGTACGTAAAACATACGAGTTGTTTCACAATAATGACCCTCCAATTCCCACACACTGCCTCAGAGAAATGCAACAGAAAACTCATTTGAGTTCAATGGAAACAATTATCTCCAAACCCATGGGGTTGCAATGGGCACAAAAACAGCAGTGGCTTTTGCAAATATCTAGATGGCAGAGAGTGAAACAAACCTAATCCAACAAAGTAACACCATGCAAGCCAAAACAATGGAAGCGATATATTGATGACGTTTTCTCCCTTTGGGACTATAACAGAAAAGACATGGAACTTTTATTAAAGAAGCTAACAATTTCCATCCTACAACAACGTTCACAGCCGAAATATCAGAGAACAAAATAACTTCCCTTGGTACAATAGTTTTCAAAGGAGAGCGATTCACAGAGAAATCCATCTTGGTCATCAAAACTCACTATAAGCTGACTGAAACCTTTCAATATACACACTTTGCCTCGTGCCACCCAAGAGGCTTCATTAAAGGCGGGGCAATAAGATTGCTCCGAACAAACTCTTCAAAAACAATATTTGATGAGTGCCTTGCGAAGTTTAAACAATGCCTCGAAGCACGAGGGTATCCTAAACAAGATATAGAAAGGCCGTTGTCAGAGGTCAACTCTGACCTTACACAATAATTATTGGCCCTAAAACAAAAGCAAAAAAGTAAAGAGAGACTATTGCCTTTCGTTAAAACATATCACCCAGCAGTACAAGATCTTAAAAAGACATTGATGGCAAATGGAAGTCTAATAGAAAATCAGCCTCTGCTGGAAACAATTTTTAGAAGACCTCTGATCATATCCTACAGAAGAGGTAAATCTCTGAGAGACATGCTTGTGAGGGCAAAAATGTAACTTGAAGGCATTTGATGATGTGACGCAACCACAAAAACCACGTTGGGAGTCCGTGCAGGTCTGTCTTTGACTTCTTTTAACAAAGAAATGCGATTCCATAACAACGTCAAGGGGCACATTTGTAAATGTGTCTGCAAGTGAGTTTAAGGCAATTATGTCCAATGGTTGGATTTCACCTGGCTCTTGCAATGTTTGAATCAAAGAAATAGTTTGGTCTACTACTTCAGCAAGGACCCCTGCATCTAGGTTTTGCTCTTCAACATCCTGCAAGATAGCTTCTACTTTTTGAAGAAAAGACTCCAAAAACTTGGGAAGATCACTTCCCAAATCAACAGCATCAACATCTGCCATAGTTGTCAGTTATGAGTTCTGGCCCTCTTCTCCTAGTCAGCTCGGGTTGGCCATGCTCGCGCCAAGAAGATTAAAGAAATTCCTGGAGGATTGAACTAGTTTTTGGATGGAATGAATGAATATTTACGTGATTGGAATGAATGAATATTTCAGTGATTGGATTGAATAAAATATTTCAGTGATTGGAGTGAATGAATATTTAGTCATGATTAAATTGAACTGATAAACATAGCATTAAATTGAATGCTTATTTTTTTCTTTAAAAAAAATTTCAAAGATAAATTAAATGGCATTAGGCTAATATGACTGGATTGAATAAATTTTTGACTTGATTGAATTTTGCTACAAACGGCTTCCCATTTAGGTAAGTGTTAATGTAATGAATAATTTTAGATAGGATGCCATGCCCCTTTTAAAGTACTTTCAGTTATACAGCTATGGAATTGATTATATAAAAAGGTCAGAAAAAGAGCATTTTTAGGGTGGAATCAAAAGATTCAAAATGTCACTGTGATTAGCTACATTGTAATGTGTATTTCTATGGATGGAACGATGCCTTTGGGGGAAACACTAACAGAGAAAATAATAGATGTTACATTGGTATTACTGAAAGTGTACAATAGGGTACCAAAAATGGGCGCAGATGTCATAACTCTGTACTTCCATCTCGTCAATACTTATCTCCATGCAATTATTATAGCGGAGGTCCATGTGCACGAAGTGCGCGCAAGCGTAGCCCCTTACCTAAGAAAATGTGGTACTTTAGCCATCCGAGAAATTTTGATAAAACATGACTGTACGCCCATCCATTTGTCCACACAACAGGTACATGATTGTATACCAATGAAAACTAACTCAATCAACAGGTTTGGCACCCAAATGCAACATGAGGTTATTTGGGCAGAAAATTGCCTAGCCACCCCCATCTTGTGAAGCAGAGACAACCAAAGAGTCAATAAAGCAAAAAAGGAAAGTGGAAATTGTTTCTGTATCCTTGCTGTCTAAAGTATTAAGCATAGATTAATATTGTCATATCCACGAATTGGAATATACTAGAGAAAGAGAAAGACAGAGAAAAAGAGAAAATAGGCGACAGCCAAGCAAAGATCAATGAGAAAAAGAGCGACGGAGAACTAGAGCAAGAGATAAGGAGCCATTTTTGTACGCAGGGGAAGAACAAACATTTAATTCGCTAATTCCTGGAGACATTCTAGGCTGTAATCTAATTGGGGCACTTTTGCATCAGATCACAAATGGACAAACAATGCCGTTGAATGAAAGGCGCAAACATTCATACATTGTAAGTGTTTAGCATCTAGCTCTTCTTCTCTTTATTTTAAAAAAGATAAACTTCAATGTCGGCATGTTAATGGATGTTCTTACATTTAGATGAGTGACCGTGATTGCTGAATATTTACAAAAGAAGATTTTTATATGTCAACTTTTGTTGAATACTAATAAAGTATCAGTTGCATTTTGTATTTCTTGTGGTTTTTACTCCGCTACTATAAGGCCTCTTGTCAACTCCTTTATGTCTCATGATTAAATATAAAAGCTGTTTATCGTGTGGACGGCAGCGCTCCTGCAGCTCTCAGTGTCGCTACCGCAGCGTTCACGCAGTCACAAAAATGCACTGCTGCAGCGAACGGAAAACAGCGTTCGTGCAACCTTTCTGCAGCGCTCGTTGCAGCGCTAATAAGTCGCTAAAGCAGCGCTGTTTTAACGTCTTCTGTATCGTACGGGGAGCGACAGAGAACTAGAGCAAGAGATAAGGAGCCATTTTTTGTTGGATGAACAAACATTAATTTGTAGCGGCGGGGAGAAAATGACAAATGCTAGCGGCCAGCCAGGAAAAAATGAGCGGCATGCAGTGAGAAAAAAGTGAAAAAGAACATGTACAACATTTCCTCCACAAAACAATGTAACCAGGAAGTTTCTGGGCATTTCATGTTGTAGTCATGCAAAACAATAGCAAAGAAATGTACAAAAAAATTGTGCTACAAGTGCCAAGTTGTTTTTTTGCTAATTAGAATTGTTGAGTACTTAGCGTAACATGATTTTATATTTAGTTTGCAGTCATGGTATTAATTTTCACAAAACCGAAATTTATCTCAAATATATATCTGAAATCACACATAGTGGTAAACCAACACCCGTGAATGCTTTGGGACTTCGTCTTTTTCTCAATGTTGGAGTGGCACAGTTAATTCAACACATCTTAACATTAACTTTGAACAATTTATTTCACTTTCGTATTAAACAGCCTTTGTGGTGTGACAAGACAATACAATGAAAACTTCTGTGCAGCAAAGTAATACGAAAATCTGCCGCCAAGCGTTTCCACTAGATGTAAAGGGCACCAGCCACTATATTCAAGTCCAAAGAAATAACACACAAAAATTGGCGGGGAAACAAAAGAAAGTCTGAAATGAAAAGTGATCGAAATCCTGAGATGTGTTTACAAAAACAACGTTTGTTCCCAAACATTTCGCCCTCCTTGGGATGCCTATGGCGTCATGCTGCACTCAGAGGTCCTCATAATCATTCTCCAGAAGAAGCAACTTTTGACCAATGCGACTAAGGTTCCGGTTCGTCAACAAGAAGTACTGGAGCATTCGGTTTTAAATTAAGTAGAGCTCTGCGCCCTTTCTCTCTAACTTGAAATGATGGAAGATACTGTCGCAACCACCTCTTCCAAAACAGATACGCCAGAAATTGCCCCTGCTTCCACCTTCTTTGATAGAACTGATCTGTCCTTCCAAAGGAACCTGGGGGGGGGGTAAGCAATAGTGTTCCTGTGCATTGCAAAGTGAGAAGGGTACGTGATTGCCTCAAGGTCATGTGGGTCATCTGAATTAGCAGTAAGAGCACACCCATTTAACACTTGTTCCACTTCCATTAGCAACATGTGAAAAATGCCTCGGTTACCATTTGGGTCCCAATGATAGACTTCAGAACTATATTGCTCGAGGCAGTAGGTGGCTAAAAACCCCATTTGTACCCTCCCTGAAGCTGTTTGTGCTCAATCTGATGCCGTTTCCACTTTTCTAAACTTTCTCTCAGTTCTCTTTCACCACCCACAAAATTGGTACCTCTCTCAAGAATAACTTCTTCGAGTCCTGACCTGGTAAGATTAGCTCCTCCAATCAACTTGTATAACCCTTTAAGCCCCAATATCCACATACAAATTCTCCAGACTGATCTCCATAAATCTCCTTCACGATTGAGTTGAGAGAATTTGGTAAAAGATCAAGGCATTTTCCCTTAGGTGATCATTTTATTAATTCTCATAACCTAATCTCTTGACATTGTATGGATATCGTTAGGAGAAAATTGACGTTAGTCACTATTGGAACTTAAAGGGATAAGGCCTGTTTTACCAGCCCCACTAGCCTCTCAAACTGACCAACCGAGCAAGAGGATCCACTGAGGTTAAACTGCCAGGTGATATGATCATTTCTGGATAGGTGGTCATGCATCCTCTCATTCTTCATAATAGTCCTCATAACCATCTCACAGCGGCTACGAAACCTCTACCATTGTCAGAGTACACCTTTTGGAGCCTCCCCCTTCTTGTTTTGAATCGTTTGAAACTCTTGATAAATCCCCTCTGTCATTAATTTTGATCACTCAAAAACTCAAGGTGCATGGCTCTGGTCAGACTACATGCAAACAGCAGGATGTAGGTGTTTCCCCTTTTTCTCTTGGAACTGGTCTTGTATGAAATTGCACCGGCATAGTCCAGATCCATGACTTGGAAGGGAACTGAACTGGTGGTGCGTTCAACTGGCAGGTTTCCTGGTGGTGGGTTTCGAAAGGCTGCAGCCTGAGACATTTTACATCCAAAGCAACCACAAATTACCTTCTTTGTTAAACGTCTCAGGCGAGGTATCCAGTACAGGGTTCATACAAAAAATTGCAACCATTTTTCAAGGACTTTTCAAGGACCACATTAGATTTTCAAGGACAAACTACTAGGAATACAATTTCACAGATTGTACAAAAATGCATATTCCCAGTATATTCTAATAAGACTTTCAGGCTTTAACTGTTTGCTTCACCAAATTCTCTACATTTTTCAGTTCACTTGTCTTAAACTGATAGTTAATTATTGCATAAAATTAATTATGGAGCACTTTATGTAAATGACCTTTACATTCACTGAGCTACGATTTATATTCTGTCCTGGACAACCAAAAAGCATCAAAAAATTCTTTCCAGGCTACTACATTTAAAGTTGAAGAAAATTCAAGCTCTTTTCAAGGACTTGCACAGAAATTTAAGGACTTTTCAAGGAAAAATGGAATTCAAGGACTTTTCAAGGACTTCCCCTAAAATTCAAGGACTTTTCAAGACTGTGCGAACCCTGCAGTAATCATGTCTGATGTAGGTCATGGTGAGGCCCACTCTCCCATGTAATGTCAACACATGCATGGGCATCTTGTATTAACTTCTCTGATGACACTGCATTTGGTGGCTGGTAAACTGGACAGCTTCCTTGTATTCTTTCCTGAGATTCATTCATCCCTTCACTGTTCTTCTGTAAATTTAGGCTCAACTGGTCCTACTCAAACTTTTCTTTCCACATGTTGCTTTCTTGCGCTATTTTCACCCACCAATAGACTGCCTTGTCTGTCTCAGGTGTGGTCAAAGGGTCGGCAAGTCATTCTGATTTCTTCTGCTTACAGTTTCCTACAAAGCGCATAATCCATGCTGTCACTCGCATTGCCTTCCAGAAGCCGTGTTTATTCAAGGTCTCATCTAGATCATCCTTGGTCTCTACAATAGTGCCTAGGACTTCCTTAGTCAATTTAGCTGCTGCCTCAGTTTCCTTGATTCGCTCAGTTAAAATTTCTGCTGGCCAGCGTTCAGGGTCTGCTAACCATTCAGGTCCTTTCAAACATAAGTTGGCAACTTGGCGCCATCACAGCCTCTGCTCCCTACATCTGCGGGGTTCTGGTCAGTGCTCACATGTCTTCATAGGTAATGTAGTCCTTTTCCTTTATCTTGCTTACTCTGTTAGCAACAAACTGCTTGTCGATACTGCCTCCACCTTAAATCCAATGTAGGGCCACTGTGCTATCCAACCATCCACAACCTGTACTTATGGGCTGGACTGGAAGAGTGTCTTTCACATTTGCTACGAGATTTGAGGCCATGTGCACCATCACCAGTTCTAGTCTTGGTATGGTTAACCCCTTTTTTGCCACACAGGACTTTGCTGCAAGTAAACCTTGGTCTGTCCCCAGCGGGTGAAACTCGAAACTTGAGCCAGAAAAACCGGATGAAAACCGGATGCTCTCGCAGGCTACAAACAGGTTGGTTTTGTAAAACTGCAAAAATAAAAATTCCTGCAAAACGGCACCAAAAATCGAGCAAAACCACATCACCTCAAACCCTTATGCCTTCTCCCTTTCAAGATGGCTTTGGTGTGTTCGTATCCCTCCGTATTGTAAGGTCGAACATCAACAACAGAACAAATCTTTGTAATAATTAAGCAGCTCTTTCAAATAAGAAAATTTTGCTACTTGGGTAATTGCAGCCTTATCAGTTTTTGGTTTTGGACTGGCTCCAGAACCGTAGCCAATCCAAATGGGTACCTTGAAACTTTGTGATGGTTAATTTGAGTAATTTTGCACTGCTTTCCTTCACAGACTTGTTCTATCCTCCTCAAGTTTCTTCTCAAATTCTCTCTTAATCTCCATATTTGCTTCTTCTAATTTGAGCTCTTCTTCTTCTGTGTTTCTCCTCTTCCACTTTTTCTTCTTCCCATTTCCCTTCTAGTAAGGCCTCTTCATGCAGACTCTTTACCATTCCTCTCACATCCTCTGTGATTTGTTCATATTCTACGACTTGCTTTTCTACGTCCAGACTCCATTTACCCACATCGTTGGGTTGATCTCCTTTTTCTATTTCAGCGCCTGAATTTCAACCATCTGTTCATGAACGCTGTCAATCTGTTGCTCCAGGGCTTTTTGCAATTGCTCTGCCGCCTACAACTCATTCTTTTCTTGGATTCTGGGTGTGTCATCTCACGTAAATTTCAACAGGCATGATTCAAAGTCAATCTTTTTTAAAGCTTGTTCAAGCTCCGTCATGTCATTTACAAAAAAATGTGGTCGGTTCGCTGCACTGTATTCTTCACAAGAAACTGAACTCTAGGTTACAATTTCCTTGAGAATCGGTCCACCCAAGGTTGCCACTTTTTGTCCGGAATCGGTAACACTGACAAAAAGAACTAACAATTGGTTGAATTGAAACAGTTTTAATCTCGCTCGCTCACACCCTGATCTTGGTTCCCTTATGATTCCAAAAACATGCATTCTTTTTTAACTACATCAAAATAATGTCCAGTTGTTCAAAGTTCAAAAACTAATCCTACATAAATCACTGTCAACACCAGAAGGCAAGTCACAACATGCAACATAAGGCACAACACTCATCACTGAAGGAAGGCTGGGCATCGTCAATGTAAACATTTTTGGCAACAATCGCTGCAACCCCCGGGTTAAAACCTTAGGCATTGTCCATGACTGTACAATTGGAAGTATTCAATAATGGGCATGACATCATTTAAGATATATAGATTGCATGGAAATATTATTGACAAGATGGAGTTACAGAAAAATGACATGTGCGCGCATTTTTGGTACCCAATTGTACACTTTCAGTAATACCAATGTAACATCTTTTCTCTGTAAGTATCCACCAAAGGCGTGGTTCTATCCATAAAAGTAAACAACGCAATGTAGCTAACCACAGTGACATTTTGAATCTTGTGATTCCATCATAAAAATGCTCTTTTTCTGACCTTTTTTATACAATCAATTCCATAGTTGTGTAACTGGAAGTACTTAAAAAGGGTGTGGTGTTTTATCTTATTATTTGTAGCATTAACACGTATTCATATAATATGCAAGATTTAAATAATGTACAAGCTTAAACAGTGCAGGCATTTACGTATTTTTATTATAATGGATTGTAACTCTGGAAGTTTCCCTCAAAGGGTGTGTTTCCATTGGAGAGTTAGAGCCAGCAAAGAGGTGACAATATGACTCCACTTTACAGTGTGACTACTGTAACAGGGGCCATTTAACGTGACTCACCAGTTGTCAGCACTTTCAAGCCATTTACCCTTGATAAAATGCCCTGCTTAATACATAACATTTAGTTTTGATTTTACTTGCAGCTTACAGTTGCTGAGTTTGTCCATTGTTTGTGCCAGAATCCTCATCATCTGGGATGACATTCATGGTAAATAACAACAGAATTCGGCAGAACACATCCTTGGGAAAAGCTGTCAGACGGACACAAGACCCAAGAGCCTGTTTCGCACTGTCAGAACAAAACTAAAACTGCATTAAAAAGCCGGTGCAAAAATCCTGAAATAATCACTTACCCCACAAAAGCAAGAACAAAATAACACCATTACAACAACGTTTTTAAAACATGCTGGTAGAACCAGGGCACACGCTTAACATTTCTCCTCTGTTATGCTCCTGGGGGGGGGTAGGGGGGTTATTTATTTCATGCACCTTTGAGTGGAGCCTTGTGTAATAGAGAGGGGGGTTATATAATTTAGTTAAGATTACGTTATAACTAACAGGCGGATCATTATACGTTTCTGGGAAACTGCTCACCTACCCCTCCCCTTGACAACCATTTAGCCCTAAGTGAGAAGTAAGTGTTAAGGTTGGCTTAGCGGAGGGGTAGGTGGGCAGTTTCCCAGAAACATTATAATGATCCTAACAGGCAAAGTGGAAAAGCTCAGGCACATGAAGTTGAAGGTCATGCAGCTAAAGATGAAAAACAAATCCCAGCTTCCAGCATGTGATTAATTAATACAGTCTATCATTTAAGAACAAGGAGGAAAGGGGATGGGGGCAGAGAGGGAGAAGAAGAGGGGGTGATTATTACTTTCTTCACCCGACAAAGACGACTTGCTACAAGTCGACCTCTCATAAGTTCGTGACAGTGAGCGAGGCAAGCTTCAAAGTATGAGGTCGTAGAGCGACCGAGCAAGCAATGAAGTCTCAAGGTCGACTTGTTTCACCTGATTGGATTTGAATCATATTATAAATTCAAGAGCGAAAAAAATGATTGACATATAATGCGGTATTGGGAGTGGAATTAAATATCACTTACTGTCCTAATGGTCAATTGTCATGATGTCACCGGTAGAATTTTCGATCAGTGATCAGTTTGCTGAAATTCACTGATTGAAAATTCTACCGGTGACATCATGACAATTGACCATTAGGACAGTAATCTCCTTTAAAATGGCATAACCAACCACGAAACAAATATATAAAGACTTTTAAAAAGTCTACCGACAAAGGGGAGGAGGGGACTTATTTGAGAGGCGAGGAAGGCTAAAAAAGTGCAATGAATCCTTACCGTTTTAAAACAACAACTTTAAAGCTCCCAAAGAGAGTTTTCTGGTTCTCAGCATGGCTAACTATTGTTTCTATTGTGTCTTCCTTGGTGCTAGCTGTCTTCTGTCCAGCAGATTTGGTACAAAGGTGAAGGGATTTAACCAAAAGTTTTAACTCTGGTGCAGCTATCAGGTTCAATGCCTCTCTAAGATCTGTGAGTTCATGTTCATCTTCTAAAAATCCTGTGCAGAAATGACATTGTGAAAATTAAGAGCATTAATTTTGTAAGTAAAAGGTGTGATACAGTTAAACCCTTCTTTACCAACACCCACCTAACCCTTTAAGCCACAATATCCATGTACATATTCTCCAAACTAACCTCCATACATTTCTTTAAAGAATGTGTTGTGAGAGAATTTTATAAAAGATGACAATGCATTTTCACTTTGGTGATCATTTTATCAATTCGCACAACCATATCTCTTGACATTGTATGGATATCATTAAGAGAAAATTGATGTTGGTCACCATTGGGACTTAAAGGGTTAATATGGACACTTCATTATTAAGGACTGTTCAGTTTGTTTTGTTCCTGGGGAAGAAAGCCCTTACATTTTCTCTAAATTCAACCTGCCTAAATACGGATACCACGTTAATACGGTCAATTTAATTGGCCCCTCAGTCACCGTATTAGCGGAGTTTGACTGTATATAAAAGGCAGGAATGACACTAGATTTTGCTTCAGAGCTTACTATAAAAATGATTAAATTATTTACCTTTTTGAGTGAGGGTATCAAGGATCGGTTTAAGATTCTTACAAATCTTTGGGTATTCTAGTTTGACACACCTAAACCAGCCATGTTTACGTTGAAAAAGGCGAATATACAACTTCTGTTCCTCCGCAGACATACCATTGAAGGAATCAATAATGTTATTGTCTTGTTCATTAAACAATAGTTTGTCATCCTCATTAGACAACACACTTGTCAAAACCAACTTAAAATTAGCCAGATAATATGGCTCATAGTCTTTGTTATCTTCATCTGTGTTTTCTGTGTTTTGCACTGTAGAGTTTTTTTCACCTTCTCTATTTAAGCTTGAGTCTATTTGAAGTTTCAGATCTTCTGAAGTGCTTGTATTTGTTTGTTCATTTGTAGGCAAATCTTTGCTGGCATCAGAAAATTTTTTATTTGTTGAAAGTGTCATATCCTCTGTGTGATGGTTTTGTGCTGCAGGGGAATCCCCTTCGGTCATATTATTACATACTCCAATGTGGTCGCAGTCATTCGAGACAGCACTGCTGTGCTCATTTCTGTCTTTTGTCTCTGACTCAATTCTAGCCAAAGAGGCAACAAGACTTAAATCTGAACTGTCAGAGACTTTTAAGGGAAGGATCCCATTCTTATTGTTAGTCTCTGTAACATTATGTTTGTAACCTTTCAGTAAATTCAATCCATTACAACTTCCTGCTTTGCAATTTGATTTACTTTTTGTCTCTTCCACATGATCATTGACTCCATTGTTGATATGTAATTCACAGTTGCTGTCCAAATGTTGGTTTATCTTTGACAAGAAAACAGCCTTAGCGCACATTGGACAAGATACGATGTTTGGTTGTTGTGGTTTGTTAAGCCATGCTGTTATGCCCTTCTTTGACTTCTTATGGCGTCTTTCGTCGGGTGAAGCAAGTATAACTGATTCGGGTAATTTCTCAATAGAGTTACATGTAACCTTATTTTCATCTGTAAAAGGAGAATTTTGCTCAACTTTTCGTAAATCTTGTTCTGAGTGAACAGCAATATCGGCCGAAGAGTGATCGTCTCTTTCTGTATCAGTTATAACGTTAACGCTAAGTGCATCTTGTCTATCTGCAATTTCTTTCTTTCGTTTACGTGAAAGAGACAATCTAGATCTCCTTGTTCCATCAATCGTGCGATTCATTGGCAGTCAATCCAGGGATTTTGCACCAGCTCAGCTTTCCAGCTTTCAGCGCGATGGCTAACTAGATCCTGCTGTATCACCACAACTTTGCACAGGAACAAAATCCAGCTGGAACATCAGCAGCATCTTAACATGTTACATCGAATGATTTCAATTTCAGGAGAGGAGAAAAAAGGCAGCGAAAAGGATGTGCTCGACTTGAACGCTTGAACGCGCTTCCCGCCATCGGCCATTTTAGATTTTAGAAGAGTCGCCCGCATTATATTTGCACCGCAAAACCATTATTAATAGTAGGGTACGTTATATATTCTAAACGAAATGTACTGAATATCGTTACCAGTCGTTCTACTAAAACAAAATGGCCGGGATCAAGTTCGTGCAAGTCTGTGATATCTTTTCCTCTTGATTATCAGTTCACTGAACCTTTTGTTGGCGATGGCGTCTGGTTCAGAACCAGAGAGCATCAGTTCTTCTAATCCCACAGGAAAATTACATGCAAGAGTTTCTGATGATAGCACTGTGGCACGATCAGCGCGTAAGAAAACAGAATCGCCAAGATGTTCTAAACAGCAGACAGAGAAGGTAAAAGAGAAATTCATGTCAGCGGACCTCTTTTGTCAAAAAATGGGAGGAATGATAGAAAAACAAGATGTCCAGTCAATTCTGGACATACAGACTGAAACGTAAGTATCCTGTTTCAATCTCATAAACAGCCCGTAGAGTAGAGTCACGAGTTAAACATGCATTGTCAATATATTTTTTTTTTTGACAGGTTGAGGAAATTTGAGAAAACTAATGCAAAATTTGGAAGATTCAATGACTTATCTTCTACACGATACTTACACCTGAATCAGCAACTGAAAGGTCACACTAAGATGCTGCTGGATATGAAAAAAGATTTGGACTCTGTATTCAGAAGAATAAGGTAAGCTTACATGTATGTACTGCTACATGTACTGTTTCCAAGGCGTGGGGATTAGACAGCAAGCCCCAGTTGTTCAAATATTGAATAGGATTATCTACCATAATTATAATTAATCATTATTATTAATTAAAAGTTCTTGTTTCTTCATTTCTGATTGGCTCAATCCCCTAGCTTATTCTTCATAAGCAGCTAGCACTGACAAAATTTGGTCGACGTTTGGTAATAACTGGTCAGTGCCAGAAAAACAGACAACAACAGAGAAGCCCTGGGGACAAGGTTGCCTTACCTTTTGGAAGAGCTGTTTCTTATCATACTATTATATAAGTAAATGACTGTATACCACTACAAGCCCCATTCAATAATAAAATTTCTAACTATCCAGTATCAGGCAATTTACTGGACAGAAAATTGTACAGTGCGTGGCACTTTCCACTATTTAAACAGCTGGAGCCAGCAAATGGGTGTTGAGATATTGAAAGTAGGAAGTTTTACACAACCGTGATGACAATGGTAGTGAAAACATCCCCAATAGAATGTAAAGGTATGACGTCTTTTCAAACTCCAATATAATTATTACATGTACAGTATAGTCAGTCTTAGGCAAATTTTTCCTGGAGTTAAATTGTTAGAGACTGCATTTAAGACCAATAAAAGAAGGGAAAAAATTGTTGTCATCATGGTTAATAATACAATCATGAAAAGGTCTTGAATTTTAGTAGTTGTCTTGAGAAGTCCTTGAATTCAGTTTAGGTCCTTGAAAAGTACTTGATTTCTTTATTAGGTCTTGAAAACTCCTTGAATTTCACTGCCTTGTTTATGCCACACCGTTTTCTGTGGAATTACTATTATTTCGCTGATGAAAATTTGGCTCATCCAGGGTTGTCAAAAGTAGCTGGCTGCCGGCGAAAATCGCCACCTACTAAGTTAGTATCAGCCGGCTACTCTGCTTGGCATTTCTTTACAGATGGTGTTTTTTCAAATAAAATATCCCTGGACTGGCTGCTTATTTTGATAACTCAGCCGTCTATTTCAAAACTTTGTGACAACCCTGCTTATCCTTAGTCTAACAACCTGTAAGAACATTAATTTTTTGTACATGAACAATATTTTATTCTGTTTCTTTATTTCAAAATGCTATTTCTGTGCCTCGCATGCAACTGCAAGTCACACCCAGTGACTGTTGTCATTTTGCAAAGTGTTGTACAGTTACAGTTCAACCATGGCTGAAGAAGTAAAAAAATGATCATAAATGACTTCATTAAGTGTTTTAGCCTATAAGGTGTTCAAAGAGCATTAAAGAATGCTGATTTATTGCATTAATCTTAGTCTTTGAAAACTGTAATTTAATTGTCTTTGAAAAGTCCCTGAATTTGTTTGTCTGAAGTTTTACGAACCATGGTCATTCATTCACATCCACCACAAAACATGACATCAGGCAATTTCACATCATAGTCATACAGTTTCAGCAAAGAAATGTACCAAAAGTGTGATAAACAGCCAGAGTTGTTGTTTTTCTCATTACATGTAAATGTATTAATTTGAAATTCTTGTTACCACTTTCAGTGCTCCAAGCTGCGACCGTTTTGATCACCATGGCATGTAAAAAAATTTATTAGCAACTAAACTTGCGGGGCGAAAGTCCTGTGCTCGGCGGTCTTGTACTTGGAAAAGCTTTACGCGAAACACACAAACAAAAAAGGACCTGTAATCAATGTGGCCTGAGGTATAACCCTTCATGTAAAATTACACTAGCGTCTTTTCTTTTTTTTCATTGGTGATCAACATTTTATGTCTCGTGACCATCTTACAACTTTAAGTCGCCAAAAGGCGACTTTGAACAAAAATGAGCGTGGAGCACTGACAGTACAAAAATTTGTAGTTTGGTGATGTACCCTTATGCACCCATCCATGAGGCACAGTAAAGCCACCTGGGGGTATAGGACTGCTAGTAGTTTCTCACGATTGTTGTGCAAGTGAGCCTGTCAAGTTTGCAAGTGACTGAGTGAAAAAAATATTTCCAGCTGAGGGAAACTTTTGCTCACTAGGTCCATTTATTTGGTGGGCTCTGACTACTATAAGACTCTTCTTTTGAAGTAAGTGAAGAGGGCAAGATGGTTAGACAGGCTTAACGAGATGTACTGTAGAAAATGTACAAGCCAGGAGAGATGCCTACTGTACTCTTCCTATGTGGCTTGCAATTCAATGTATACCGGTACTCACCTGCCTGACAATCCTAAGAAAATGCTAGTAGTCATTGGGTGAAAGGCATGAATAATTTAGAAGAAGCTAGAATCCAAAACTTCATGGTCAGAAGTTTTTCATGGAGTGATTACTTCAAGAAATGTTTCCATTTGATTAGTAAATGACTCAGAGACAATGTTAGTGATGATTATATACAGCACAAACGTTATGTTGCGTCACTAAATTTCCCAACCAAATTTCACACTTATAATTATTGCTATTTGAATATTAGATGTAAAATCAAATCAAACAATAAACAATTTAGAGGAGATTTAATTTCATGAGGGATGCTGAAGTTATACTTAGTTTTGAGTCAATGTAATTATTTTTTGTCACTTGACAATGTGATTGGTAAATTCATTACTTTTATGTCTTCACTTCCACTTACTGGTATTTATTTTGTTTGTAGAAATTTGAAAACCAAGCTGACAAAACAGTATGGACCTGCATTTGATGGTAGGTTCCTTTTACAGGTTGTATGCAGTTTCAATAAAAAAAAAATCGTTATACATGAATTACTAATATTATACTACTACATGAGAAATTTCTGCAATTTGATTGGCTTAGAGCAGTAGTATTTCACCTTAACCCATTCGCTCCTGGAGATTTTGCCGAAAAACACGTTTTGAAGCTAGTCGAGTGGTTTTCTGGTCACTGTTGTGCTATAAAGAGCTAAAACTTACCACAAACCGGTTTACAGGTCGTACACTTGGCGGCCTTCTGATCCAGATGCAAAACATCAGCTTGTGAAGTTCGGGCATGCGCAGAAAGCCAAATTTCGAGATAGTTTTTGGGTTTAAAAGTGACACAGCAGTCTTGACTTTTACTTTTCGCTTTCTCTCCTCCCTTCTTTTTTCGCTTTTCTTGCCTTATTTTTTTTTTCTCTTGCTGGGCATTTAGTAGGCTTCATTTTGGTGGGAAGAGTTTTTAGGAAAGCTTTTAGGATCTTAGGATTAGGTGAAAGGAAAGGTAGGTGGGCAATGGAACAAGATTTTCATGGAGATTTTCAGGTCAATGTCACGTGGTTTTTTGCTTCTTTCTCCGGTGTCCTTGACTGAATTGTGCTCATTCTGGTATGGTTTGAAAGATCTCTTCACTCTACACAAGTTAGCCAAGAAAGTTGTCCTTGACCGTTAAAACTGATGATGTCACAAAGGGTAGAAAGGACCTGGATCCGCACGGGGGGTTACGGGCGGTTCAGGGGCGAATGGGTTAATCAGAAATCTAAAAATGGCCTTTTACCGACTTTTTCACCTGATTTTACATGAAATAGACAGATTTGGTTGTTTTATGCTGAAAAGTGGATTTTTTTCAAAAAGCTTGGTACTTTGCTTAACCCATTCGCTCTGTGCCGCCATTTTGGCACACCATTTGTCTTAGTCTTCTTTCGGGGTATGACGTACTTTAAGGAACACGTGACTTTATCGACAGGAAAACATTAAAAGTTCTGGTAGGTTTTTCTGTTTCAGAAAAATTTTCTTTTTGCGAAGACATTGTGATTCACTCCGTACTTGTAATTGACCTTTTTTGTGTACAGCTGGTGAAGGAAAGGTAATGCGAGTTCCTTAATTTATGTCACATGACGTCATATATGAGTCTGCTAGTTTGCGTGATCAGCGGCGCGGGTGTACCACAAAAATGGTTAAAAAATCGCGTTTTGTTGAAATGGCAAAATTTTTTCGCGGAAGTTATTTTAATAAGGTATAGTTTCAGATAAAAAAATATAAAATTTTAGGTGATGGGTACTTTAATACATTAATACTGTCTTATACATGTACACCGCAGAAGAACAATATTATCATGATGAATATTTTGTTGTTGAAAATGGCAGCAACCTCAGTTGGAATACAAAAATTGGAGGAAGAACTTGGAGCAAGCATGGAAAATGAATATTTGGAAAGTCAAGAGATGGACATTAATAGTAAGTCCACAGATCAAGGGCAACATTTTAAACAACAGAGGACTGAAGATGTTATAGATCAAGGGAATGCTCATTCTGTAGGAAATGAAACTTTTGCTAGGAAAGAACTCCAAACCAATGTAAAAAGTTCTACTGGTAAAGCTTTAAACTTTCAAGTAAACCAAGTCGTAAGTGGGACAGAAGACAAAGAGAAAAATGTGGTTTCAAGGACAGAAAGCACAAATGAAGCAAGTCAGGCAGTAGGCACTGGTGATGCAATTTACCCAGTATATACAAGTAATGCTGAGACAGTAGACACTGATCAAAAAAATCAGACAGTAGAGATGAAAAGCAAGAAAGAGTCAGTAGATGATGATCAAACATATCTCACAGTTGAAGCTGGTTATAGAGTGCAGACAGTAGACATGAGTGGTATTTGTCAGACAGAGACGGAAGATGCTGACCACACATACCTGACAGTGGACACTGGTTACAATGTGCAGACATTGAGTGGCTTGCATCAGACACAAAGCTCTGGTGACTCCTTCGAGACAGCAGATATACTTCAGACTACAAATGACTCAAACAACAGGACAGTGGACACAGCTGAGAGAGGAGACAGCTATGGCAGCAGTTTTACTGTACCCAGCATCGGTTAGAAGACACTAATGAAATGAGTCACTTACACCGAAGTCAAATGACATCATGGGAGTGTCCAGAATAGTGGCCTCAAGTCAATGGAAAGAACAGTGGACAGTTTTGAAATTAGCTGAGACAAAAACCTTAGGAAATACAGGTAACGCTGTTGACAATACTCAGGCATTTGGCAGATCTTTAGATGTGAGACTTACGGCATCAGCAAATGTCACTGTACTACTGGAGACAATGCTTTTAAGAACTGAAGGCTAAAACAAATATTTGTATTGGGACAGAGCCGGCGGAAAAAATAAAAAGGCTCTGTAAAAGACATTCTTGCAGAAGATAATTACGGTCAAGCCAGGTTAAGCTTACCCCACAAGAATCCATTAATGAATTTATTAATCGAAATTTGAATGCGTTAGTACAACTGTATTTGAAGATTTTATATTCATCTCTGCATTCCTGCATGCGTAATAAGCAGTGAATTCACATGCAAGGTAGTGATGAAATTTCTACCAGCTCAGTTTTCTTGAATTTGATATAAATGGTCATAAATGCGTTCAAAGCAATTTTATCCATTCAAAGATTTTTCGATCTGACCGAATACTGAGAAGTTGTAGCCAAAAATTTGGTACTCATTACTCATGCAGGAATGCAGATTTTTAAAAATTAATACTAGTTGCGGCAACGGCTAACGGATTCATTTTTCAAAAACTCGATTCATTGATGGAATCTAGGGCGGTACGCTTGATCTGACGTGACCGTGATGATGCAACTATTTAATATTTTTCGCTGAGCCTACCCCTCAGCCAAAGTCTGTGAATAGTGGGTCGTATTATCACTTGATGTACCATGAACTGAGAACAATACAGTGAATGAAAAAGTTAATTTTAACTTGTAAAAAGGATGAATATATAGAAATCAAAATCGGAAGCAAGAGCTAACAGGATTTTTCCCTAGGAGGTCTTTATCTATTTATTGATAATTTGAAGAGAATAAAGATAACGATCAGCTGCTTTCTTCACGAACGCATGCTGTTTGTCCAAAGAAAAGTCTGTGAGAAATTCATCGCCATCGCCTCAAGAATGAGAGTAGGGGAAATGGAAAAGTCAGACTCCCGCCCCCCCCCCCCCTCCCTCTCCCCCCCTCCATCTCCCCACCGTTCAAGTACTCGGTAGTAGTTTAGTCCAAGTAAGTTGAGGGATTCCGGATTCCCCGAGCTGAATTCCGGATTCCAAAGCCTAAGAATCCGGATTCCACAGCCGAAATTTTGGTGGACTGTGGATTCCACCACCAAAAATTTCCCGGATTCCGAAAACCGGATTCCGAAAACCGGATTCCCTTTTATCGCCAGTTAGGGGAGTGGATGAGGTATTTCAAAACATTGGGTTTTTAATACCGTGTGGCTCGAAATTTTTTCGGGAGTCTATTTTTGTGGATTAGCGATTTTTCCCCAGTCCCTTGGCACTTCGTTAAATCGAGGTTCCACTGTACTACAGTGTGCGTACCTTGTATAAAACCAGTAAAATATATTACTTTTCTTCGCCATACGATTACAAACAAGAACAGAAACGATTTCTTGCATGTATTTGTGTATTTCGAATATAAGTGGAGGAATATTTACTCTGGAGTAAATATTTGCGGTAATTTATCTTCTTTTTGCGGGGCTTTCTTTTTACGGATCGCTGGCTGGAAAATTAGAACTCGCAAAAATTTCGTGCCACACGGTACAGGGGCACCCAACGACTATTTTCGGAAAAATATCTGTTCGGAAGACGATTTGAGATCTAGAATTTTCGCAACATTTGTTGTAAAATTTCTTGCTTGCCTGCCTCTCCTAGGATTTTCGAACATGTAAAAAATGGTATAATTGCCTATTTTTAACGGATTTTTAACCTAAAAAGGTCCCCTAGAATTTTCGGGAGCCCTTTTTCTGGCTGAAATTTTAGAAAAGGTAAGTTTCGATCCCTATAATTTTCGGATCATTAGACTTTCAGCTAGGAAATCCGAACAGATGAAAAATTTTTAGGGGATAAAAATATGCCTTTATCTACCGTTTAAATACTAAAATACGTTTAACAATGCTATTTTTAAGTGGTTTTGAACTATATTCTCGTTGGGTGCCCCTGACGGTAGTTGTGATCAATTCAATATCTCCGCTTTACAAGTCTTACAAGGGATAAGCTCACTCTGCCTCATCCGAAGACTATTCATTGCTAAACGTTCATTGTACAAAGTGCCGTCGTTATACAAAAATAGCGACGTTCACGCCGAATTCCTATTCATTTTATGCAGTACTTAATGTGCCTACCCATGCGCATTGGTTCTTGAAACAAAAGATTCTTTTGTTTCTCTCGTCAAATATTTGAATAACAAAGAAGATTTTTGTAAGCAGTGATGATGGTAAACATTCACGGCTGTACGACAGACCGAAATTAGCGAAATGCAACCACGTTTCAGAAATGTGTTTGCAGTTTTGCGTTTGGGTTTGCACTTTGAAATTCCTTTTATTTTCAATAGGAAACTTTTGTTTATGAATTATGTTATTAAAATAGTAGCCTCCAGATATCCGTCATTGCACGCGTGTGGTTGGAAAGCGGGAGCCGAAAACCATAAGATAAATGACGATAAAGTAAAGTTGCAATTAACATTTATGCGTTCGATCATATTAATAGAATACACAAAAACTAACTCTCAAATCACATGAAACTATGACAATTACATCATACATTAAGTACATAACGAACAACTCACAGAGCAGGTAATTCTGATAACTCATGCCATTTCAAATTCTTAACACTTGTTCTACTTGTCAGTCAGGATTTATTAACACATGATCTCACGGCAAAAAAAGATGTACTTGTTAAACGAATACAACTTCTGTTTGTGTCCTTCCACCTTTGTGTGATCGTTTGTGTGCTCTTCAGGTTAATTTGGAGAAAGTCGAGAGAGAGAAGCTACGTATTAGCGTAAAATTTCCCCGTAGAAACCAAACTAAGTTGGGGTTCAAGTTGTTGAATGAAAGCTATTGACTGAGAAGAATGCCGTCAAAAAGAAATCATACGATCACAGAATATCTAAAATGTTACATATTCGCCATAAAAAATTTTTTAGCACAATAAACGTAAAACGTCGATTTTTTTCATCCGGTCGTAGGAGTCCTTGAACTTAAATCGTATCGGTTAAATCAAACCTAAAGCACTCAGGAACTAATACAGTGTTTTGGTATTCTTCTTTCTTTTCATTCGTTTATTTTATTGATTTTTCCAGGTCTACGATTTCTGTCGCGGTCAGATGGGCCTCCCAATCCCATGACCTTGCATATCTTCCCTGGGAGCGAGGCTCGGAAACGTTGAGTGTTGGTATTATGTAACAGGACATAACAGGAAGTCAACAATGACAAAGTTGGCAACAAAGACAACTTTGTACGTGACTTCCTGAAGAAAATATTTGCTAACTTTTATTAGTCTCTCAACTAAGGAAATGCACCCCTTTTTCTCCTGGAAATTTTACAGCTCTAAGTTGCAAATGATGAGTATTCGAAATTCACGAAATTCGTTATTATTTTGAATATACGCCCCGGGGGGTACTCCTGGGAATTCTTGGTGGGGGTGTGCCGCCCGGTTCTCCAATTTCTCTAATTTTCCACACCCGCTTTAGGACCAGACCTCTAAAATTTCAGACCTTGCCTTTAGGCAGAAATTATGTTATCATTAATAAGATTAGAGTGCAAACAAAAAAATTCTTCAAAGCCATTTCGAATTCGCATATTTTTCTTTCTTTCTTGAGGAATTGAAAAGATAAAGACGTTCATACAATCCCGTAGTTCCCTCAAAAACCATACCCGATTCCAGACCAAAATGGGCAAATTGTATACCCGTTTTCAGCCCAAAACGGCGCAAAAACCCTACCCGATGGGGCGGCACATACCTATATAGCTTAAATATAAGAGGGGAGTACCCCCCCCCCCCCCCCCCGGCACATACTCAAAGCCGTTCTTGAACGCTGAACACGGTCCTGTCTGATCACTTAAAAACTAGTCAAAACACGCCGCCCAAACAGGTTTGGCCCGCTACATGGGATAAAAGCCAGTGTCCATGAGTAACATGTTTAGTGATCTCGCTCTCAAGTAATATTTGTGCTAGTGAGGTTCTTCAGAGAAGACAAAAATACTATGCCTAAGGTAAGTGGAAAAAGCGGTCCTCGGCAAATTTTCAGCCCCGGCGGTACGTTGAATCTTAGGCACATCCTTTAAATATTTCCTTTTCGTTTTTTTGCTTTTAATTTCTACCACAAAAGCGAGGAATCTTAGAGCGCTTAGATGCTGGCGAGGTCGTTGTGGGCGATGGAGGATTTCTGTTTTGCATGGAAAAGAGAGGCTACGTAAAGGCTGGCCAGTGGACACCAGAAGTAACAGTAGAACATCCGGAGGCTGGTAAGGAAATTCTCTTTTTGGTTTCAATTTTAAAATGGAATTGGAATTAAATAATGATATTCAATTTGTCCTGTTCTTGAACCTTCCTTGCTACTACTCTGAGAGACAGTTTGTGTATACGGCTTTACATTTTCAATTTAATAATGTACCACTAAGCTTCATTTTTATTCCAGTTGATGTCCTTTTACGACAGTTTTAGTCTCGGTCTCGCGCATTTCATTTCCAGTTGACATTTTTTTTGCCCTTCGATCGTTTCCTCTTCGAAAGTTATGGTAATCTAAGCAAAAAGCTATATTCCACTGTGGACAAATTCACGGAAGAGTCATTTGTATTTCAAGACTGTTCAAAGTAGAATAAATGAGAACATCGATCAACGTTCGGAAGCAGAGGAGAAAGGCCATTAAAAGACCCGTTTGAGATTCAAATTTTTCAACATAAAACTGGGAATGTCGTCAAAATGAGAAAATAACACCACTGAATCTATTTCATATTGCGTGAGATAAAATCAAAACAAAACCATGTTTGCATGGCCAGACTGACAAGGCAAGCCAGTTTTAACCCGTAAAACTAGTTTCAGTAGCCAAAAAAAATTGAATAATTCAACTAACCGCAGTTTTACTTTGATATTTTGGCAAGGCTTGACATGTCATGTTTGTAAAGGCAAAGATATACAAATTGTCAACTAGTAATGATATTTTTTCATGCCTGGCCTGGCAAATTAGTGAAAGTTTTCTGTCTTTTCCATGATACGTCTCCATTTCCTCCAATTTACTCGTCTGAAGTAGTTGTAGTGCGTGATGAAAGTTGTAAAGTTGAAGTGTTCCTCTTGAATGAACACCTCAAAAGGCTGCGCTATATAAAGTAGGTGTTACATAAATGCATCCAAAATTAAGTCAGGCGATTATAATATAGGTCAATATACAGACAGACAGTCTGAGATTCATCTTGCAAGAGGAATAGCAGCAAGCGGAAATCAACTAATTTTTCCCCATATAAGCGAAACTCTCTCATTCTTTATCCATAAACAGCTGTTGTCTTATACCTTAAAATCCTACGTTAAAGCCCCCCCCGGTTTTAAGCCCCCCGGATATAAGCCCATCCATTTGCGCTAACGAAAATATTATTCCGGATATAAGCCCCTCTCCACCCCCCCCCCGTTTTTCCCCATTTTTCATGCATAACTGCGTTCCTTTTACGTTTCTTTACAAACATCAAAATTTTTAATCTAAAGTTATAGGCATAAACAAGTGGCTGTGAAGTTTAGAACCATAATTGTTTTGGAGTAACAGAGCAAGCAGGTAACTACAATCCGGCAGTTTTCCCTACAAATTGATAACGTTAAGGCTTGTAGTTTTTTCACTTTCGTTCCGGTGTTCCATTCCAGTTGTTCCAGTCGCATAAGTGTTTTTTAAAACTATATATTTCAACAAATTGCCCATGGGCAATTTGTTTAAATATGTATTTTTTTGTTTCATTCTTTTCTTTACTACTTCATAGCCTTGCCGAAAGGATCAGTTTGCCGTTTCATTTTTTCTACAAGTTTAATTGTACTGATCCAGGTGTACAACTGAGAGATCCGGCACCACTCATTTGTTTGTTCCTGTGGACTTGCTGACATTTTATACATTTTGAAGTTATATAAGCCAAGGGCTTAAACGTGGGATTTTACGGTAATAGGCGATAGGAGCAGATATTTTTTTCCCGCCCGTTTAGGCTTTCCCTCGCCCCCACTATCTATCTGCCCCTGGGTATCCGAGGATGCACTGGCGCGTGTGCCGCTGAAGTTCACGTGATTTCCATGTGTATTTTGTCCTGTTAAAGTTTCGGAAATACCGTAAAATTCCGAAAATAAGCCCCTCCATGTATAAGCCCCTCCAAATATAATCCCCCCAAACCAGTAACGCAAAAACCCCTCCGTTAAATCGCCCCTCCAAATATAAGCCCCCCGGGGGCTTGTACTTGGAAAATTCCCCTCAAAAATAAAGTATAACAAAGCAAAAATGATAGATATATTCCCAGCTATAAGGCTAGCCCAATCGATTTTGAAACGCAAATTTCCCTCCGTAGATAAGCCCCTCCGAATATAAGCCCCTCCAAAAATAAGCCCCTCAAAAAGGGCGGGGCTTATTTTCGGAATTTTACGGTGGCGAAAATTTAGTTCAAGTTTTGTCCTTTAATTAGGCCTTTGTATATTTTCACGAGAGAAACACGACTCAATTTACAATTCAGAACAAAATTCAAATTTTTCCTCAATACAGCCATGTTGAGAGACCTCTTCTGGTGTATGAAAACACTATTAACTTGCATACATTGTTGTTAGCATTAAACCCTCTTAAAAAGTTTATTAAAATTCATGAAATTCCTCAGATAATGAGTATTGTCTGAGCATTTTAGTAACTTTTTGGGGGAAGAATGAACATTTTAGTTGGAAAAATGGAACATTAAGATAGAACATTTTAGTGGGAAAACAAAAGCATAAATGTACAAAAGCCTAGTTTTGTCAAAGTTTACTTATAAACAATTATTGCATGAGGTTTTTGTGATATCCTTAATAATCAAGGTCAAGATAAGTGCATTTATCTGTTAGCAGATAACTAAGTAATCTGAAGATTGCACTGATTTCCAAAATTAACTGTAGGACCTTAGCCAATGAGAAGATCGATAGTGCCTGCAATGAATAATAATCAAAATAACTGTGCTTTGCTGAAACGTAAAGCTGGACGCTTCGAGTTTTTGACCGAATTAGATCATGACCGTATTTATTTTTATTCATAATGGCTCAGTAAATTCCAAGGCTGACCCCCTTCCCCCGTGATATAGCCCTTTATATAAACAAAGTAAAATTTTGTTTTTCAGTGCGACAGTTGCATCGAGAATTTCTCCGCGCTGGCGCTGATGTTATGCAGACCTTCACTTTCTACGCTAGTGATAGCAAGTTAGGAAATCGCGGGAACACGGCCTCTGAGAAAATTGGGGTAAGTAACGATAGTTTTAAAAGATTTCTGTAGCTTTTATACATAGCCTTTTTAGAGTTTGTTTTAGCATTGTTATTTCTTTTGCGTCTTCAGAATTCTCATTACTTCGCCTAGACATCCTAGACATCAAGACGTTTTCAATCCAGTCTCCAGACTGCCCCGCGTGCCGCAGCGTTCCGGCTTCAACTGCCCAGAACGGCACTGAATTACATGTTCGGGTTTGGATAAGTTGCGTTTCACCTTTTTCTCTAAACACTTCGCGCTTGATTTTCACCCCCTCTGAAGAATAGTGAAAGGAGACGGAGATGTGACGCAGTTTATGTATGTTTTTGGGTTTTCAGTGCACAGAAATCAATCAAGCTGCCTGCGAGCTCGCGCGTGAGGTGGCCAACGAGGGTGACGCGCTTGTGGCGGGAAATATCTCTCAGACACCATCGTACATGTCTGGCCTTGGTAAAGAGGATGTACAGAAGGAGTTTCAACAACAAATTGATATTTTTGTCAAGAACGATGTGGATTTTCTTATCGGAGAGGTAACCTCTTCATAAAACATTTATTTTTAGTACACTTACTTAACAAGGCCAGTTCGGCACCAAAAGATCCGCGTCCTTTGACTCCATGGCCCCGCATGTTCCACATTAACTCGTCCCCCAGGATTTTCCTTTAAAAAGGGAGGAGCGAGCGGGAAAATGTCCCTCCTCGATTCCAAGAAAAACGCCCCTAAGGACGAGGCGAGGTTGGAGATAAATGGAGAGTTGAAGTTTTTACTGAAGCAGGTAATCGATACTTTGCTCGTTTTGAACAAGATCGATAGGTGCAGTGAGCACTTTTTCTACATCGGCCGGCAACTAATTTATCGCATCTGGTGAACCCTTGCTAGATAATCACACAGTACCTCTGCTTACTTACGTTCGCACTTAGCAAAAAGAAATTAACACCACTTTGATATCCAGGTAACTACAGTCGACTCCCGATAACTCGAACCTTCTAGGGAAATCGAAAAAAATAAGAGATATCGGGAGTTCGAAACAAATAAACTAAGTGGATGGGGAGGGAATGCAAATATGCACCCCTCACTTTAAGAGGAGCAAGAAATAAAATTTAAGATTGATGTTTTGAAAAAGGAATTAAGTGACAAAGCTTGATTAATATACAGGGATGGACATTGAATTTAAACTGAAGTGACAAAAAGTAAAGACAAAGAATTGACACTGTTGTTTAGAAATAAATTCAATGTTTCGGACTTCAGTTTTTCTCCAACTTGTCACGCGCCAAAAACACGGTTCGAGTTACCGAGGGTAAAATTAAAGTAAATGTATGAGGGAAAACCAGGGGAAATTGACTTTAGCTCGAGTCAGAGGGAGGTTTCCAGTTAGCGAGGGCTCGAAGTTATTGGGAGTCAACTGTATATCAAAAGTGCACCATACTTATTAAGACTTCTAAGACAAAACTATATGTTTTTTAAGCTCTTTTTCTACGTGGAGGAGGCAGAATGGGCGATTGAAGTAATGAAGGCCACAGGTAAACCAGTCGCCATGTGTATGACGGTATGTACGGCTGGCGACCTGGAAGAAGTGCCTATCGATGAATGTGCTGTTAGAATCGCTAAAGCAGGTACATGGAATTTTTTTCAAATATGATGCATTAGTTAAGAAAGATGTTACATGGGAGTGCCAATGCGGCCTCCGATCCCGTAATCCCAACCTACATTTTCGCTCAATCCCGCAATTCCGATGGTTTTTTTCAATTTTCGACAATCCCACATCCCAAGGACACTTTTTCCGAATCTCGCCTCTTGCTTTAACCCATTCGCCCCTGAACCGCCTAAAAACACCCGTGCGCGGGATTCGTTCTACCGCTTGTGACGTCATCAGGTTTAACGGTCAAGGACAGCTTTGTCCGTTGATTTGTGCATAGTGAAGGGATCTTTCCATCTATACCAGAATGAGCACGATTCAGTCGAGGAGACCGGAGAAAAAGGGGAAAAAACATTGTAACATTGACCCGAAAATTTCCGTGTAAATCTTGTTTCACCACCAACCCACCTTTCCTCTCATCTGATCCTAAGATCCTACCAGCTTTCGCAAAGACTTTTCTCTCCAAAATGAAGCCTACTTAATACTAAATGCCCAGCAAAAGGAAAAAAATGAGGCAAGAAAAGCGAAAGAAGATGGGAGAGAAAGCGAAAAGAAATTTTGCTTTCTGTGCATGCCCGAACTTCACAAGCAAAAATTTTACATCTGGATCAGAAGGCCGCGAAGTGTACGATCTTTAAACAGCTTTGTGGTGACAAGAAAATCGCTCGACCAGCTTTAAAACGCGTTTTCCGGCAAAATTCCCGGGGGGGAGGGATAAGCAAAGTACCAGCTTTTTTTCTCACTTTTCAGCATAAAACAACCAAATCTGGCCATTTACACCTGTAATGCAAAATTCGATGACAAAAATCGGCAAAGGGCAATTTTTAGATTTTTTGAGAAATATCCCGAATCCGGGTGTTCAAAAAAGACAATCTCACATTCCAAAAAACCTATTAGGGTCTCTCATATAAATTTGCTTCGTTAAAATCACTCTTCATGTGACTGAGTTGACGCGTCTACTCATCCCACGAGGCTCGATTCAAGCTACCAGTCCGTTACCATTCGTTCTAGGTGCCGACATTATCGGAGTCAATTGTTTCTGGGGTCCAGACGTGTGTCTGAAAGCTATGGCTGCCATTAAAGAGGCCTTAGAGAAAGCGGGATTAAAGCGTCATCTGATTGTTCAGCCAATTGGATACAAGACTCCGGAATTTCTTGACGACAGCAGCAATGGAGAGATTAAGAAAGGCATGAGTGGGCTGGCAGAGTTCCCATTTGGTAGGTTTTCTCGATGTTTTGTTCACAAGGAAAAACCAGCACTTTCAAGCTAACATCAGCGAAGGGGCCGGCCCAACTTGGAATGGGTTGGTGATTCAAACGAAAAACAAGAGACTTTTCAACAAGGCCAAGTCAAAATGTCAAAAGGATTTTTCAAATTATTGAGTTTTCGTTAAAAAAAATAATAATAACAAAATACGCCCTTAGGCTAAAAAATGTCTTGGAAACCATAAAAACAGATAAACGTTTCGACTACCAGGCTGCAGCATTTAACAAATGAGGAAAAGCATGTAAATTCATGAAATGTAGAGTAAAAATTACGGTGCGAATGAACTTACACACGAAGCTATTTTAAACGAATCAAATGAGAGTAGTGTCTACGTAATGGCATTGAATTTTAGTCTTAGAAGTATGCCGTGACTCAAGGGCTACCCGCGCTCGGTAGTCACCTTTGTTGATCACATTTGCGTTTTCAAACCCAATTTAGCGGACGTTGGAGACCCACCCGTGATTAGAAATACTGGACACCTTTTACGCGGTTTTTTGTATTTCTAATGTGTTCTCTTCATTTTTCTTGGGGAAAATCGCACGTATAGTGTCAATGAGATCCAAGGTAACTATAGTAACCTGGCTATCAAATGCGTTCTGCTTCTAGCCGGACTTATTGCAGGGCATTCAGCGCCGGCTTCCTCCTGAATACATTGAAAATACTTTTTATGCTATCCAGAGTACTTTTAGGCCCTGTTCAAACATTGAATTTCACATGTGCGGAACTTAATTCCTATTTTAGTCGACTAATGACCTGCAAATAACAAACCTCTTATCTCATGCTGTTGTCTTTTAGCGTTGGAGCCCCGCGTCCTTACCCGATTTGAAACGCAGAAATATGCTAGGGATGCATACAACATGGGGATTCGCTACATCGGAGCGTGCTGTGGAATGGAACCATATCATGTCCGAGCTATCGCTGAAGAGGCAAGTTAAATACATATCCAAGCATAGGCGTACGGGCCGGGGGGGCGAGGGGGGCTGCAGCCCCCCCAAATTTTGGGCAACTCAGACTTTTTGGGCAGCAAGAGAAAATTTGGGCAAAGCCAACTTTTAAAGACGTTTCATGTTTTTTTATGAGTATTTTGGAGAGATAAATATTTTCTATTTTAACCTGAAGTCGGCGTAACAATCAAGTTACATTCACTCGAGACAATGGTTGCCAAGCACGTGATGAGTTTCTGTTTATAAGGGAAGGGTTTTTTTTTTATCGTTGGGCACTGGGCTGCAATGGGCTGTTTCCAATCGGGAATTGATTAGAATAAACTTCCGCCTAACTTTCTAGGATCATCTTCGCTCGTAGAACAGTGTAGATAGATAGATAGATAGATAATCTTTATTTATTCACGGTACAAAATTCGTCAGCTTTAAAAATGCCTAATACTAATATAATAAAAATATTTAAATAAAAAAGCTGCTTTCCACGAATGCCGTGCCTTACAGTTCTTTGAGTAATCGTTTAAATTGCCCAAGGGACTCTGCTTCCCTTAAGTTACAAGGAAGACTGTTCCAGAGAATGGCGCCACTATAGCTGAAGCTGTTTTTGTAATAGTTTGTGCGCGGTAATGGAATATTGAGTTTATTTTCAGAGTCCCTTAGGTTATATGCGACTTCTCGCCTTTCAAATTTAGAACTAAGATAGTTTGGAGCCAACCCGTGCAGAGACCTGTAAACCATCGTAGCTCTTTGAAATTGTTGCTGGCAAGCTAGGTTTTTCCACCCTAGAAGTTTGAAAAGGTGACCAGCATCTACGTCATAGCTTGAGTAGGTCAAAACACGGGCTGCTCTGTTTTGTAGCTTTTGAACCTTATTCCGTAAGGTTATCCCACAGTTTCCCCAAACAATGTTGCAATAATCAAAGTGTGGCTGTATTAAAGCTTGATATATTAGTTGTAAGGTCGCCTGAGGGACAAGGTGCCTTATTCGTTTTATGGCCCCAATACCAGAAGCGACTTTCTTTGTTACTTTCTCGATATGGCCACTCCAATCAAGTCTGTCATCGATGGTCACTCCAAGTGATTTTGCAGTAGTGACCTGGCTAACTTCAAAATCATTAATTGCAAATGTCGGGGACTCTGTGAGAGTACTTAGCCTCTGCCTAGATCCGATAAGCATAAATTCGGTTTTAGTCATATTTAGAGTAAGTTTGTTTGCTCTCAGCCAATTGTGAACATTTTCTAAATCTTGATTTAGATGCAACTGAATATTGTCTGCATTATCACCTGCGTACGTAAGGTGGGTGTCATCAGCGTACATCCTCGGCTCACAGTTTGAAAGACAGTTTGGAAGATCGTTGATGTATAACAGAAATAATAATGGACCTAAAATCGTCCCCTGGGGTACACCACAACTTATTAAACAGCTTTGAGAGAGCGATCCGTTGATGGAGCACATTTGAGTACGATTCTCTAAATACGACTTAAACCATTGGTGCGCGTTACCATATATGCCGTAATTGCTTAATTTTGATAAAAGGATCTCATGGTCAACTGTGTCGAAGGCCTTTTTGAGATCTAAGAAAACAACGGCGTTGATTTTACCGCGGTCAATATTGTACGCCCAAGTGTCCGTGGCCTCAAGGAGAGCCGTAACAGTTGAGTGAATAGCGCGAAAGCCTGATTGATATTTACAGATTATATTGTGCTCTTCTAGGTAGGCATATAATTGATCATAGACGATTCTTTCAAAGACCTTGGCCATAACTGAGATCACCGAAATTGGACGATAATTGTTTAAGTCGTCCCGATCGCCTTGTTTAAAAAGTGGGGTGACCTTTGCGCATTTCCAGTCATCCGGAAATATGCCTTGACTTATTGACTGGTTAAAAATATCACGGATAGGAATGCAAATGAGATCTGCACATTCCCGAATGAGCCTAGCAGATATCTTGTCAAGGCCAGCTGCCTTTGACTTGTTTAGACGATTCAAAAGTGAGAGAACTTTATTTGTACTGGTCGGATGGAGCTGAAACCGTTTATCTGTGCCAGTGAGGTACTTTTGATAACCATCACTATTTGAGGAATCAATATTGCTAGCAAGTTCTGGACCGATAGTAGCAAAGTGATTATTAAATTGGTTCGACAGCACAGTTGGATTTGTTATTGATACTCCATTTACTTTCAGAGATGTCACCGATTTTTTCCCAGATTTTCGCGAAGTAAGTTCATTGATAGTCTGCCAGGTCTTTTTAGAATCGCCCGTATGCTTGTTAAAACTATTTTGATAATAGGCTTGCTTGGCTAATCTGATTTCGCTATTTACTTTATTGCGTTGTTTTTTAAAAAGTGACCAGTCATTTGAATCATTCGATTTACTTGCTTTAATCTTTAGAATATCCCGATCATGCATTCGTTTCTTAAGCTCAGATGTAATCCATGGGGAACTACGCGTGCGAACACGCATTGTCCTCAAGGGAGCATGCTTGTTAACAATAGATAGAAACGAGCATTTCCATTGTAGCCACATTTGATTGGGATCAGTTGAATTGTATATGTGATCCCAACAATGAGATGCAATATCATTCCGAAAATTTATTCGATTAAATTTTCGAAAGTTTCTGTAGGTTATAGCATTGTGCCCACCAGACATTCCATTCACGGATAATTTTCGATAGGCAAAAACTATGCTATGATCGCTAATACTGATATGACGAACCCCGAACACACAACTTTATCTGGACAATTAGTATAGATTACATCAATCAAAGTTGCAGAAGTCGGAGTTATTCTGGTTGGTTCAGTGATAAGTTGCTGTAGACCATAAATATCAGTGATATTCATTAATTTGCATGTATTATTGTCATATCGAGTAGCAATCATGTCGCAGTTAAGGTCTCCCATTAGAAAATATTCAATATTTTCGGAATCGAGTTTCCCAATTAAAGTTTCGAAAGGTGAAAAAATACCAATAGGAGAATCAGGTGGTCTATACCACGTGGCAACAACAAACGGTTTAGATCTAGGTTTTTGAATTTCCAGACATAGATTTTCAAGAGTGTCCATGTTTAAATCATTTCGTATGGTAAAATTTATTGAACTTTTCACATAGAAACACACTCCTCCTCCACCGTTTGTAATTCTATCACGTCGAATTATATCGTAGCCAGAGATGTTGACCTCATTGTCGCTAATAGTTTCATTGAGCTTAGTTTCATTAATCGATAAAATATCTATTTCGTTATGCGCTAGAAGAATTCTAAGTTGATCTATGTGTGTGATTAATTTATTGATATTTAAAGAGGCTAATTTAAAACCTCGTTGAGATGGCAACACTGAGGTAGGCTCATGAGATTCCTCAGTATTGCGTTTTGTACATTGAATAGGCACGGCATCGGTGGATAGCGCATCATTTCAACCTAAACTCATCTGAAAGTTCTTAAAAAACTGTTGATTACCTTTAAAATTAAGATGTAGTCCGCCCTTGTTAAGTTCCTTTTCGGAGATGTTTTGATGCTGGATAAATTTCCATCCATTCTGCCGGCAGTAGAACTTCAGTTGTTTATTAACTGTTTTCACGGCTTCATTGAATCCGTCTCTTCTTTGCACGAGCTCAGATATAATTACTGTGGCATCGGATGAGTTTTCAATTTGTCTGGCGAGATCTACCACTGAGCCGGCAACTTGTTGTGGTTCTTTACTTTTGAGATCATTAGTGCCCACATGCAGAATTACTTGGTCCGGTGAAAGCTCCAAATTAGGTTTAAGGTAATCCTTCATAGCTTTGGTGGTGGCACCGGAGAACGATTTAACCACCACCCGATGACCAACGGCTTTTCCTAAACGTGTACCTTGGATATTCTTTATCATAGAGTCTCCAATCAACAAGGTAGTACTTTCGTTTGCTGGCGTGGAATTTTCCGTGTCATCATGGGCGTTGGACTGTGCTTCACTGATCTTCTTTCTCCGTGTTTTGTTCTTTTTCTTTTTCTTTTTCGCGTCAACGGTTTGCCATTCGTTTTCAGGATTAGAGCTCTCATTAGACTGGGCATTATCACTCTTTGAGTTTCCTTGAGGGGCAGTTACCTCGTAACTCTGATTCCTCTGTTGTTGACGCTCTCCTACGTTCATTTCCTGCATAATAAGCTTTAATGCTAATTTTAGGGAGTCGTTTTCCTGTTCCGCGGACGATGCGCGGGTCTCAAGAGACATAATTTTCATTTTCAGCGCATTAATTTCTTTATCTTTGTTGCATAATGCTGCCTGTAACTTTTCACACCTCCCTTTCTGTTTCATAAGTTCTTCGTTGCCAATATTTTCTTGATTTTGTGGATATCTCGATAAGGAACTTGTATTATCATCGACCTGCTTCTTTAATACCGTCAGGCTGTATTTTATGTCTCTCAGCTCAGCAAATAAAGAATTTTCTGATCCCGAGTCTGCTCCATTATCCGTTGTCTGTTGGTTTTCATTTTGGCTTGTGGGTCGATTCGACGAATCGGTTGTCATCTCCGGCTTGTCCTGAACCAGTTTGAACAATTTTTCTTTTAAAAATGGACCATCTTGTCCTTGGAAAACAAGAGTAAGTTGTTTCTTGAAGTACCAGGTTATAACAAGCTTATCATTGCAACTTTTGAATTGCTTATTATTTCCGCCGGGCGACGTCCACTTTCCTTGCTGCTGAAGACAATTTTCAACAAAATTCTTCAAGGATTCTAAGTCGCTTGTCCATATTAACCGTTCTCCGTTCAGCTGGAGGTATTGCCAATCAGAACCATCAAGTTTAAGCTGGTATAACTCGGTGTCTGGCTCCCCAACGGCTTCGTCGTCGGAGCCAGAAATATCATGACCTTCCGCCATTTTCATAACTAAGGGTTGGTTCCTAACGGAACAAGTATATAGAATGATTTTATAATAAACAGTATTCCCCAGGAATACTATACTTAGCCCGCCGGATACGACAGATAGGATCAGCGATTGATCTGAAAGTGAAGAAGTGGCTGACTAATTCTCACTTTGAATTACGAGAAGAATCTTGATGTTTTTTAAAAAATCTATCAAGTGGTTCAAATTATTCACTAATTTGTTAAAGTAGACCGAAATGTTTACAAAACCGCTAACAAGAGCGCCATGATACATACTAATGAAATCCTTCTTTGTAGCAATTTTGAAATATCACTCGTGATATATGCCAAATATCACTACAAATCATGCTATTAACTATGCAATGTACAAATAACTCACACACATTTTTAAAAAGATTGAACCTACTATGAGGTGCAATTGCATGTCAAAAGAGCTTCGTTTTCTACAGATAGCGGCTAAACAACAAGATTTTCCTTGTTTTACTGTATTTCTAACGATAAAAACTTTATCCCAAACTATCCCGATAACGCTCTTACAGACTCCGTTTTAACTTCACAAACACCGAGGCGACTATTGGAGGAAAAAGCTCCCGAGAACGATTTCATATTGAGAAATAATGCTGCAAGTATAATAGGTAATGGCGTCATTTCGTTGCTATGACAACTCCGATGTCATTGCAACCAAGATCATGACAAATTTTCATCTTTATCTAATACAACTGTGGTGGCAATTTTTCCAAATGTTTGTTTATGGCAACGTATAGCTTATGCTCAAACTGGGCAGGTATATATTGACCCTGAAAAACTGTATTGCGGCACTTTCGTATGCCAGTACGGCCTATATTGTTGCATCGTATGGCCCTTGTGTCTTCTCGACTGTTTTGCAAAAATTTGGGCAACTTGCAAGAATTTTTTGGGCAAATGGTTTACCGCCCCCCCTGGCCGAAAATTGCCCGTACGCCTATGTATCCAAGAGTAGGCTAAAATCCTTACCTCCAAAGTTTGAGAACCCTACAAGAAGGCTAAACACTAGAAATTTTTATAACTCATCTGTACCTAAGAACACAACCCACATTATCCGTGGGTTTATGTAACGGTTAAACTGAACAAGCTAAACTAATCGATTTGAGTTTTCCCATCGCCATTTTTATGCGACAGGGGCTGAAAGACAGCTTTCTAGCGCATGATGAATATGGGGAATAAATTTCTCAGTACCCTGTCAGTAGACAGAAAATCGTGAATTCTCTATCTTTCTCCAGTATCTGTCTCCAACAATCCCCCTCCTCCACGCCCCTCAACAACCGCTGTTTTCCCTTAGAGGAAATCTTCTCAGCATAAAGAATGACTGGGAGTATTTAGTCAGTTAAATTTTCGCCAAATTTTGATCGTTCATGACCAATTCTATTTATCTCTCATTTAGCTTTCAGAAGAACGTGGTAAATTGCCTCCGGCCAGTGAGAAGCACGGCTTATGGGGATACGCCCTCCGCCAGCATACATATCCGTGGGTGAGGGCCAGGTAGGATGCAATCACACAATTTCCACTCGATAAACGCAACAGGAGACCCAAATTACCTCCCAACAGGGAGAAGCACAACTCAGAGTAGGGGCGGAGGTATTGATTGATACTGCAAATACTCCTTTCGAATTCGGGCGAAATGCATAGCACAGGGAACGATAGTCGAAAAAATGTGCCTCTGGTCGATCTTGGTCATGACACAGTGTACAAGTAAATGTCAGCTGGTTGCATTTATAGATAGCGCGGAGGTTTCCTAACCACTGGAAAAGTATAATGGGCAACGTACAACACAGCAACCCCCGTTTGGTTCAATTGTCGTTTATTCGAAGTGCTGGGGCGATAATATGTTTTTCCAAAGTTAATCATTTTTCCCGTAATTGATTTCTACGAAGAACAAACAAGTCTCCACTGTAAATTGAAAAGTCGACCAAAATCGTCAAAATCAATATGTATTTTAGTGTATTTTGCGGGGTTTAAAATGGTGCTAATCTGTAAAACAAGTCTACCCAGCTAGCAGAGTTTTCTTTCCGTATAGTTTTTTTTTTTTTTTTTTTTCAATAATTAAAAAAGCGACTTTTTTACCACTACACACGTTTATAACAATCATTTTGAACTATTCTGTAGAAATGTTCTGATCCTCTTCATCACTACTGCTTTCCCTCTCCACTTCTTTTGTACAATTCTCATACTGTCCATTTACTGGCTCGTTGTAGTGCTGTTCCACTAGTTTTTTTTTTTTTTTTTTTTTTTTTTTTATTTGCTTTACTTAACTTTAATAATTACAATATTGAACACTGCTTACACTGCTTACATTATTTACAACATTCATACCATACTTACAATACTGACAATACTTATTGCTTACATTGCTAACAATACTACTGTTTTCAAACATTATTACATTTCGTATGCTTCAAGTACACAGTTGCATCGGAAGAAACTTATTTAAGGATAGTTGGCGTTATTGAGGCAGGATAAGCTACGGATGAAAGACATAGAGAATATCAGGGGGCGTTGGGAATAGCGCCATGGTAGAAACGATAGTTTCTACGTGATGTCGTGTAGGAATGACCATTGTTTGGGCAGAACATTGTTTGCTTCTGCTTGTGCTTGTATGTTGTAAATTGTCTTTAGGTGTTTGAGAAATCCTTGCAATAGAGGTATAGCTTCTTTGTTTTGCAGAGCCAGATATAGTGCCTGGCAATAAGAAAACAAAAGTTGATCTGGCGTTGAAATTTAGAAGAGTCTGATCTCAGGCCTAGTGAAACAGTCATGTCTGCAGAGTAACTATCGGGAATAATTTGGCAAAGTTTTAATCGCGTTATGATGCTCTCCCAGAAGAGCGCCGTTTTGGGGCAGGACCAGAAAAGGTGTACGAGTTTTTCTGGTTCTTTTTTTACAAAAGGAGCAGTTGGAGTTTTCTTTTACTCTTATCTTAGTTAAGAAAGCGTTTGTTGGTATTCTTCTGTGCAGCAATTTAAATTGAAATTCCCTGAGTTTTATGCTTTTTGTGATTTTATGAGCTAGCTGGTAGGTCGCACCCCACGTTATTTCGTTTTGACCTAAGTTGCAGTCTTGATTCCATTTTGCTGGCTTGTAGTAGGGGGGGCACTTTTCTTTGTAATTAATTTGTCATACACCAACTTGCTTGCTTTTTTGGGCTTTCATTAGTTTTGTCGAAAAGCTTTCGTAACTATTACCTTCGTTTGTGTGGTCACCTTGGTTGAATGTGTTGCATAGCTTTTTAAGAGCAGAAATTATTCCACAGTATGCCAAGGGTTGGACCTTGATGTCGTATTTGTTTAAAAGTTCTGGTGGAGTGAGGAATTTTCCTTCTCTGTTCCTTAAGTGCTTAACTTTTGTGATGCCTTTACGATACCATTCTTTAAAGAAAATAGGGCTGTCGTTAATCCTTACAAGTGAGTTGTACCATATGCCTTGTTCTGAAAGCTGGCTCTCTGATGTTATCCTCTCTTCAAAATTGATTTCTGACCAGATTAGGAGAATTTCCTTTAAGAAACTGTCTTGCGTTTTGAAGATATTAGCTATGTCTATCTTATTAAGGTTGCTTGTGAAAGGTAGGGTACACTCAAACTTTTTCAGTTCAAGATCTAGAAAAAGTTTCCATTTACCCTGATTATCTGTATCCAGGTACTTTTTTATCCAAGTGGTTTTTAGCGCTTTATTGAAAGATAGTATGTCAATCATTTTGAGGCCACCTGCTGGGTAATTGTTAATCATAATATCTCGCTTTATTTTATCGCCCTTTCCGTTCCAAAGGAACAAGTAAAAAAGCTTGTTAATCTCGCTAATTATTTTTGTTTGTGCACAAGGGTGCCAAGACGTACACAATTTGAGAAGCTACTAAGCTTTTCAGAACAGTGATCTTCCCACTTAAGGTTAATCTACGGTATTTCCAGTTGCTTAGAATATTGTTAATTTTTTCCAGTTTTTCCTTATAATTTAGAAGTACAGTGTTTTCAGGGTCTGTCGTAAACCAAACGCCTAAAGATTTTACTTTGTTTGTTTGCCATCTGAAATTTCTTTCTGGAAGAAGAATTTCTGTTTTTCCACTATAAGTTCCGATCCAAATTGCTTCTGTTTTTTTACTGTTGAGTTTGAGACCCGAGGCTTCTCCAAAATCGTCGAGTGTGTTGAGAGCAGCTGAGAGCGACGTTTGTGAACCATTTAATATTAAGGTTGTATCGTCTGCGTATTGACTTATTTTAATTTCCTCTTGGTTAACGTGTATTCCTCTGATATTGCTGTTTCTTTTAAAAGCCTTGGCTAAGACTTCAACTGAAAGAACAAATAGATATGGAGACAACGGGCACCCCTGCCTGACCCCTCTTTCAATTTTAAAGAAATTGCTTGTCCAGCCGTTGTTTAAGAAGCAGCTCTCTATGTTGCTGTAAAGGCATTTGACCCAGTTTACAACACTTGGGCCGAAACCGAAGTATTGAAGAGAATTTATGATAAAAGGCCATTCAATCGTGTCAAAAGCCTTTTCGAAATCAAGAAATAATAATAGCCCTGGGATATTTTTTTCTTTGGTAAAACGAATAACATAGTCTATTAATCGTATGTTCTCGCCAATAAACCTGCCTTTCATAAAGCCAGTTTGATCACAGCTGATGAGATCGGGAAGAACCTTTTTCAGCCTGTTAGCCACAGCCTTTGCTGCAATTTTGTAGTCGCAGTTGAGAAGAGTAAGCGGTCTCCAGTTTTTAATGAAATACGGCTCAGCGTCTTTCTTGGGAATGAGTTTGATTACTCCTCTTCTTTGTGTGATAGAAAGCTGACTCGTTTCGTGCGCATAATTAAGAGCGTTAATCAATAAGTTTGATATGTTTGTCCAAAATACTCTATAAAATTCTGCAGGTAGCCCATCAGATCCAGGGGTTTTTCCCTGTTCCATGGTTTTCAGGGCTGCAAGGCATTCCCTTTCTGTTAGCAGGCCTTCACAGTTGTTCCGTTGTTCGTCATTCAGGACGGTGTCGTTTTCATGTTTAAAAAAATCATATGTGTCAATTAAATTGTGTATATTTCTGTTGGATGTATATAGATTCATAAAAAAAGATTCCCCTTCTGCTAATATTTCCTGATCCGAAGTAATAAAGTTATTTTCGTCCACTTTAAGTTGGCTTATAATGCCTTGCTTATAGTGTCTCTTTTCTAGGTTGAGGAAATATTTCGTATTTTTTTCTCCTTCATTATGCCATTTAATTTTAGCTCTCAATATGGAACCTTTCGTACGAGTCTCAATAATTCTTTCTAACTCACTCTTAAGATCATTCAGTTGTTCTGCAAGTTCAGAATTTTCTGTTACGCTAGAGTCTCCGTTCTCCATTTTCGATTCTAGTTTGGAAATTGCATGCTCTAGTTCTGCCTCACGGCCCTTTGTTTTCTTAGTTTTATTCATTGCGTATTGGAGCGATTTTTCCCGTATTTTAAGCTTAATCATGTCCCACAATAGAGCAGAGTTTACCATGTCATCGTTTTCATATTCGTCTTGAACTTCCTTAATCGTTGTCTTAATAAGATTAACATAAGCAGTTTCGGTTAAAAGAGAGGTATTTAATTTCCAAAGGCCGGGTCCTCTGCTATTTGCATGAAGAGACAGATCTAAAGTAATCATGGAATGGTCTGTTTTATATCCTGGCACTATATCGGTGTTAGTGACGTCCCCAATAACGCTTTGGCTTATTAAAAAGAAATCAAGTCTACAGTAAACCTTAGGTTGTCGTTGTCTCCAAGTGTACCTTTTGTCATCTGGATTGTGAATTCTCCAGACATCGAGAAGATCTAGGTTCTCTGAAATTTCTTGAACGGTCTTCAAGCTATTTTGGTGAGTTTTGGCAATGCCACCTTTTTGTCATTTTCGATGTTAAGAACAAGGTTGAAGTCACCGCCAATTATTATGTCTTCACATTTAAAATTTAAAAGATGATCGTAAAAGTTTTGAAAGAATGAAGGTTTATCCTCGTTGGGAGCATAGATGTTAGCGAGGGTCAAAAGCTTTTCGTTAGCTTTTAAGTCACAGATAATAAATCTCCCTGCAGGGTCGGTGTAAAGTCTTTGGAGCTGAAGGTTAAAATTATTGTTAAAAGAATACATACCCCTGCTTTGTTGCTTTCAAAAGAGGTGAAGTAAGCTTGATAGCCCCATTCTGCTTTCCACAAGTGATTTGTTTTTTCTATACAGTGTACTTCTTGGAGCATGCATATTGATGGCCTTTTGGCGCGAAGCCAATTAAATACTTCTCTTCTTTTAGCGTCATCCCTAAGTCCCCTGACATTCAATGAAGTTATTTTCAAAGTCACGATTTGTTCAAGTCTTTTGTAATAAACGTTGTCTCGACGGGAAAAAAACATGTGCGCCTCAATAAAGGATTTGCATTCTTTCTATTAGGTGTAAAATGATTGATGCAAAAGGTACTCGATATTTTAAACAAATAATGAAGACTAAAACGTGCATATAATATTAGACTGAAGCAAATGATCACAAAAGGTAAATTAAACAAAATAACACTTTGAATAAATAAAAAGAGTAGCGGAAAAACAAAAACAGAGCATAGACAAATTTGTAGTTAGTAAAATTAAATTACTTTGGCAGCGAGAAATTTGAATGGTTGATAAGACGTCCCTCTCCAGACTTAACGTAGATTATTTTGCCTGTTCAGTTTATAATTGATCTAAGTCCTCTTCGGAAAAAAATTCTAACAGGGGAGCCATAGGGTGATGTCTTAACAAAATCTTACCATCCAAAGACCAAACACTGAGTAGAGTACCCTCTTGTCTTCTCTTGTTCGCTTCTTTCATGATTCTACGCCTATAAGCCGTGAGGTTCTCGTTTATAAAAATACGTTGTCGTTCCTGTGCATTTGAAGGGTAGCTGGGAAATAGATCTTTGATTTTGACATCCTTTAGTTTGGTGCGTTCTTTGTAAAGTTTCGATTTCACTTTATGATTGCAAAATTTCACTATAATGGATTTGCCCCGATTCAGTTTGTGTGAAATCTCTATTTCTTCAGGCTCTATGGTGATATTTAGGGCTTCAGCAACCTTGATGACCGCGGCCTCCGTACTGGGATACGCATCTTCTGGAATTCCATGGATTTCCAGCGAGTTCTTTCGAGTGTATTGTTCCAAATCATCATGGTGTTCCCACAGTCGATCGGATTCTTCTTTTTGCTTTCCTAGATTCTCCTTTGTTGTTTTAAGCTCGTTCCTTGTTGAGGCTAGCATGTGTTTTAATTCTTTGTATTCGTCCTTGGTCTTTTGCAAGGACTCTTTCAAATCTTTAAGCTCCTTCTCGTAGAAGTTGGCAGATTCTTTTAATTCTTCGATTTCCTTCTTCAGCGTTCGATTTTCGCTAAGAACTGCAGCTATTTGGATTTGTATGTCGACCAGTAGAGCCTTGATTTCAAGAAGGCTAGGCTCTTCTTGTTCCTTGCCCGCTTCAATCGATTCTTCAACATCAATGTTTTCCTCGGCCGCCATGTTGGATTTCTTCGGATTTCTTGGTTCGTATAGTTTTGACATTTCGTTCGGTTGGTTCGTTTACAGCCAACGTTGAAAGCATACATGCCGAAGGACTCCGCACATGCTTCTTAAAACCATGCTGGCAAAAAAAACTCTGCTCGCAGGGTAAAACAGGTCTGACCAATCATTGCTACTGCTTTGTTTCAGAGCCCGTCGCTCTCATTGGGAGAATCTTGAGCCTACCAGCGGCCGCCCATTCAGCACCGCTCTTCGCAAGATAGAAACCCAGTGGGCCGATCTGTCTTTGAGCAGCAAGACTATGCAGCAGCAGAAAGTACAGACCACAGAAGAAGAAGTACAGCAGTTGGCCGCGAAACGCTCCGCAGTTCCGATTAAAACCTGCTAGAAACGGACGCGATCCAAACTTGCGCTATTTGGGACGAAAGGATTTGTTTTATTCTTGGTTTTAATTCAATTTATGCCTAATTTACACTAGCAGTTCGATAACTTTTTCTTGGTATACAGTAAACGCTCTCGGCTCAAAAGAAACAGTGATCAGAAACCTCCAGGTTGAAATTTGGACATGCCATATAATGTTTAGTCTCTTCAGAAGTAACCCAAAGAAGATGTTGGATTTCAGAGTGGATTTGCCTAATCTTTCGGGGGGGTGGAGGGGGAGATTGACTTTTGAGAGCCACGTGTATAATATTATTGTTTCTGAAGGAATAATTTGTTCCTTAAAACTACCAGGGTAAAGTTGTCAAACTTGCTAGACAAAAAGCAACTTTTATACCCGCTTTTCAATTCGTTATTTGGTTATTAAGTGATTAGCGTACCTAAAATGTGAATAACGAGCGCAAAACCTTTGATCGCTTTTCTTAAACTTGCGCAGCAAGGTCTAGAAGTGAAATTTGAAAGCGAATTTGGCTCAGCAAAGTAAGGCTTTTATGTACAGACAAAAAATAGACAGTCAATCACTGTTTAAAAAGAACCTTTGTTTAAAGGCCAGCCTCTTTAGGATGACTGCTTAACACCAACAGGATTTTGACTTTATTTGGTGCATCTAAATGAACGCAATCAGTTTTAAAGATTTCATCGACAAACAAACCAAAGTAAATGATTAACCTTTGATCGTTTAATGTCTTACATTCTGATAGATTGCAAAATGCTTTTCAGATGATTTAAGTAAAAGTGTATAAAAATTATTTGTGTAAAATCCGACACCGGAAGCTTTGTAGAAGCTCATATTGCAATAAATTAAACCGCTGAAAACTTTTTTCATAAGTTGAGTATGATCTTTTTATACATGTTGCTTCAGTTTCGTCTCTCAGTATACTTTTTATTTAGGCACGGGGAAGGGTGTTGGGGGTTGAGGCGGGGAGGGTGTGGGGAGTTGAGGGGAAGAGGGAAGACAAATAACACTGGCGACGAACTGGCTTCAAAACAATCAGATGTGTGACGCGCCATTAGTACCAAAGGACAAACCGATTGAACTAATGAAAAAGTTGAGAGACTTCATCACGCTATTTTGCTGATGAAACTTGTGGAGTGATTTAGACAGTCAAACCGTATTATAGAGCTAGGGAATGTATGATTTTTGGTATTTCTGGGACCAAACAAACTGTACGTAATAGAGGGGTGTCCGTATTGAGGTGTCCGTAAGGAGAGGTTAGACTGTACTTCATTATTTTGCAAAGTAACAGATCAGCTTAGTTTGGAAAGAAATGTTCTTTCAGTGTATCAAAAGCCTCAAAGAGAATACAAGAAGCCATGTACTAGTTTGACAGCTCAGCTTTTCAACCAGAAATCCCAAGGTTAATATTTGGTTAATTCTCTTCATTGTTTACTTAAGTCTTTGACAAGGCCAACTACACAAAAGGTTAGTTGATACTTACACTGAACCAAGATAATTTTTTTGTAGAACGTCTTTATTGACACAGATATATTTCACAAAACGAACCTACACCAACAAACATGGAAGCAACACAAAAACAGGTTACAAAGTTTACAAATCGAGGAATTGAATACAAATACATATTTTCAGTTTCTAGTTGTGCAGGTTTCACTGCGAACCGCATTCTAACTAATTTTCTAAAGTATTTAGATTATCATCAAGTATTTACCTCTGTTTGCTTTTTACAGCTTTTTAGCGGGGATAAATCTAAAAGCAACTTTTTTGTCCATTATACTGATAGCATTTGAGGATCAGTGGTAAATAATAGGGCCATTTATAGGAGGAAAAATTAGACGCGTCTTAAATAAGACGTGAACTTTCCGTATAAACGGCACATTTCGTCTAAAATAAGACGCGGCTTATTTTAGAACAGCCCTTAACACCTGTTCTTAGATAAGACGCGCCTTAGCTAAGACGAGAAAAACTTCGTATAAATGACCTTCGCGTCTTACATAAGACGCGAACGCATAGTGCGCATGCGTTAATTTTTGGTGGGAAAATTGTCGCTTCCCCCGCGGTGGAAAAATTGTTTACAAATTACAACGCGTTTTCGTTTCCTTGTCTATTCTGCTTTTTTTTTTTTTTTCTTCGCTCAAATACAATGAGCACGCCGTTAAAGGTAAAAAGAAACACTTGGTCCATCGCGGAGGAAAAATATTTTTTGTTATTATGTAAGGAGAAGGCGATAATAGACCTCCTGGACAAATACGTGACATCTGCTGGTGTAAGTAAACTTTAACCTATCACAATTTATATTTACTAATCAAATTGCTATCTTCGTATTATAAACTTACACTTTAAAAGTAAGTTTAAGTATACAGAAGACTTAGATAAGACATGCTCGTGTAAATGGTCAGTTCGCGTCTTACTTAAGACGCGTCTTCTGTAAGACGCATCTTATTTTTCCTCGTATAAATGGCGCAAATATAGCAATCTAAGTTTTACCCATACTTAGTATCGCAATAACATGTACAGTTTTTACAAAGAATTCGCCATATGACATTCCTAAACCACTATTTCTGTAGATGTTTCAGGTTATCAATTGCAGAATTGACTAATTAATTAAAGAGGATGACAAGGAATATGTAACCTGCAGTATAGGCGTTATTTTTTCGTGTGTTATGCAAAGGTAAGCGCGAAGCTGACGTGGAGCGCAACACACGCGCGACGCGCATTATGCCATTTCGCCTGTCTGATAAAGAAAAAACACCAACCCATCACCGTCCTGTTATTTTAAAATCTGAAACTTCTACTAACTTTATATGAGTGAACATTTTCTAAGGCGTCTTCGTCATAGGCTTTATTTACGGTACACAAGTGGAAATCGGTTTAGGACTGACCGTGTTACAATTGACTAATCGTTAAAATGACCACTGACCTATTTTAAACTAAATTCAACCTGCTTCAAGTTTTGTCGAAGACTCATTTAGGCTACCATGGCTAACTCAGTTATTTTGTTACCTCTGCGTCTTGCGTCCCTGCAGGCGCATAAAAATTCCCAAAGACGGAAAGTAATTTGTGGTATAAAGATCGACCGATCGATTTGAAGATGTTTGTGAAGAATATCCCGTTTGTGTGATTTCTGGGGCATATTCCTTTAGGCTTTGATGTGCTTGACAGTAGAAAAAGTAAACTTTTTATTTCAGTAAAATGTAATACAGAGTTTTAGGTTAACTGTGTGTTTACATACACACCCAGGGAGTAGTGTTTTTGAACTGGCACTAAATGGTTCTAGACTGAGACTCCTGATTTTTCACAAGATTAGTCCCAGGACTCACCATACTATTTGTAACAAATCACTGCTAAGGGACCGATCATTATTTGTAGCCTGGGGGGGAGGCGAAGGATCTGGGGCTAAACAAGGTGAAATTTGGTCCGATCCTCCCTTTGAATGTTACTTCTTGATCCCCCCTCATAACATTTCATGACTTTCGCGATCCCTCCCCCCGCAATGTCTTCATTTTCCGAGCAAATTTGAGTGGTTTCCCCTCTGAATCCTTCCAATGTTTTCAGCGATCCCCCCTTCCATTTTGGGTTCTTAGTTTCGACTGATCCCCCCTTTTATTCTCCTAAAAATTATTATGTGATACCCTCCCAAAAAAATCCTCCCTCCCCCCTGCCCTCCCAGGCGATAAAAAATGACCGGCCCCTAACTTAATTTTTCTTTGAATTTTTTCCTGGAAATACTTTTAAATCTACTTTACCGTACAGTAAAATACCCTGTTAGCAGAACCTCCTTTACTCTTCTTGACTGAAGATGAGAAAAGAAGGCTCTACTTGAATCACGTCAAGCCTTTACGTTGCTTAAGTCCACACTTCTGGACTTGTCAATCTTGTTCTCTACCGTCAAACTGGTTTTCCGAATGCGAGGATCCCTTTTTTGATAAACCGATAGTCATAACTGAGCCCGCTGAACCAAGCGCAAGGCTATTGCGTTTGGGATCGAAACTGTATTCAAACAACACGCGGCGCATGCTCAGCAAAGGGCTTAATTGATTCATGCAGTCTTTTCGCGAGTACGCCAAATCAAACTACGTCAAAGAAAGGCTTTCTTAGCAGCGTACAAACACCGGCATAAAGAAAGTGGATTAAGAACCTGCAGGCTGAAAAGTAGCTAATAAAGCACCTAAAGAAGCAAACAATAGATACCGTACAACATTTTCAGAACCTCTCCGGCTAAATTTCTCCCAAATTACGCATAAGCCTAAAACACAAAATCCCTGGTTCTTTTATGCGGGTATTAACCATATTTAAACGCCGTACTTTTAACAGAGGTCTTCTCAAAGGTTCCCTGCCAGCAGAGGCGCAGGGAACCTGGAAGGTGTGTGGTCATCAGTGAAATTTCATTCCAAGTTAACCAACCTTACCATAATACCTTATGACTGTTGTTATTATGACAGCAAGCCCTATTTGAAAACTACCCCACTAGTTTTAATTCTAACTACAGAGTACAAAAATTCTAACTACAGGAACTGCTTTACTCTTACGGAGAGCGTACATCGTTCACAATAAGAAAAGGTCCCAACACAGTCACCGAGTTTGCTAATTATGAGATATATGCCCTTCATGAAAATGGTCTCGAGAAGATAGGATAAATCTTTTAAATATAATTTGTCTTAAGCTTGTTACTTACAAAGCTCTTCCTTGTTTAGCGGCCTTCAATTGCCTTCTCGTACGGACAGGTTCTGTGTCAAACAATGGCTCTTTGACAACAGTGGCTGGACACTTTGTTCCTAAGAGTTCCACTTCTACTCGGGATCCTAATTCTGTCAGCTCCAGTGGCAGGTAGGCTAATGATATACTCTTCTGAAGCCTGTAGCTATATGCACCAGAAGTTGTATTACCAACAACCTACAACACAAGCAGACAAATTATGAATGCGTTTGGTTGGGAAAAATCGGATTATACTGGGGGACAAGGGTGACGCAGTGGTGATAGCACTCGCCTGCCACCAACGTGGCCTGGGGTTCGAACCCCCGTCGATGCCATATGTGGTTTGAGCTTGTTGCTGTTTCTCCCCCTTGCTCCGTGAGGTTTTTCTCTTGGTAAGCCAGTTTGCAGCACTCCTTAAAAACCAACACTTCCAAATTCGAATTCGATCTGGAACGCAAGGACACGTTTCAACGAATTCTCAAAACCTCCTAAGAGCTCCGTGGGTAAACACATTACAATTTACCGTTCGGCCAAAACTCTCAACAATGTTGAGAGTTGTTGCGCCCGCTTGCACGTAGCGTAAGTCTATCCTAAGTCTGTCCTTGTTCCATGTCACTGAGCCTTCGAAACTGACTGCGCATATCCTTGTAATCAAGTAAGAAAGTGAATAAATTGAACGAATTTGCTCCTTTTTGCTAATTTCTAGTATTTTGGAGTAATTGTAATGGGCGGCGGGGAGGGGTAGCGTTTGTTGGACAAAAGGCGTTTAATTGAGGAGGCGCGTCAATTGGAGCATCTACAACAGTGGCAAAACCCTTTTTGCATCGCGGAGGAGATGAGGCAAAAAGACGGAGGGAGGGAAGGTGGTGGATTGCTAAGTCATATGACCGGCACAACTGGAGAACCGAGCTCTTGCAGTAAACTATCTTCTGAAATCCAAGATCAAAATGAAGAAAACTGTCGCCGATAATTACCTTTCCTCCAAACCAAATAGATTCATTTCCTTCAGGGTCCACATCAGTTGTTTCTACAGTCAGCATACACAGCTTCTTCTTGATACCATTTTCCTTGTGTTTCAGTAAATTTTCTCGCCCAATGAAATCACCCTTTTAAAAATAACAACCGATTATTAATATTAGTGATAATAATGATCAGGGTTGTCACTAAGATTTCAAGTTGCCGGGTAAATACAACAAGTAGGCGGGGAATCAAACAGCTAGGGATTTCTTTTGGTTCTATTTTTCTTCTGTTTTTGAACCAAAGTAGCCGGGGGCCACTCTCTTAGTATCCGGGGAAAATCCCCGGCCCCCGGCTCTTAATGACAACCCTGAATAATGGTACTAAAAATGTCAATAACAATGACCATTACAATGACAATGATAAAGAAAAAGGTTGATACGAAGATGATGATGACGACGATGATGATGATAATCATTGCTCTGCAAAATGTTGAAGTCATAGGACAATCCTTGCACACAATCTCTCTTTCTAAATGCAGTGAGAAAATATGGTATCTCCTTCCTTCTCAAGGACAACTTACTAACAAAATGCAGCTTGAGTGTAACTTTACCTTGTCAAATTTGATAAAGAAGTCTAACCCAGCCTCCAGCGGGGTGGTGTCCATATTCATCTGTTGAAACGTATAAACAAAGATGTCATTATAGGAGCACTTATAAGTAAGAGATTGAAACACAAGTCATACACTTAAAAAATTATGTATGTGAGAGTGGGTCGAACATTCGAAAGTGTTTGCTTAACTTATATGAACAGGCCACAAAGGCGGGAAAATAAGGTTCTGAATCGCTTCACGGTGAATTATTACCCTTTTGACAAAGCCCTTAGTATATTCTCACGCTGGCTAAAGGCATTAAGCCCCGTGCAAACGGACGCAACATTGTTGACCAACAACTCTCAACATTGTTGGATGTTACATGTTGCGTCCACTTGCACACCCTGTTGCATGTTGTTGGATGTTGTTGCGTGTTGTTGCACAAAGTTTGAAACCGGTCAAACTTTTCAGACAACAACTCCCAACATTTCTTTTGTTCCGTGATCGCCGAAGCGTAGCGCAACAAAGTTGGATCCGTTTGCCCAGCTCTTCCAACATTGTTAGGGCCACGCACTCTCATTACGCATGGTTTACAAAGACTTATAGGTTGTATCCTTCCCACGACGCACTGCAGGTCCCAACATTGTTGGTTGCATCCGTTTGCACACCACTGCCAACAAGCAACAACTTCCAAAATTGTTGGCGCAACAATGTTGGGAGTTGTTGCGTCGTTTGCACGCAGCCTTAGGAACCCTATAGAGTTCTAAAGTGATGACGTCATAAAAATTAAATTTGTGAAATTAAAAACGGTTAGACCCAAGTCAAATTTAGACGGATTTGTATGGAGTCATCAGAATATAACTGGACTAATATTTCATAGACAATTTTCTCCACAATGCTAGTTTTTGGCAAGTAGGTCTCTTGGATGTTTTTCTTTCAGAATATCCTGACAAATCCCATAATTTCGCAAATTTAATTTTTTTATGAGGTCACACTTTACAACTCTATTCTCATTTATTTCTTCTCTTAACAAAGACATTTCCTAAAACATTCGTCTCTCAAACGCTACAGATTGGATTTATTATAGCCTTCTTTACCACCAATCTTAGGTCAAAGGTACTACTCGTTCTGTTAAATCTTTTGTATGATGTAAAAATAGCCTACTTGCATACATATATGTAACCTTTACTTCATGACTTCCAATTTTATGAAGCGATTCTGCTAGCAGGGTAAATTGTATGAGAAGCTACATGTACAATACATAGCTAATATCTTCGCGAAAAAAATTAAGATCTCTAAAACTGGTTAATGTAAAAGTACTGTTACGTAATTCGTCGGTGCTAAGCGGAAAAACAGTGGAGCCCATAGATAGTAGTTCTAGACTTGCCCTTGTATTCCTACCTCCAGTCCCCAGGATCTAAATCCTTTCTCAACCCTCAATGACGTCATAGCATAAGTACCAAAGTCTCCGATACCAAACTCCTCCCCAGCCTTCAGAAGCGCCTCGTACAGCTCGGCCGTGTACTCGTTCTTGTGGTACAATTCCCAGCCCAGTTCACCTGATAGTGTTGGAAATTGAAAAGTAATTTTCGAACGCGTTTGACGGAATCCATCAGGAAATTGAGTAATTTTAATTTTTAGTAGACAAAAACCTTGTACCAGAACATTTTTATCCATATCGCATTCTTTTTTACACTTTTCAAGGGCTATAGATATAACTAGTTAACTGCAATAACACAAAAGATGTCCAATTTCTTATGAAATTTCAAATTTCACAGGAATTGAGAAAGCACAGATAAAATCGTTATGCGTAAGTTTTCATTTTGTCAAATTTAAAGCTTTTCTCGGGCTCCCATAAGAATCATTTGTTTGGAGTAATTTTATATAACTTATTACATTATTTTATAGCCTTCGAAAAGTGTAAAAAAGGGTGAAATATGCTTGAAATTATTCTGATACAAGGTTTTTGTCCACTGAAAATTACGATTACTCAGTTTCCGTATACTGTGGGGTAGTTGCGTAAGGACGAACCTCTGGGGTTTTGCGATAACCAACAGAGATTTTTCCTATTTTCCTACTGGGTATTGATTTTTGCAGCTCTCGACTACTTGCAGATAACACTCTAGTTTCTATTTGAGAACATACATTTATTATACCAGAAGGAAATACAGATAAAACAACACCCAAATGTAAAATACCGTATTTAATCGGCTATAAGCCGAGACCCTAAACTTTGAACTCGTAGAATGAGCATAACCAAGAAAGAAAAACAAATCCAAAAACACCCGGCTATAAACCGAGACCCATTCGTTACAACACTTAAAACTACAGTAGCCTGCGTAGCAAACGTTTCCGCGCGAGTTCGTCGAGAAAATTGGGACGAGAGCAATAACTCGACTGGAAACGCTTGCTACGCAGGCTAAAACTACATTAAAACATAACATTTTCGAAAAAAAGTCTGACCTTCTCTAGGAAAACGTACAATTGTTGTTTGGGTTTTGCGCTGCTATCATTCTTTCCTCATGCCTTCATCGTATGTTGTACTCACTAATTAGGGTAATGTCATTCTTAGAGCACTTGCCATTTGTCAGAACTAGCTGGCGTACTCTAGTCCGGCGTACTGAAGAGAATTCCGCTGTTAATCTGGACTCTCCAGCCAGATCAGTTAATTCCTAAATGATATGCAGGGCAGTGATGGGTTTTAGTAATTAGTTAAAGACTAATGCTTCATTTTCAATTGACCAGTCTGGTCAGCCAGTTCTGACTTTTGAAAAGCGCCCTAAGTTATTGTGCTATATTTCTGTATGACATTTGTACGTTTGTTTTCTCTGAATGACGCCACATTTCAAACTGGTCGTCAGACTCAGGGTTACGTTCTGTCTCAACAGACATGGTGAGTTATTTCTTGCAGAGCAAGTTATTTTTCATTCACTTTTCAGCTGACCTTGAAAAAGCAAATATCACAAAAGGTACCGTCAATCCCCCTCCCCAATCCCCCCCCCCAAAAAAAGACAATAAATGAACGTAGCTTACCAGTATAGGAAATTCTCATAGCAAGCACAGGCAAACCAGCGATATCAATGTCTTTGATCGTCAGAAATTTAAACCCACTGTTACTCATGTCTGTGGAAGTGAGTTTGGAGAGCACATCGCGCGAGTAAGGCCCAGCTACGCTAAGACAGGACATATCATCTGTCACATTTTCAATAGTTACTTCGTAATTTCCTTTCCTTGCATGTTCCAATAACCACCTAGATAGGGAAAGGAAGGAGGTGTTCAATAATTGTTAGGAGCTCTTTATTTCAACACTTTACTTCGTCCGGGAAATTAGGGGGGATTTTTTAAGATTAGTTCCTTCTTAAAGAACTACATGAGTTACGTAAGTATAAGGGCGTTTAACGGCTGCACTGTTCCAAACGCCTCGAAGACGACTGAGAAAAAATGGTGATAAACTGTAGTCTCCTTTTTGAAGCTCTTCAAACAAAGAGAAGTTAGAAACCTCGCAAATAAAGCGAAATTCAAGACAAGTATTTGAATATAGAAAGGAAAATTGATTTTTCTGATGAACGGGAGAAAAGAAAAAAGTTCTCCTGGCATAAAAATGTTACATAACATTTGCGTCCACTCTTTTCTCCCCTTTTTCCATCATCTTTCTGGACGATAGCAGAACACTCTCCCTCTTGTTTTGATTTTATAGAAATATTATTGCATCAAATGGCAAATGATGTGATCAACGTGTCACGAGCATGGAACAAAAAAACCACTGAGCTACGAAGGACTCGTCAGTGGCGAGCTAGGCCATATACAAGGTTCATGTATGACATGCGTCCTGTGTACTGCTAGGATCAGCAATGTGGAAATCGTCATGTGTGTGATATATAAAGAAAGATGGCAAATTTTAAGCTCGGTGAAGAAATGAGAAATGATGTGATCAACATGTCACCAGCATGGGACAAAGAAATCATCCGGGTCCCCGACAGGAATGGAACCTATGACCTTCCTTACACCGGTCGGATGCTCTAACCACTGAGCTACGAAATTATAAGGTTCATTTATGATTATTGCATCAAGTTTATCATCTTCTTCGGTACGAGGCAGACACCCCTCCATAAATGGAGCCTACCAAACACGAGATTCGGTGTTCTATCACAAGTAAACAATGAGGAGAAAGTTGAAAATACGACGCGTAGCCAAGTATTCTTGGTGAACTTCAAATTGTTTCATACTCTTACGAAACACTGTTTCAAGTGTCTTATATAACTTCAAAAAGAATAGGATTATGAAGAAGAAATTAATGATGCAAAAAAGGAGTATTTCATCAGATATCTAAATACTTGACGGTGTGCGGTTTACTTTGAGTTTGCTTGTTGAGTAATTAACGATTTTGAGAAAGAAGAAATATAAAATTTTACGACACTGACCTTAGGTCGTGGAATTCCGATGAACTTCCGGTAAGCAAGAAATAATGATCAGGAGCCAGGGTAGAGACTGTTAACTCAGCGTAAACCCTGCCACGTGGGCTCAACATGTGACTGATGTTTGTACAACCAACCTGCAATGAAAGAAAATACGATAGCGACGATAACCACAACATTAAGGTGATGGAAATTATGGTAATGATGATAACGATGAACGACGATGACAACGACGATGATAATGATGATGATGATTGTAATGATGATGATGATGATGATGATGATGATGACGTTGATGGTGACGATGATGATTGTATAGACGACGTCAATGGCGAAGGCGACGGAGACTGGCGATGACGACGGCGATGATGATCATTTGATTTTCTGCATATGTTTGAAGGAGAAAGCCAATACAAAACCCATGACTCTCTTAAGGAAGGGATGACGAACACATCATATCAAATTCATTACTTTGGCATGCAAAACACAACGTCGATTATTGCTGCCAGCCACATAACATTCCGAGTTAGGGAAGCAAATCAAAACGCAATCCACTGATTTGGTAAATACTAATAGAAAACACACTGTGAAAGCTATTCTTCATATTATAAATTACCTTTGGTAAAACATTTGCAACCATGAAATCTAAGAACTTCGATGCATCTTTCCCTTTGACTTCAAATTTCCCAAATGGAGTCAGATCAATAATACCAACTTTATTCAGTACCAAATCATATTCTCGTCCAACTGGTTCAAACCAGTTTGTTCTACGGAAACTTGGTTTGTAGCCTGCTTCATCACCAGGCAGGGCAAACCAGTTCGGTTGCTCCCAGCCAACATGGAATCCCATTTCTGCACCACGCTGTATAAGACGCTGCAACAAACAAAGAAACCTAAAGCTGAGGTATTCCTGAATGCTTGTGCCTCTATCTCAGGGGTCAGGTAGGTGCAGGGGGGAATAGACATTATTCACGATACCCGCCATTTTTGCACGCATCATTCTCAGATGCGTGCAAAAATGGCGGGTATCGTGAATAATCGGATAAAAGCAATGTCACGTGGTATTTCAAGGGGCAAACAAAAGATAAAATTTGCTAATGGCGGAATGCGAGAAATCCCGGTCGACTTTGTTTATTCTTTCAAAACGAAACGACGACCTAACAGTCATGCAAATTGTAGGGTTTGAGTTTCGACAAAATTAACGTCATTATTGCTCGCTGCGCGGACATCTACGGTCGCTACTGCATTGAAAAAAGTAACAATGATCAATTCCACCCATAATTTGCCATTATCGTCTTTAATATAACAAGTTGTTCATTTTCTGTTGTCAAGAATAAACAAACGCGTCTGCGATTTCTTGTATTGGAAATATCTATCACCTGTTTGCCCCCTGAGAAGCCACGTGACATCGCTTTCATCCCATCAGTCCTTAAGCGCGTGCAAAGATGGCAGGTATCGTGAATAAAGTCTATTGCCTTGGAGTCGGAACGAATTAGCTGGCTGTTGCAGACAGGTGGTGGTTATGACGAGCTCGGGGTGTTCAGTATAAGATATAAATGTAACAAAATTAGGGTGGGGGATGCAACATTTTCAAAAACCCTAGAAGTAACTCAACAAAATTAAAATAAAACACAAATCGCATGGTCAGAGAAATATGTCCGCGAAATAAACCGAGTCAGGATGGACTCACCGTCTAAAGTGGCCGCTGTAGAGACTGACGTACGACAGTATAAGAATACGATATTCATAGCCTTTTTCCAGGGGTTCAATATTGTTATTTACGCGGTTGGCTAAAGATCTGTTCAGCAACAAGAATTTGGTCACGATTTCAATTGTTGAAGAAAAAGGCCAAGGCCAAACGTCGAACTTTCCATCTGACGAACCAAACTTAGGGAGTTAAGTTCATAAAAAGTTCGACGTCTGGCTCAGTTAAGTTCGTCTGGATGGATTTGGATCGTCTAAACGCCGTTCTATCCGTCTGTTTTAGATAGATAGAACGTCTGTAGATCGTCTCCGGGACAAACGTCGATCTTCACATGCGACAAACTAAATTAATAAATTAGAAATTTGTATGACAATGTACACTGATTTAGGCTCTTTCGGGAAAAAAAAATATTAACATTGCTTTTTGGTCTGATTCAGTTGATTGGTTCGACGCGTCCTAAGTTCGACGTCTCTCCCAACAGACGATCTTAACTCAATTTAGGTCAACCCAAAGTAGAGTTTGGTTCGTCTGATGAAAATTTCCGACGTTTGGCCGAGGCCTAAGATCTGGGAGTAATGGCCACGCACTTACCTCGTATATGGCGTTTTTTCTAACTGGTCGTCCAGCAGGGCGTTCTAATTTTGGATGCCCAATTTGGTTATTATAACCATAGGTCTCCCGGCATTTGGCCAAAACATAATCTCTTGTTGCCCATGTACCATAGCGACCTTGTTCTAGTTCAATTAAATCATAAGGCGGTTCTCCATCCATGATCCAGTCGGCCAAATATGTACCAATCCCACCTAATAATTTCCAAAAACAATTGATAAACAAAATTAATTTCCTTTATGAACGTTGGTTATGATCGTAATAGTTTGAGTTATAAAACATTTTTCTACAATTTTTACGTTAAAGAAAATCTGCAGATTTGCAGTGTTTTATTCTAATGGTTGCCAAGTTATAAATCCAAACGCATGTAAATTGAAACTTTTATTTGGCCGTTCGAGTCCTGGAGATTTTTCCGAGAAAGCTAGTCGAGCTGATTTTCTACCTACTATTTAGCCAAAAAGGAACAAATTGCCTAAAACGCTGTTTACGGGTGGAGCACTATGCTGGTTTTCGTTCTTGATGAACAAACGCGTATGACTTGCTGCATTGATGAGCAACGAAACTCAAAAAGCCAGTTTTCAGTGAGTTTTATCGTCTGAATTGATGAGATAAATAAGCCACGATAAAAAAATAATCACAACTATAACAAAATTCTCAAATCTGATTGGCTATCAGCTGCCCTGATTTCAGCCTTAATAGGACAGTTTAATAGGACAGTACGCGCCAACCTTATATATCACAAATTTTGTTAAAGTTATGATTAATTGGTAACAGAACTTCGTATCGTCCAATTCGGTCTGTAATCATACTCGTGATTGGAACAAAGCGGACTCCCGCTACGGGATCGTCCGTCGTATGAGTACAGACCGAACTGGACTCCACTCAGTCCTGTTACCATTACTAATCAAAAAAGTTCAAGTTTCGCGGAGTACTGACCCCTTAATGAACTGAAACCCAATCCAAAATAAATTTCCTGAACCTATTTTTGCCACTTCGAACAAGCGTAACGCATTTTCTTTTTTTTTTTCGATTTTATTTTATTTCGCTATTTCACATGATATTTTGGAGCAATTGCAGTCTATTAGAAAGGGGGAGATTGTTAGAGGGGGGCGTCTAATACAGAACTTAAAATCGTAGGGGGTGGGCGTTTATTAGACAAGAGGAGTTTATTTGAGAAGGAAAGTCTATTACCTTATTCATGAAGTTAACGCGAATATAAAAAAATTGCTTTAGTTTAAGTCGCGTAAAATTTTGTAAACGTAAACTTCTGCGCAGTTAAGTAAGTGGAGCGTTAATTTCTTCGACTTTAATTTCCATTATTTTGGTTCCGAATTCTCGGTACACTTTTGCCATTCTTTTCACCTAAGAAAAGGAGTATTTATCAGGGTGGAGTCCCGCCAGTTATTAGTGAAACTGTGAAGAACCCACCAAGTGGCCAGATTTCTTTGCTTGATCCCTTTCATACGTTTAGCGAAAGTACAACGAACACAGTTTCCTTTTCGAATTATACGTTTAACTTTGTTTACGCTCCGTGTTAGTTTTCTTCATTTTGAAATGTTATCCTCTCTTTCGAGTTAATTTGCTTTACTCGTTTTTGTTTTCCATTTAATTCGCGTTAATTTAAGTCGTGTTAATTTTCAATACGCGGTAATTTCCTATCATGAGGTAGATGATTTTCATCAGTATACTTCTCTACCTGAATGGATGATGCCATATCCTGTGCCGACTGCCAGCCACATATTAGGTAGGTCAAATGAAGGCCCTATCATGCCCAATACATCAGGACTGTATGTTATCGGACCTGCTACAACACTGGCAATGTTTGCATCAGCAAGTACAGGAATGCGCTCCATAGCTGCGGCAACATTGTCGCTGATTCTGTCCAGATCACTCTCAAACAACTCTTTCCCAAAGCCAGGCGGCACACCATCCCACCTTGAGTATTTTAAAAAGATAGTACATGAACTCAAAAAAGGCCAGGGTGTCAAGAATCAAGGTAGTCATTTAAGGACAAAAGTAATAATTATTACCTCACTGGTACTAATTTCGCGAAAATGTAATTTCGCCTTTTTCGCGATTGTAAACACGCGAAATTTAATTCCAATATATAAATTTCAAATCACAGCAAAAAAATAATTAGCATGTAATACCAAATACAGAAAATGTATCGACAAATACACAAATGTTTGACTGGTTTCAAGTTCCACTTTGTATCTTCTGTTGTGAAAACGTTAATTTGCAAAGATTTCACATTTGGAGGGGGAGAATCAAGATGAAAAGAATCTTTAAATAAATGCATTTTGCCTGTTCTAGTTTCCCTGGACTTTTAAAACAAATTATTAAAAGGTTTATGAGAATGCTTGAATCGCGAAATTGTTATAGCCCTTTTTCAAATTCGTGGGTTGAAATCGCGAAAGTGAACCCGAGAAATACCGTCTCGCAAAAATCGCGAAATTGAGCATCAATAAGCTTAAGGTATCATAAAATAGCTCCGCAAAGTCACCGAATTTTACAGACGTTTGTATAGTGTGTGTGTAGATCATTACACGTTTCTGGAAAACTTCCCACCTACCCCTCCCCTAAGTCAATATTTTGGGGAGGAGTAGGTGGGCAGTTTCCTGGAAACGTACATAATGATCTCAAACCTCAGTAAAAGTTCTCCACTTAGTGCAGTAATATCTTCGCTAAGGCCTGGATACAAATATCCGGATATTTTTAAAGATAGTTAAAAGATTTTAAGATATTTAGAAAATCTCATGATATTTAGGAAAAAATTGTGATATTTAGAATTTTGTTACGAAAAAAGTACTGTTTCTAGGAACCTACTTCGATGCTAATTACGGCATGGGTATTTCAGTGACAGAAATTCAAACAAATCTCCACATATGGGCCTGTTGTAATCAGATTCAGCAATATTCTCCATTTATGATAATATAATAATTATATGCAATGTAGCCAATGTTCAACAAAATGGCTGAAATTTGTGTTGCCATTTTAGATGACCGGCTACTTTTTTGGTGTTTTTACTGTAACATTTATGAAATGAAGCCAGATATTTTTGAGATATTTAGAACGTTTTCGAGATATTAAGAAAAAAAATCGGGAATTTCGGCAAACATATTTAGGCAATTTTTCGTGATATTTGTTTCTAGGCCTATCTTCGCTCTCTTTGAACGTATCACCTTGAAAACTTGGTAAGTTACCATAATCAAGGCCCTCTTTCTAGCAGCTAGTGTTGATGGATATTCTCTTACTGCTCTTTCTCAAAAGTTGAAAAAAAAAGTGTAAGGGTCTCTACTTACGCTTATTGTTGTTAAAGACACATTTTTTTTTTGTCGTACCAAACGAATTTAGCCGAACATTGCCCTTTCAAGAAAAGTTTTTTTGCGGCCTGTAGTCCATTATATAAAATACAAGATTTTAAAATTGACCCTGTACCATTCATCTTGTAGCCTCATTTTGTCAGGATGTTCGTAAGGTCCCACCAACAGACCCTTCCTCTCTTGTCTACAGTAGTATGATCCTTCAAGGTCTCGTATGACTGGCACTTCATGCTCCAGGGCTGCAACTTCAGGAACGGTAGATGTCACAAGATACTGATGGTGAATGGCTGCGAGAGGAAGCTCGTGTCCTGCCATCAGTCCAATCTCACGACCCCAGAACCCTAAAGGAAAAAAAGCACATTATTTGCTGAACACTAAACAAAGATTAATATTAATCCGTTTTTAATACCAGTAAGACTCTTCCAAGGGCATTTATTCCATTACAGACGTAAGGTAATCTTTGGGTAAAACGGCAATGTATAAACTTAAGGTAACCATGGCACGTAAAAAAATGTCACAGCCACAAGGCCAAGTTTGAATTGGGAACCTACATGTACAACCAGGGGTATTCATAGACACCCAATAAAGGGTCACTGGAAATTCTGCGGGGGGGGGGGAGGTCTTAAAAGTTAGGGAGGAACAGTCAACTCTCTTTATAGCGGACACAGTAGAGACTTCGAGTTAGTGTCCTCCTTAGCGAGAGTCCTTAATAGCAGGAGTTTATTTCAGCCAAACGTCCGTAAATTATTTAGGGATTTAGCTGCTGTCTGTATTAGCGGGGTGTCCGTTATAGCAAAGTGAACACAAGACGAGAGCTGACTGTATTTATGTAGGGATTTCATTACCAGAGGAGAACTGGGTTTGACACCCAAGCAAAGAATTGGCAAGGCCCAGAGGTAAAATTTTGAAATTCTAAAGTTGCAGAGATGCGTTTTCCTGCAGTCCTTCAACTACCAAAAAAGACAACTTTTCTAGACAATTTATTCATGATTATTTTGATACCAATATCCGGCTAGCACACTAAGTGGTTCTCATTAATTTAATAGTTCATAATCGTATTGACAAATTGGTACATTTTGATTTTAAATAGTATTTTCATAGTGTCACTCCAAACAAGAACAATTATCATTTTAGACTTAGCTGTAGCTACTCAATGTCACTGTCAGCATCTGAGCCATAATCAGAGTCAGGATCAGAATCTAGATCTGACCCTCATCATACATTCCTTAAATTAAGGAAAGTATGAGGTCAAACTGGGCTTCCTAAACCAAAAAGCCCTGTGTGGTGGAGGGAGGTATGGATATTCTCTGGAACAACACAATGTATTGTGAAAAAACAAGTTCACCTTGTATTTAAAAGTACATGTAAGTTCACCTTCGTTAACATGCTTATGAACCAAATACATTTAGTCAAACCTTCACTAACAGCCACCTGTCCACAACTGCCACCTCTCTACAATGGCCACTTTTTTTGGCAGACAGTCAATACATGTATATATATTGATATATTGATATATTGATATGTATATTGACTCTTGTTTACACCTATAGCAAATAAAATGGTCACTTTCTTCTGTCTCCAAGGTGGCTGATGTCCAGATCAGGTTCAACTATATATATAACCAGAACAGAAAAAAACTAACAACTAAAAAACAGTTCTATCAGAAAAGAAATTGTGAAAATGATTATATGTCACATATGACAGAGTTATTACAACAGTTCCTACAAAAAAATTAACTGAACAATAACAATACAATAGATTACATACATCTAGTCATTAACTTTAACTTTAACTAAGTTGAATACTGGGTTTACCTGCAGCATTGACCACTAGCTTTGCTCTGATTATACCATGCTCTGTTTGCACATCCCACCCTCCATCTTTTCTATGGTTAAGACCAGTAACAGGGGCAGGCATGTAAATATCTGCACCATGCATCCTCGCCCCAATAGCTAGAGCCTGGGTCAATGAATATGGGTCTATATGTCCCTCATCTGTTGACAAAATCATGCTTGTACAGTTAAGGCATAAATTTACATCTGCTGAAAGGGCGAAAACGATACCTAAGGTTTATGTGTACTGGTTTCGACATTCCATCTCAGAGTCTTGATCTTTTCCTGCAAAGTCTCAGATGTTTAAACAAAAGGCTTCCTGGACTATTTTACCTACCCCACTCAAGTCACTGTAAGAGTACTCAATTTCTTTTTTTACTTTGATTTTCCTTCAGTCTTTTAAGAGCCACAGCAGTGCTTAATGGTTTTATTATATCATGATATCCTAGCAGAGGTAAACGTCTTTTAAATGGCCTCTTTTTCCTGGAAAAACTGTACAACGATGATGTTAATATTTCAGTGTTAACCGCCCAGATGGAAATTTTACAAGTGCTGCTGAAGGATGGTGATTATTTTTGTTTTGACGACATCATAGTAAAAATCAAAGAGCTACCCAACCCAGAACGGGAAATGATAAAAGAAGTTATCACGTTATGTAAGCTGATTGTCGTATTAAAATCCAGCAACCAGTGCAGCCGGTGAAAGATCCTTTTCGACTGCCCGGAGGCTAAAAACATGGCTCCGTTCAAGAATGAACCAGGAACGATTTAGTAACCTGACAGTTTTAAACATACACAAAGAAAGAACAGACAGGCTTTCCACCATTGACATAGCAAACGAATTTACCGACCGCAACACAAACAGAAAGCGTAATTTTGGCACTTTTCGAGTAAATGATGTACAGTAACTTTAATATCATTCACTAAATTATTTTCAGTTACCGTTTTGTTTTGCCGTGTAAATATTTTGAATGAATAATTAAACAATTATTGAACTCGGCTTTCGTATTGGCGGATAACCCCCTTGATCTGATACTCAGCCTCGTGCAATAATTGCTCAGTAATTATACAGCCCTGAGTTCAAGGCAGCTCAAGCAAAATCGTTGGATTTCTGGCTTATTTATAGTAATTAAAGGTTGATATCAGTAGTATAACATAACAATCTATGATATTTCAATTTAGTGATGGTGAATTTTCAGACCCGATAGCAAGATCACTGAAGATGTGGAAAAAAATCAATAGCTTTATCGTTATTCGCATTCTCCGTCACTTTAGAGAAATTGAATAGAAATCCACAAGCATGCCCCCCCCGGCCCCCCCCCCCAAAAAAATTTTCCTTCACGCATTCTTCTTTAGCCCCCCCACTCGAAAACTTGCTGCGCGGTCCCTGTATCATACATGATATAGGAAATTCCAGGTGATGTGGTATTCATAGTGCAACTTACAATGTAGCATCATTTTACAAGTACATGTTTATACAACGAATGTTCACATTTACTGTACAATTGCTTTAAACAAAAATAAATAAATTGTTAAGTGACAGATGAAAATGTTTTGATATCTCTTTACATCAAGAGTAGTAACTTAGGCGGGGCGTTAATTTTGTAAATACCCAAATCAGCACCCCGGTGCTTATTCGAAAGCCGTGCTTATTGAATTATTTTGGATAAATTAAAGTGCGGCGCTTATTTGAGTAGCAGCACTTAATCAATCATTTATGGTCTGCGTACATACACAGATGAATCAGATAAATTTGAAAGAAACAGTTCTCTAGAGTATTATCACTTGGCCTTGAAAACAAAAAGCAAAAAAGGTCTATATATATGTTCAGTGACATTGCAATAACTAACCTGGGTTAAAAAGGCCTCCTAGGACATCATCCATTTTCAGAAGAGGAAACATCTTTGCTATTTCATCGGGAGTCACAAGCCACTGTGGAGCTTTGTGCCACCCCTGTCTTTGCATCTGATATTTAGCTTCATCCATGCGCTCTGGTGTTGTACACAACCGCAGACTGCCAGGCGTGTGAAAACCTAGATCCTTGAATAGCAAAATACCACAAGCATCACTACAGCTGTAGTACTAAAATGATGACACTTTGTACTATACCAGATCTCAAAATATCATATTTTGTTGCAAGCATTTCATAGAATCACAAAAAACTTTTAGTTTTTAGCAATATATGCAGGGTTTTGATTTTGCGAGTAACAGGGTTTGTACAGATTTTTTGATCCAAAATTTAAGACTTTTCCAGACTTTTTTCCAAAACAATAATTTATTTTTCCAAGCTCAAGGTTATCCAATAGGTGATGAATAGAGACCTTCATTAAGGCAGCCTGAACACAGCTTTTTTCTTGACACACTGAATACCTATCGACGAGATTAAATAAGATTTGGCCAAAACAAAAAAATAATAATAAAGCACTCTAATCGTTGTAGCTTTTTCCTGACTTTAACTCCAATTTCCAGACTTTTTCCAGGTCAGCTCTGGAAAATTGCTGGGCAAATTTCAAGACTTTTTCAAGAATTCAAGACTCTGTACAAACCCTGGAATGATGGAGGAATAATGAATATGCATGTGTATAAAAATGAAGGGAGCTTATCCTAGGACCTGGATAACACGTGCAAAGTCACCCACCCAACATTTTAATAGTCCAACCTGGTTCAAAGCTTTGAAAAGGTTAAAAAGAGAACAAATATGTACATGTATTCTGCAACAAGCAAATGCATGAGACAGGGCTTCTGATAGGTCGTGGAAAAAAAAAGTAAAAAATTTAGCGGGATTTTTAGGGACAAAATCACGGGAAAATCGGCAGATTTCGAGGGAATTTTGCGGGAATTTCCGGGGCAAACTTGGCCAGAAAGCAATCAGTAAAACAAGAGCGGATTTTGTGGTTATTTTGAAGGCAAATTTCGCTAGAAATCAATCTGTTTTGCACTGATCAGAGCAGCGTTTTTAATGTTTTTCTAAAAGAGGTCATCATTTGCTCTTTCAACAACAATACGTTCCAGAAATGAACCAATGGCAAAGCCTTTAACATCATGGCTAGTGCCCAGTTTTTCGCAACATAATCTACGCCTGGTAGTTTCGGAACGTTGTTTGCACTTTTCAGTGACGAAGTTTTAGCATAAATTTGCGAGTTTACGGCAAGTAAATACCCGCAGTAGCTGAGACAAGTTTCAAAATTGCTGTCCAGACATTATGTTGTATTTGAAAAGAATTTCTTTTACGTGTTTTTGTGAATTTTGTGTGTTTTTGTGAATTTTGCGGCTCCGCGACCGCACGAAATATCAGAAGCCCTGAATTGAGACCTCTGAAAAAAGTTTCATAGAGGCTGTTTACAAGTATGGTAAAGAAAAAGAAGAAATAAATACAAGAAAAAAGGGTATATTATTAGCTAGAACAAATGTTTTAAAAATCAAAAGAATAACTTCAGTGAGCAAGGCATAATGTCTAAAATATATTTCCTGCAGTTGTTGCACAAAAAATAGGTTTATGGTAAGTGACTACATGTAGTTAGTTACACATGTTCATGTATATATCACAAAAAAGACATCAAAATGACTCATTTGGCTTGTTGGCTACTTTTTTAATTCTTACAGCATTTCAACATGACCTGCAATCTACATAATTTGTATGGTGTGTGTAGGACATGGCAATTAAGTAAACACTGGACACAACATGGAAAAAGATGTTTTAGCATAAAACTGACCTGTCCAGTTTCTTCCTTTAGATTATAGAATAACTGAATGCTGTCATAGTGAATGCGTTTCACATTTATTCCAGGATTAAAATATGTTGTGAGCCCAGCCTGTAAAACAGGTACACCTGTATTAGTTACGAATGTCAGTAAAAGATTGGTTCAAAAGCCTTTTGCTAACAGCCTATTACTGTAACCTTAACTATAGGCCTTCTAATATGGAGTGGAAGATAAGGGTAAATTATGTGGAATTTCCTGCATGACAAACATTCTTTAAATTCCTAATAAATTCAATGCAGGTCACAAGCTATTTTTCAAGATGATCTGCCAAAGTGAAACAGTTATTATTACACTGAATTAATAAAGCTGCTAAAGAAGTAAGTCATAAATAAGAATTAATAAATTTATTATTGATTATTAAACCTACAATTTGTCCATTATTATTAAATTTTTGGGGGCAGGGGGGGATAGCTGGTAAAAATGACTGTCAGGCTAGTACATGCTAGCTGGGCAAGCTGTAAAACTGACTTTCTTGGCACTCTGACTTGAGACAACTTATAATGAGGCTGATAATACTACTACTCAGAGCAATGAAAAATTCTTTTTGACAGGATTGAGTCCATAAATTTAATAATAACTGAAAATTAAAAAATGCATAATTACCGCATGCCATGTAGATCCAGCAGTTAACTCAGATTTTTCTAAGAGTATGACGTCCTTCATTCCTTTTTTAGCCAGGTGGTATGCGATACTGGTACCCACAACTCCGCCACCAATAACCACAACTTCAGCATCTTCCTTTAAATGTTTATGTAGTGGTCTGGGTGCAGTAAAAATAAGTCATGCAAAATATTGTTAAGCTTATTGAATTGACTGACCACAAATTAAACAATAGCGTATAGCAGCATAATGTCAACTTGGAAAATCTTATGTGATCGAGTACAGAGGGTTGGCACTGTCAGCTTATGTGAACAATTACAACTGTATGCAGGACAGAATCTCCCAGGATATGAAATCCCTTACAAATTAGAAAACAAAGGAAATTTGCGAGTTCTTTAGTTTACTAAGGAGCCTGGTTTTCATACAGATGTAAATCAGAAGAAGGCTGGGAATTTCACTGAGTGTAGCTCAACAATTCCAGAAATACAGTGTATGATGGAAATATGCTTTGATCTATCTCATCTCTGCATTATTTTCCATTTCCACATGGTACCACACCTTGTTTGCCCCATAACATTTTGCACAAGCATTGTTTTCAATTTATCTTGAGATGACTGTGATGCCCAGGCCTGTAGCTCAAGGGCCTGTGGCCAACAGCCCAATGGCAGTCAGCCTGTGATGGCCACGAGGCCCACATCGTTCCAGCAGCAGCCCAGTCCTGATTTTCAACAATTTTTTTGGCCAGCGGTAAATCCAAGCACATCCTCAGATACGCATTGGGTATGAGTGCAAAGAATTGACAACAGTGAGTTCGAATTTGTATACCATTTTAATAATTTCAGTCCCTTTAAAATATTAGTTGCATGTGTCTGTTTGTTGCACGTAGCTCGATCAGTTAAACACGGTTAATTCTCTATGTAATCGTCTTTACAAGAGAGAACACTCATTCTCATCATATTTCTGAAGTTTGAAAGTGAAAATAATTATCATGAATGTTCATATGTAAACTGCGGATTATCCACAGCATTACTTTTGTCAGCTTCCTAGGTTATCACCACTTCTTGCATTGATCAAAATTATCTTAGGGTAATCAAACAATGGTAATAAAACTCACAATAATCAAACTACTTATATGGTAAAGTTACCACTGACTAAAAACATCTGTAAGGCCATGTTAGGGTAAAATTCCAACATGCAACATATGGCTTGAAACAACAACGTAAGGCTAAATAAATATGGTGACAAATGATATAAAGATGGGTTAATAAATACTGACAGAGAAATGACCTACTCCTCAAAACACGAAATGGCCGTATTTGGAATTTCAGACCAAGGATATACACCCACCCCCCCTCCCTCCCTAAAAGGATCTCATCTGTGGAAAATCAGGATCAGACTACTGGGATGGTGGGTGTCTAGGTCACTGGGATGCCGCATCACCAGCAGTTTCTTGTATGGTAAACAAGGCCCCAAAAATCAGGTTCAGTTAAGCACAAGAGCTTTGAATGAATGATCAAGAGCAAGGAAATCCATATGTTAAGTTCTCAACTGTAGTATAATAGTTCTATTTCCTACCGCCTTGGGTGGTCTCAGTGGAGGCCAACAATCACAACATCCCAGTTACCAAATTTCAATTCAGTCACCAGGGATTCCAGAGTTTTAAATTTCCTAGGCAGGCTTAGCTTCCTAGGGAGCAGTTTCTCAGAAATATACGCCATTACACATCCGCCTCCTTCAACTTCCCTTCCTTTGATTCATCAGCAAGTGAACCTCTTCAACTTTATTTCGAAAACTACATGTACCGGTATTAACATTTAGATGAATTAGGAGTTTCTCTCCTGCATTTTTTGATCTGTTCAATGGATTATTATGTAGTTGTCGATCACTGGTTCTTTGCATCTTCTTGCTTGATATTTGTATGAAAGATCCATCTTCATGAAAAGATGAATCCATAAAAAGGGCCGAGTACCGAGTTTGCACAACATAACAGCAGGACCAGATGAGGACAGCAAAATGCTCACATGTGAGAAATGTGGCAGGGCTATTACTTACGTGTTTTGTCGTGATCTTTACTTAACAGTAATGTTTTCTGGTCTTTTACAAAAAGATCTGTTCAAAGGAAAGTGACGTTTGGCGAAAAGTTATTTCAAACAAAATTACTGTCACGTTTGTCACACAAGGTTTGCCGTTTTGTTCCCTCACCCGTCCTGTTGCGTAAGATCGACGGTGAAAGCGATATTTTTACCGCTCCATGGTCGAATTCCCGAGCTGTGCAAACCACGTTCTTATTTCTCCATCTGGTCTTTGTCGTAAATAATTAATATAGCTAAATAAGTTGTAAAAGAACGAGAGTTATGGCAGCACTTCATCGTGTGACCTCTCTGTGCCTTCACAACTTGACCGGGTGCTGAATCAAAACAAATTAAAATTTCACGTTGACCATTCTGGGGGTTCGTGCTTTTGACGAACAAAATTGAATTTGGAAGTATATAGCTTACATATTTTGCAACAAAAGATATTTTAGGCTACACATCATTGTTCTGACTAAAACTGAAGGACAAAGGGAAGTTAGCACTTACCTACAATGTAGCTTTTACGACCCCCACCCTCAAAACTATCCCCTACTTTTAACACCTTCGTTCGAAATACACTTACCTTGTACTAGAGCTTTTCTGTCGCCATGACGTGCAAGAAAGAACAGGGCATCTTTTAAGACATGCTTCTGCGGCATGGCTTCGAGAAATAACGCGTACAGCACTGCCAACTCGAAGAAGAGACGCCATGATTTATGCAGCCGCGAGTACGAAGCATTGATCACCAGTCAGAAAACACATAAAGCATACAACTGACCAATGACAAGTCGACTTTCTAGCGGCGCGAGACTTGTAAAACGCGCTAAACACGAAGTGGAACAAAGTGGAACAGGAAAAACACGAATTGATCCCAGGCTCCAATGTTTCGATTCTGCCCCTGATTTTATTAGTCGTCAACAAAGGCAACGAAATTCTTCTTTCTTGTAGATATCTAAGCAATTTTTAAGCCTGCGAACAGCAGAAGCATTTCGGGTCGTCGCTTCTCTCCCTCCGAAGTCGGAAGGAGAGAAGCGACGACCAGAAATACGTCTGCTGTTCGCTGGCTAGTGGTTCATGAGCGTCATACAAAATTCTGCTAAGTCCTCTCGGCTTCCCCCTAGTCCCCCACCCCTGGGTCAAACTTTAAATCCCTCGCGTTACACAGCTTTTTTGCCCTTTCCCGGACCATCCAAGGTGGAAGAAAACTTTCGTCACGCCTATTCTATCCCGACTAGACTGACAAAGCTCAAACCAACCTTTTTTCAGACGAAGGAGATCTGGATACAAGATTATCGAGGAGTGGCAGGGAAAGAACCTGACTTTTTGCGCACTTTCGCCTACCTCAACCCCTCATCTTCAAATATGATGCCCGTCCCTTAAAATGCATCTCTAAGCCCTAATGTGGTAAACTAAAATAACAGTTGACGTTTATATCCGGTTAGTTTTTTTTTTTTTTTTTCGATTTAAAGTTACAGTTTAATTCAAAAACATGCATACCGTATGTATTACTTTACGAAGAAAGTTTGGCCCGTAAATATTACATTACCTCTAGATAAATCCAATTTATTTTAAACTAAATTCTTACATCAAATTTGTTTTTCCAGCATACAATCAGTACTTTGGCGTAAATCTCATTTATAAACGATGGCACTCAGAAAACACACACTTTTGCAGCCTCAGTACTAATTAGTTTGTAAGTAGAAAAATAACAACAGGCATTCACCTCAGTGAAAAAGGGTTTTGAGACATGTTGACAGCAACGGTTAATTATAAGAGCTTAATATACCGTCTAGTGCAGGCTGTATCAATCTCATAAAAGAGTGGCTGTTTCCCTTGACCAGCGGTCGGAAAACGAAGTGCCCTTTGAAACTACAGGGGACTTTCTGTTAAATTGCGCACACTTGCATGGCCAGGAGCCGATAATCGGCTCCTGGCATGGCCTCGCAGTAAGAACAAAGACTATGGCGAAAATGTATGGGTAGATAGTTTAGGAACAAAGTTGCGCACAAGTGCAAAGTACTTCAAGCTGTCCTCAAGGGGCCGGGTTTCTCGGGCAAGTATCCCACGAGGTTTAGGAAGCCTCGTTCACGGGTCCGCCCGCTCGTCCTAGGTAGAGAAGAGGGAGCTTTAGCATCGACGACGGCAACGGCAGTGAAATCGTCTTTGTAAAATGAATTCCCGTTTTTCAAACACTGTCGCTTTTATTCCAATTTGATGAAAATGGCAAATGTAGGCGAATTTCGCTGAAGTTCATTTCTTGAGGAGCGCACTCAACTTTAGAGAGGGAAACAGAAATTCGTCGTCGCTCGTTTACGTCCTCCATAAAACTTGCAGTTAGTTATTTTAAGGTCGTAGTCGTGCAAGGACGGTGAAGAAATGTACAAAAAAGCGTGATGCACGTGCAAAGTTGTGTTTTGCGTAATAAACCTATTGCTTTTTTGACGTCCTCGTTGCCGTCGCCGTCGTCGTTGCTAAAGCTCCCTAAGAACTGGTTTGAGACTGTAAAAAAAGTGACGTCACACGATAGGAGTTGCCTGTTTCCCGAGTGCAAGCCGTAAACCCTAAGTATGAATGCTATTGGCTATCCAGCCTGGTAAAAGGTATGGATACGGCAAGTGACCTTCTCTGAATCTCTGTAAGTTTCTCGCTTGAATAGTCGACTTAACGTAACCATGTAAGTAGCTGTAGTATTTCCTGACAACGTTTCTTCCTTTCTTGTCCTGCAGACGATCCGCGTAATCGAAAAGAGAGTCATAATGCAAGGAAGCCAAGGTCATAGATAGAGCAGCTTGAGCCTGGAAAAAAAAGGTTTTAAAAAAATCAATAAAAGGAATTTTTCTAAAGCATTTCAAGTTCTTGCTTTAGATGCGCTGTCCCCTCGAAAAGTCTGCTATTCTCTGTGACATATTTGCTGATTTCGGAAAAAATAGTTTTCATAGGGTATGAAATTTAGAGCCGGCGTTTTGTCTCTTTGGTTTTCTCTTTCAAAAGCTAGCTGTCTCTTACTTCTCGGTGCTTAGCAGTCTATCCCAAAATCATGGCAAAAGTTAAATGTTCCTCGTAGAAGATATTTTGAAAGCTGGTGCGCAATTCGGTTCATCATTGCAAGGATGGAATGGAATAACTATACAAAAGTTTCCCCCTCGTTATATCTTGAGACCGTTCGCTTTTGAAATAAATTCCCCCAAACGGACCCTGTGTATCGATATGTAAGAAAATTGATAAGACACTCTTTGAGTATAAGTCACGGATAAGCTTGAGTATTTACTATGCGCGATAGTATTCGAATTTTACCTTCTTAAATTAGGCAGTTCAATGATAAGCTCGAAACGCGGACGAGAGGAAAGTGGAGACTGTCGAGCACCCTCCTGGTAGAGAGGAGACAGCCTACAGAACGTACTCCTGCGGTTGGTGAAGAAATTCATTTGACCTTCAGAGTTTCGCTCTTACTGAAAGTCCTACGCTGTGCTGCGCAAAAAATGGTCGTTGCGAATCGTTCCGTGTAACATCACCTTAAAGATTTCTCTTAGCTGTTACGTTGTTGGTAATTCTGTATTAGGTTCTAGGGCCTGTTTACATGGAGGTGGGAGGTCCAGAGAGGTGAGGTAACACGTGGCGGGTCACCCCACCAATCATGTAAACGTGATGAAATTAAAATGAGAGATTATATGGACAGGCGGGTTACGACCACCTAAGCGGGTTACCTCATCTACCTGGGGTGCCCCACCTCCATAACGGAAAAGCCCTTAGGCTACTGAGGTAAAGCCGTGTAGCATTGTATAACAAAAGGTGGCAATTTTCGTGATACACGTTGCGCGCTTTCCTTCTCTTCGCACTAGCCAGCGGAAACGCATAAGAAAGATAATCGCCCGCTATGCCGCATGTACCACACCTACCCCGCATGTAAAACCTCGTGGTAGATTGTAGACACCATAGTGTTCACATCCTACTCTGGGATCGTTGTAGAGCTTGGTTGGCATGTTCGGTGTCAGCGCTCCCATGTGCTCAACTGGGTAATTCACTACACTGTGTTGAGCGCTCAACAGCCAAATGAGTCTTGTGAAGTGCTTCTTAAGGATCCATTTGGACGTGATCTTCGTTGGGAAGTTTCTAACCTGACAATAATAAGTCCATATGATTGAATCAGGGATCATTGCATAAATCTATTTTTACATCCCTTTTGACCAAAATAAAAAAAACAAAAAAAAACAAAATTGAAACTGCGGAAACAGGTCACTTGCTGACAAACAAAATTGCACACGTAAAGAAACAAAACAGATAATCAAGTTTGAGGTTGTGTAGGTAAATCTTGTAAAAAATACGTATATAGCATTAGTTAGTAACGCTCCACAAAAAAAAAACAATTTTCAAACCACACACGGTCGGTACAACTCTCACCATTCCGGATCCAAGGGAAACGTCATGAGCAAAGTCTTGCAGCTCCAAGTCTTGTTGAACTTCTTTATGCGACTTATAATACCTTGTATTTAACAAATATCAAAAGCAGGTTTAAATTACCGTATTTTATATTTGAATAATCGCCCAACCTCGAATTAGCGCTCACCTCGAATAAGCACCCATCCTAAAGGCAGAAAAAGTTAATAAGCACCCAGCCTCGAATAAGCGCCCACCCCCCTCCCCTTCCACTCAAACTCAAATAAGCGCCCACAACCAAAACCCACCCCCCTTCCCCCTTCCACCCAACAAAAATGAATAGGTACTAATGAGAGACTTCCCCGAAGACGGAATTTTCTCCAGAGTATTTTACAGAAACTTGCTTTGTTACATCTTCGCGTTTTGTTATTACCTTTTTTTGATTTGTTACAAAATAAACATACTACACTTGCTGAAAATAGTGGAAATTTAACAAGCGCCCAGCCTCGAATAAGCGCCCACCTCGAATAAGCTCCCACCCTCAAGGTCCAAAAATTTAATAAGCGCCCAGGGCGGTCAATCGAATAAATACGGTATGAACGTCTTTAACGTGAATTTTGCTTAGTGGCAGCGTAAATCTTGTCTAATCCCTGTACAGCGTTTCCTTAGGCGTTCCCGGTCAATTCACTTCGGTGACGTATCCAAAGCGAACGGGCGGGAAACGGCCTCACTTCTTCGCATGGACCATGCGACCCGAAACGCTTTGGCAGCGCAGAATAATAATGAAGCCTAGGGACTAGGCAAGCGTAAATCAGTCTTATTGCTTGCTGTAAATCTCCAGAGAAAGTTAGAATTGTGGGAATAGAATTTAAGGCCAACACTTAAGAGGCAAACAAAGGTTTTAAGCAAACTTGGGGAAGTAAACATATTAGTACCGCCCTGAAAAATACTGACTACTTTTCGCTCGATTAAATTAGTACTAAAAGACAAGAAAATTATTGCTTATTTTCATGCCCTGGGAATTTTTTCCCCTGCCATTTGTATTTAATTTTCTAGGGAAAATTATGCGCGTTCATATTTTCAAACTAGGGATTGCCACCCTTTTAACTTAAATTCTTTCGAGTCTAATTAGTCACTTGAATGTATACTTACTGAAATATGATTGAAACTTCGTAATAGAATAGAGATTCGATTTTTGAAGTAGTTACGCGTAGTTACTCCAGGTAAAGAATATTTACTCACTGGTCGACAAATTCATTAACCATGTTGGATATAGTATCATGAATTAGCTGTCCATCGTCTCTGTACGGAAAATAAGGCAGCTTTTCCTTGTCACCAAGCCCTCGGTTCTTAAAAAACGAGACGATGCAAGTTAGAGGGGTGGTGACAATGACGGGGACTGGGCGGGTCAATCTATTGGCATTATGGCTCAAGCATTTACACCCCCACCTGGGGCATGGGCTTACATGATACCATTGTAAAATAGTACGGACGATAGACTATTTTGATAGTTATTTTATTGGCGATGAAGAAGTTGTCGTCGCATGTTTTCTTTCTTTCTTTTATTTCTTTACACGGAGGCTGATAAAGCCTTAGGTGAAACCTGAATCAGTGCAGTCAAGTGCTCTACCGATGAGCTATCGTCAATTTTAAATACGTGTAGGAACTTATCTCTCGCTGTTCTAACTAAATGCAGGGGCACCCAATGGATCTGTTCCTCAAAATATCTGTTCTTCATGCAAATTTTTGCTGGCTGGGAGATGTGGAAGAAATAATAGTCCTTGGAAGGAAAGTGTTGCTGGGAAAAAGATAATTCAGGGTGTCAGAGGGGATTTGAAGTCTAGAATAGCTGCTACGGGTTACTTGTATGGGTTGCTTACCACTCAAGATCTGAATTGAGCCCTATGAAACTTCCCAGTAAGTCAGGTTGCAGGTTATAAGGTTGCTGGCTGGGAACTCTTCCATCAGTCTTGCTGGGAGTGAGGAACAGATAATGTTTTTCCAGCAATCTCCCAAAATGCTTAAAATAGTCTCCTTTATCCATCCTTTATTGTTGTTTTTAGGTCAGTGCCCTGGGGTTCCCCATCCTCTTCAGGAAATTACGAGGATGCCAAAGATCTGAATGAAATCATCATGTTTCCACTTAGGCTCGTTCCAGTCGTTCAGCGTTCAATGGTCGCATTAATCACAGTACCAACCTTTATATTTGTTAAGAAATCCGTGTCGTCCCAAGTCACTTCCTGGGAAGCTCTGAACATCATCTGCACTGCTCCTTGGCTTCCAATTGTCAGCAGTTTATCCATAGAGCCGTTGCCCGGACTCATAAGAAATGGATATCCAAATTTGTTAGACCCAATAAGGCCCCTACAGTGGTGCTTCATCATTTCGTGTACCGGGTGCAGTTTTGATAGGTGTCGATGTAGACATACACATATGGGCTCCAAGAAAAGATGAAGCTTAAAAAGGTGTTCAATCACCTCCGCGTGGGCAAAGTCTGCTACTTGAAAAATGTGTTTGGCTTTAAGCCAGAGTTCGCTGTCCTCTGGAGTAAACACTGGGGAATCTAAAGCAAATGAATATGTATTTTACTAATTATAAGTCGCGAAAAAGTCCCAACTAACGGTGCACTGGGATACGAAAACTAAAAACTAGCGGAATGGCACTAGCCTCCCGGCCGCAGAGGTTCTTTTGGCTCGTCACGCAATCCTCCCCGAAGGAACGCGTGACGAACCCCTAAGAAGGTCGCGTGGGAGGCTATATGTGGGTGGATGGTTGCCTTGAATAGTATACCATCGACCAAGCATATCTACTAACGCTTGTCTACCCAAAAGATCCCAGAAATCACTGCACCCAAAGCTCATTGTACCCATTCTCGTTAGAGTCACTCTGAAGTGGAAAATTGTATTCATGCTGAATCCATTCTTTTCCTCAGGCGCTCGCGCATTTGAAGCCAAGTGAAATGGTTATGAGGGAGCCACAACAATAACGAGCTTTATTTGCATGACCATTATACACAAGTACATACAGTATTGAAAAAGCTGTTCTAAGAAAGAGAATTAAAATTACGTCACTGGGCGACTGAGTGGTTATACTTCTGCCCGGGTTGTTTAAACGTTGGTTAGCGCTATCCAGCGGATGAATCACTACCTAGTAGACTTCGTCAATTCTATTAGTGCTATTTGATCAAAATGTCACAAAGATGGGCTGAAATGCACCTGAATTATTCAAAATAACGTAGTTCATTTCATTGTGAAAACGTATCTATCTCAGTTTTTGGAATCATTACCTTATTGTGATTTTGTTTGTTCTTATCATAGAGTATTAGAACAAAGAAAAAGAAACCCCTTCTCCCATTTGTCCCAGGGCAATGTTCCTATTGTCAAGTTTGATTGCTATTTCTTATAAGTTTGTAATTAGTTTTGAGAGCTGTTCCTCTTGTTAAGCCTAAGTAATTAGAGATCGGTATGATCGGTTTTAGGCGGATCTATAAAATTCTAGTTTTGAGAATGTTGAAGGGTGTTTTGCCAATATGAAATATATTCCTGTTTCATTGAACCTGTATAGTCTTTTACTATAGCGGCATCTAATAAATAAACAAGCATCAAAGTCATGTAGTTTAAAAATTCTGACATATTTATTAAGTGAGAGTCGAACTATTTTTGCGTTCAGTGCATAAAACAAATGACATTAAAAAAAACTGTTTGACGAAAGATTCTTCATCTTTAGACTGAATATACAAAATGTAGTTGAGGATTGAATGATTTATTGGTGATATTTAAAGGAAAACGAACAAGTTCAGCTCTATACTATAAGCTTATTAGAAGCCTTTTTGTTTACTTCTAAGTAAAGTTTGCAAACCTGAAGGTGAGTCTTTTCGATTTGAGAGCCGTCCCAGGTCTTAAAATCTGGTTTGACATACACACCCCAAATTTCACTGTTATATGGTAGAACAAGGAAGATCATAGTATCAACAACAACAACAATTTATTAAGGTATTAAACGTTCCATTATAAAAAGTATCAAATACTTTACAGGCCACAACAAACGAACTAGAACAAGGAGTATGGCCTGAGGACAAGGAAGATACCCTATAGATTAATTTTAACTCACCCGAGGAACTGTTAATTTGAATGGCAACCGGTTTAAGCTTGTTCTCTTGCCGTCCAGGCTTGGACGCAAAAATGGCTATAGGCGAGAAGGCGTTCATTAAGGTACCAAACGGGTCGCTGCTCATTGCCGTTAGTCCGTCATACAAAGGATATTGAACGGCATATAGGTAACCCTGGTATATTGCCTGTTGTAAAATTATGCAATTAATAAAATCCAGTGATCGGCCGCCGTATTTGAGATCAAACAAGAAACAGAAATATTGGTGCAATTTGTTTCACTGGCTAACCCAGGAAAGCTTTGGTGTGATCGATTGATCGTTATACTCTGGAATAAAACGAAAAAATAACTTTTTTCGGTTTCCATTGTATAGTAAAATTTAGATCATTGGTGAAAATTAATAAATTACATGAATATAGTACTCTAAAGCTCCAGAAATTTGTTATCGAAGAGTTTCGTCACAAATTCCAATGCGAATTCTCATTCCGGAAATGAATACGATCAATAAAATGTACCTTTATTTAACAGTAACAACAGCGCGCAGTCAAAGAGCAACCAGCGACATTAGTGTAAGGACAGCTTTTGATGGCGTCCGGGATTGATTTTTGATTTTTTTTTCTCAGTTACTTAATCACCACTGCATGTGTGGTTCCGCGAGGGCGTGCGTCTGTTTTCTGTGTCAGAAAAGGTGTGATCTTAAAACTAGTTTCAAGACTTCAGTTTTTCAAAGACGAACCTGATCGAGAGAAATCTTGATCCCCAGCACATCTTGGACCGCTCCTTCCAAGTCAAATTTCGGGTTTAGTTTCTTACTGAGTAAGGTCCAGTCCGCGCCTCCATTGATTTCTGAGAAGTCAAACGGAGTTCAAAGTTCAAAGTTACAATATTGCGGGCTCAGTTCAATTTGTTTCTATTGCGCTACAATGGCCAACGACTCTACTCCTGTTGCGAGCTTAAGCAACGAGAACTGGTTGAAAAACGTTGCGTCACGGACGTCGGAAATTACTACCGGAAGCTAATTGATATCTTTGACTCCCTAGCGTCGTAAAAGAAGCCGGAGTTCAAACAAAAGCGTTCAAACCCTATCAATGTGTCGGACAAAAGCGTTCCATCAATCGAAACAACCAACTTCGTTCCCACGATTCCCTGCTGCTTGTTCCCAGGATTGAGAGACGGGACGAGTAGCAGATAATCCTTGGGAAGGAGCGGTTTGGAAACGCCATGGTAACCTTCCGACTGCTAATTCATGACGTCCGCATTTTTGTTACTTAAGCCTGGACTTGTTACTGAGTAGAACCTTTGGTAGCGCGATAAAAAAACTTTTGATCTAACAAACTGAAGAAAATACCCATAAACAAAGTGATTTAAAATAAGCACCCTTAACAAACACTCGAAGCTCAAAGAAAATTGTTCTCGTTCTTGCTCAGAAAAGGCTAAGCTAGGGTGTTTACTAGATACCTGGATCCCAAGAAATCCTTTTAATAGACATCGGATTAAGACCAGCTAACCGCTGATCAGTAAACAAGTTATCATCTCTCCAGAGAGCCAATTCAGATAGATTCCTAAAAGGAATGCTGGCATCTTGAAAATGAAACCGAAAATACTTGGTGTCGCTCTACAAAAAAAAAAACAAGCAAACAAACAAACCAAAAAAGGCATAAGTGAGGTGGACAATCAACTGAAAAAACTAACGACGGAACGCCGTTAACAATCACACTCGCCGACGCCAGATAGCAAGTAATTACAGTTTCTCGAAAGGCCCGGTAACTTTTCTTTTGTATCATTTTCAAAATTATTGAAACTTTGATATTGAATACCAACACGAAAAACATAAAACAACTTTCCCGACCCGAAACGTTACCGGAACTGTCGAGGAACGGACCCCAGGCTTGAGTTAGGTCCACGATCATCCAGTAGGTCTCTTTCCGTCGCTTCATTTTTTTTATGTGCTCCATCACAGCTGTCCATCAGGAGGGTTTAGCCTTTTAAGCTCCAAGATCCACATACAAATTCTCCAGACTGATCTCCATACGTTTCTTTTAAGAATAGTTGAGAGAATTTGGTTTAAGATCATAGTGTTCTCCCTTTGATAATCAATTTAGTAATTCTCATAACCTTTACTCTTGATGATCTGCTCATGTTGTTAGGAGAAAATTGATGTTGGTCACTCTTGGGACCTAAAGGGTTTCAAGGGAGAATAATGGGACAGAGAGAGAAACGCTCAGTCTAGCCCTTGGGATTTGTGAATTTCCGCAGAGTTATTTTTAGACCAATTTAACGCTTGAATTAATCGGAAAAAATGGTTTCCGGAGAGGTCCGCATATTTTTATTTAGTGTTGTTAAGCTTACTTTGAGGCAGTCGCTCATGGACTTGATGCCGTTTCAAACAATCCATCAAAATTTGCGGACGACCCAGGAGTTATAGTTTTGTTAAATTACAACCTCTAAAAATAACTTAAGTGAAATTCACATATCCCCACCAACTCCCTTAGAGTCCTTCTCTGTCCTGGCCCATAATTCTCTCTTGGAGTTTTAAAACACATGCAAATCAATCATTTTACTGCGTAGGGAGTAGCCGAGCGAAGTTATTTAATAATAACGATCAAATCACACGTATACTCTGCACGGAGAGTATATGATTAACCTGAATTTTTGGGGGGAGGATGAAAGAAGAGCCCTGGGAACAGAATTGGTGAGCGACTTAACTGCTAAAACTTTGTGACGTCAAACGATTTCAAATGGCAGCGCGCAAAAAATAAGTGTTTGCTTTTCTCTCGCACTGAACAATACGTTGACATACGGCTTCTGCAATTTTTCAGAAAAGGAAGGACTCACCGAAGCTGAATTTTTATTTAGAAGGAGGATTTATATCATTTTCTTTGTACTGTACATTACGTTTTCCGTAGACTACGTGCAGTCTCTCTTTTTCTCTTCGCCCATCGAGCGAAACGCGCGAGACACAAAAGTGTCACGCGTGTGACGGAAGGCGCGAGACGGAAGAGGCCCGCTCGCGCACAAATGCACTACCCTCACTAACTCTGAAGAAAAAGAGAGATTGCTTGAAGTCTACGTTTTCCGAAACCTACCGGCTTTACAGTCACCAGTTGATGTTGTATAAAGAAGTTGTACGCTCTGACGTAGTCTCCAGCGTCTTGAAACTCTACGTTCGTGATTCCTTTGTAGAAGAGTTGAAAGAGGCCTAAATTTTTGTAGATAGTTGAATTAATATATAACCAAATCCAGTGTTGTTCCAAGGAGTCTTTCAGTAGAATTCTCAAAGCTTCTTCACTTGTTTTGTTTAAGGAGGGAAGATTAAAATAAAGATCTGGATCACCAAGTACATAGTCCTTTCTGGATTGCGCTGTTTCCCGTTGCCTTTGTATTCGACAAGCTTTTGAGGCTTTGTCGGACGATTCGATTCCACACACTATCAAAGAAAAAGAAGAAATATCAGAAATGTAATAAAATGTAGTTTTAAACGTTAAATTCGATCTAAAGGCGTATATCTATTTGAAAAAAAGCACAGGTTATCTTATGGATTATTTTCAAGTATAAGGGGACTTGCAAAGCATCACAGGTGCGTTGACTGAGTAACTGACAATTTATTTATTTACTTATATATTGTCGAGTTCTGTTAAGCCTAATAAAATACAACTTATTGCCAGGTTTGAAAACGTTTTCGGACGCGTCAATTCAGAGACACCTAATCGTAAATTCTCCATTACATGCCCCTGACCCCCCTTCTCAGGGGAAGAAAATTATGAAGCCTGCCCTCTCTTTAAAGCCTTCTCCCCTCCCCCTTATTCTTAAATGACAGATTTTGTTACTCAGTCACGACACTATGTAACACTTCATCTATGCTGATTCGGTTTATTCATGTGCTGCAAGGTCGGGCTCCTAGTTCGGATCTGTTGCCGCATGACCTCCAACTTCACCTGCCTGTGTTTTTCCACTATGCGTTCTAGTTTTCTTATCATGGATACTTAACACCATCATCACTACCGTTATATGAAATTAGCTTCCCCGCCCTACTGTGGTGCTACCGAATTTGCTCGAGTTATAAGCATATAAAGCTGAAATAAGGGCTGTTTAGATAAGGTTACAATGTTGCTATGGTAATCTTTCAGTACTGATTCAGACGCGGATCTAGGATAAATACTGACCGATCTCCAAAACGAGCGCCGAAGGTGCAAGCCTTCTAGGGGGGCTCGGGGGCAGACTCCTCCATGATTTTCACTCCTTAAAGTCCCCTTTCCTTGGTTTCCGAGTCATTCAGTTCATTCAGACCGGATATTGGCCAGATTTAAACTTGGTAAGTGTTTTTTTATTATTAAAAATACATTTATCATGAAAATCTGACGTGAATTCCTTAAAACGGTGGAAACCGGTGTGGATCCGCGCCTGTGACTGTGGCATCAACTGAGCCTGAGTAGTGATTGCATTAAGCCATTAGAGCGGAGGTGATGAAAAATGCTGGAAACTCATAAGTGTTGCCATCCAGCTAACATCTCCCCTCCAAGGGTCGCTTCTCTGAAAAAGCGATGTACATTTTCCTCTGCCAGAGAAGTGATTTCAGTATGGTCAAAGTTTGCATTAAAGATTCAAATCGTGCAGCTTTACCAAGAGTCAAGCAATATTAAACAAAACAAGTTCTAATCAAAGGAGTAAAATCTGCCGATTTTCAATGAATATTTCCGATTTTAATTCAGCAAAGTTGGCTTCGAGAAGAAGGAAAAACTTGCGCAACACTCAAGAATGCTGTTGTATCGTCAAAAAAAGAGGCAACTTCTTTTTTGATCTTGTTATTCAGTCTCTAGGCATCGAGTTATTTTTACTTTAATATAAAATTAACTTACAGGGCACTTGTCTGATAGAGTAGACATTCACAGCATTTCCTGCGCCCATGCCATTTTTACAGGTGAGAGATGTTCCATAATTCAGGTAGGCTTCAGATAGCTTATTTCCTCCCCTACAAAGACCGCCTTTCAATAGAGCAAACTCCTTAAAATTCCGTTTCCATGCACTTCGCGCGCAGGCGTCGAATGGATTCGAGGAACTCTGGAAATTTCCCAAGTAATTACCAGCCTTTCCTCCGGCAACGAAACAGCCCTCGTCTGCATAGGTGTATTGCTTTGCATTTGATACTAAAGGAAAAAGTTCACACTAATTTTAAAGGCATGTAGGTACATTTTATTCTGTCATAATACCGGATCGAGAAGACTGAGGTAACAACTCTTCTAAAGTAGAGACTACCCGACCCCTACATTAACGGTAAATAGTGATGATAAAGTTAGATTGATCTAACATGGACAATGATGTAGCTCTTTTAAAACGCAGAGCAAGCAAGAATCTGTCCTTGCTGCTTTGCCGCCTTGTAATCTCTTATTGCCACTAAGAATCCAAACAGCTTTTGTTTGAGACTTAACACAAGGCTCGAGTCACGAAGTCTTAGAATCAAAACAGCTGAGCGGCTCTGGGAACGAAAATACTAAGTGGGTTTGTTGGATATTGGGCATGCGCCGTATCTATGCGAGAAATAAAGGCAGCGGAAACGCAGGCTAAGAGTCAAAAATGGAAAAGTACTCAGTGGTCTTTGCGTCCATTAAGAACCGTAGGTGGATAAAGCAAACAAGAATCTGTTCTTGCTTCTTTTCCGCCTTGTAATCTCTTATTGCCACTAAGAATCCAAACAGCTTTTGTTTGAAACTTAACATAAGGTTCGAGTCACGAAGTCTTAGAATCAAAAAAGCTGAGCGGCTCTGGGAACGAGAATACTAAGTGGGTTTGGTGGATATTGGGCATGCGCCGTATCTATGCGAGAAATAAAGGCAGCGGAAACGCAGGCTAAGAGTCAAAAATGGAAAAGTACTTAGTGGTCTTTGTGTCCATTAAGAACCGTGGGTGGATAATATTTTTTTAAAACAATAACCTTAAAATGAAATTAAGGGCCCCTCAACACGTTTCCGTATTTTTTGAAAAAGGCTAACAAAATTTGGCGGATTAGTCTTTCGTTCATACGTATTCGTTCAAAAGGGTCACCAAAAATGCAGCTATTGGATAACGCTCTCCAGAGTGGAATTTTTTTAAAACGCTGGTTTGCCTAGTCGTTCGAACGGATGAAAACAAAAATTTTTGAAAACGATGACGTCACAGTATCTGATGTCGCGCGTTAGATGAACTTTTATTTTTCTTTCAGGTATAATGTTCAGGGTTTTGTTATTTTTATTTTATAATAGGACTTTTATATAATCAATAGGGCTTCTTCTACTGCCAGTCTCAAAAAGTGTTTAAAAATCCTCTTAAACGGTTCAGCAAGCAATTGCAAGTTCTGAGTCAGTTGCCAGGTAACTGAAGTCTTTGGCGAAACATCTTTGTTGGCCAAACATTGATTTTAGCGAAACAGAGGAGAAATTTTAGAAAAATTCGATGCCAGTCTGTATCGAAGCATCCCTTTTCAAACAGAGACGGCATGTGGAGAAGCAAAAACGCGATTCGAAAACGAAACGTGTACTGTGGACGCAATTCTTTTTCAAAGGGAAAAAATCACGAATTCAAAAACACGGTTACGTGTGTAAGGTGCCTAATAGGCCGATTTTGATGTACTAAAATTCGAACTTGGCATGAAGGCTTGGAGAAGTAAAACAAACCAAGAAATGAATTATTGATCCTTAAACCTCAACTAGACTTCTTTTGTTTCGATCTCGTATGCAAACCTCTTAGTCAAGGAGGAATTTTTGAATATCGAAATTGGTCTATTAGAGAGTCCATGAGAGCATTTGTATGACAGGTAACTGGGGCCTCAAGAAATTACTGCACTGAAAACGACTTTGTTAAAGCCGGGTAAAAAGCGAAGAGAGAGACTAACGACAGGACAGTCTCCATTGCGGGTAAAGTGGTAGACAATCCATTGCCAGGTTGAAAAATTGTATTGGTGTCCTACGCTGCCTAATCGAAACTAATCAGCAGCTTGTCTTTTTCTGAAATCAATTTTTTTAATCGTTTCAATCAATCCTGATTTTGGAACATGTCATGTAGCAGCTGGTGTCAAGAATCAAACTAACAAAATTAGGTAATTTTGGCACAGCGATTAGTAAAATCAGGTTTGAATATGAAAAAAAAGCGTTAGTTGTGATCCTTTTTTTCTTAGAAAAAATGAAAAGATTTCGGTTACTGATTAACAATGTAAAGCAAAGTTTCTCTCAGCAGATACAATGTTTCACGAGATGATTTCTAAATTCTTTCTTACAGGCTAGTACCTGATCTTTTGACTCCACCTGTCCATTCTACTTCGATGTTGCTTCTCACAGAAGCTCTTGTCAGGGCCGCAAAAACGAACAAGAAAACTACTTTTTTCATTGCTAATGAGTCACTCTTTTCAGAAGGACTGAGCTGTTTCTTTGAACATCACTAGCTGCCCAGTTTAAGTAATAATCCGGTCTTATCTCGCGGGTGACAGTATGACACATCAGGGGAACAAGTACTATTATTAAAAATAAACAATTATATTTTGTTTTTCCATGGTTGAGCCGAGGTTATTCCACAGCGGGTTGGCAAAGACGATGCTGGAAATTGATTGTTCGTCTTTGTATCTCACTAGGGTTAGGACGACTAAAATTTATCGCATATTTTTCGGCCATAGAAACAGCTCGAGACAGCAGTTTGAACATAAACTGAAAGAACGTTTTCATTGCAATAATTGCAATTTCTGTGCAATAAAGTACCATCAAGTACCCCCTTTTAAGTAAATTTTGGTAAGTACAGATGGCAGCTAATGTCGTAAAGAACGTGACAGATTATTAATGCAAGCCACCAAGTCCTATGTGAGGTGCTTATCTGACCAGTAAAATTCACGTTAAGTAAATTTGCCTAGCAGCTTTAATGCCATTTACTCTTCAAGACAGATGGCCACTTAAAAAAGAAAGAAAACATTTATTTAGCAATAATGGTCGGATGTTTGTGTTTTGTACTACCACAGCGGCGTACATGTAAACCACATGTCTTTCTAGCCATTTTACTACTTGGAGCAGCGGTCAATATAAATTCGTAATCGAAGGGAAATTTCTAAATCCTGAAAAACAAGTAAGACCAAGCTAATGTTTTGTAAAAGAAGTTTCATTTCAATGGTCACACGGCCGGATTTCATCATGACAGAACAAAAGTGCCATGCTAATTTGACTTCTAGAACTCCTTCGTACTCTGACTGACAAGTAGACTTTCTGGTGACTCATTGTCAGCTAACGCACTCTTTTAGCAAAAGCAATGCAAAAGGCCACTTGCACTAAGAGCTCAAGTGACTAACGCTTCCTTTAAACAATGACTTGGAATCCTGTTGATGACAAAAATTGACATAGCGCATAAAAATTATCTTACACCCGAAATTTGAGAGGAAACGCAGTTAAGGAAGATATTTTATGGCACTTTGATTTTTCCACAAAGTAGTATGATTTGTATTGGCTGCCATGTTTGAGGGCATACTCTTGCCCTCCAACATGGCGGCCAAAAGTACTTTTTGCTTGTATCTTGTTAAACGTTTGATAGTAGCGCTCAGATGTGCCGTAAACGGTACCACATCATCTTTTCAACAATTTTCCTTGATGTTTAGGTGCAAAGTTTCTGTTCAGAAAGAGGTAATTCATAGTTTTAAAAATCACATTTTCGTCACATGACCAGTTACAAGCTTACTCATTTGAAGAAGATGGTGCGGATTTGAAAAACTAAGTCACTATTATTTTGTTTAAGATATGACCCACTAATAGTTTTTTTGAAGGCAAAATCATATAACTTTCATTTTCATGAAAATGATGTCACATGACCTCTTAGTGCAAATGGCCTATTGAAGATTGCTCTGATGGTCTATTTTTCATAAGAGAAAAGAATCTTATAGACTAATGACATACTATTCGAACCAGGCGAACAAGTGGAACGGACACCGAGAGTTTTTATGCTACCGATTTTTGTGGCTTTTCCTCGTAGTTAACTTATTGATTAAATCACTTCCTTCCTCGCGCGAAGAGAAAGTCGTTAAGGAAAAATCGGATGACAAGACTTATCGTTCAAGGTATTTTCTACAGTCCTCTAAGTAAATAAAAAGTGCAGTTTTTTAACCTTTTCATGAATGATGACTTGAACTCCTGTTAATTAATTGGTAACGTCGGGTAATAATAAAAAAAAAATACTAATGGTATACTGAGCTTTTACGCCATTTAAATTGATCGCTCTAGTCCGATGATAGGGGGGATGAGCAAACCGGTAGGCGTTTTAGCAAAAGATTAGAAAGATTATTGCCTGAGAGAAAGCTCTCTATTTAGGGTAGTCGCGAGAATCCAAGCGAGAGCCGCACGTGAAAGGAGACGCGAGTACGTGGGGCGCGTTCTTCTCACGGTTCGCTTAATTATAGCTCGCCATAATCGGAGAGTTTGCTCGCGGGCTCGAAAGATTAGCAACAGGATGAAGCAGGTTCGTGGGATAGTCCAAAATTTATTACGAATCCAAGAAACCAATATCAAACTAAAGTTCCTGCTTCATAAATGGCCAATTTTTCCACTATGGCCTTAAATTCAATTAGATATATCTTTACTGTTACGTTATGTAACAGGGATTTTATTTTGGAGGAATGGCGCTTCATGGTTGAGCGAGAGATACCCTGCATCCGCTTTATTTCTGGTTTTGACGATCACTAACAAGGCTAGTTACAGGAAGAACTCAGAACTCTTAGTGAAATTCTTATCGTCATAGATCATGCGAGTTACAGTCTACAGTATATTTGAACAACTTAATTTCCTTTACGTAAGATTATACCAAATAGATTCCCATTTATAAATGGAGGAAATTGTAAATATGCTGATCTCACCACCTTTACAATCAAAAGCTCATGTTATATTCCATTCGATTTGTCGCTTTCCACCTCGTCTTCAAGGCTGTGATGGTATTATCGTTAGTATAAATATTATTGTAACTTTATCTTAAAGCTTTTGCAATACTGTAAGTACATAAAGTCATGCAAATAAAGCCTATGTTGTCGTCGTCTACAAAATTGCTAAAACATGCGGCCTGATAGTGTCCGTATTAAAGAGGATTTTACTTCACAAAATGTGTCAAGCTAAGTGTTACCCTGACCTCCCTAAATGAAAGTCGTATCTATGATAAAATGTACAAGTGAAGCTATAAACTATGACCACACGAGTTGGCCGTAGCTTTTTCTTAAAATATGGGTTAAGATATCCTTCGCCAGCTCTCTTCTATATCTGAAATTTCGCTTCTATCAATTCACGCTTACGAAACGATTTCTAGTGATTCTGGCTAAAAAATTTGTCGTTTTCGGTCTTACAACATATACCTCTCTAATTCTACAGGCTGTTCGTGTCGGATACGTCACCGAAATGCATTGACCGAGAAGGCTTGGGAAGATGACGTATAGGGACTAGGCAAAAAATGTGTAACATGAGAATAAACCCCTCCTAGGATTTAGATGAAAAAAGCTAGCAGATAGTTCGATTCTAAGTCGGTTATTTAACTGGAGCGTTATGACTCCTTGTCGCAGCTTCTAAAGGCGATTTTCCGGTGATTTAGGAATAGAAAAGAAAACCACTGATAACAACAAACAACAACAACAACAACAACACACTTTATTAACTAAAAGAAACAGATAGTTACCATTTGAGTAGTACCTACCCACAAACAGTTAAAAAAACTATATGATTAAGTTAGGCTTGTTACAACTATAATATCATAGGTGACGAATTACTCCTTAATTTTGGTGCGAAATTTCGGCGATAATTTGTAATTTCACATGTGAAATTACAAAATTGCCATGGCAACCTTCCGTACGTCTCAGTGTCAAGATGGCGACGAAGTTTTAAAATGTTATGAATGAAGATGCCAGGGCATATAAAGACGCTTTAGAAAACCTGAACTCACCAAAGAGCACATCAAGAAGGATTCTAACAGGTATTTTGTAGAAAAATTCTAAACTTGAGTCAAATTTAAGCTCTAAATGTTCGAGAGAGTGGAGTTCTCGATCCGCAATCCAGGATAAACATGTCAAAAATCCAAGATTACTAAAGTAATTCGTCACCCATGATATTAATAGGTAATCAAATGGTATACTCGTGAAATTAGGGAATAATTTCACTTACGTTTTGTCCAAATCCTTATAATTTCCCAAGCCTTCAAGTGAAATTATTCCCTAATTTCACTCGTCACCATTTGATTACACATACTTATTTTTTTTGGCGCTATACATATTTGTACTTACAAGGTTTTCAAATAAGCAGCAGTAAAAGATTACAACAAATAGTAAATTAAAATAATTATAGCAGAAATGAAAAACTGCACACAAAAATAGCAAAACAAAATGACTAACATGAGAATAGGGTTAGCTGCCCACCAAAACCGATGTAATTCTTGGAGCAAACCCCTCGAACTGCCAAACCTCTCTGGTCTGGTAAACTAAAACTTTTCTTTGAGAAAAATGGAAAAATGAAAATAAAAAAATTCCAAGTGTACTCTTAACTTTAATCGCTGTTCAAGACAAGAAATCTGAGTCGTTTCATCACAATCTCATTTTAGTAATAGCATAATCGTCTTCGTCTTTTGAAGCCTTCGGGAACATCTGCTATGTTCGGGATGTCCTCTGGATCCTGGATCTCCTAAGATCAGATTGCCTGAAAAAATTTCGCAGCTATAATCTTCTTTGTGGCATGTTATTCTTGCACGTTTCGATGTTCAAGCGGCCTAGTTACAATTTCGACTGAAAATGAAGGAAGAAAGAATCGGTAACTATCATAAAATGGTTAAAGCAAGCAACTCATACCCACAAAACAGTCGCTACTTTGATTTTCAACATTTTACTACAAGGTGTTTCCCGGCTATCGAGGCATGGTAAATATTAAATACGCAGTTTGAAAGCATAATTGCTGTTTGAAATTAATAAAGGGGGGTTCGTTTGACTTGATTTTAGCCCGCGTAGCAAGCGTTTCCAATCGAGTTATTGCGCGAAAGTTAGAGCGGAAGCTCTCTTCCCAACTTTCTCGACGAACTCGCGCGGAAACGCTTGCTACGCAGGCTAACTTGATTTCGGAATAGAAGAACGAAAGAAATTCCTAACGAAAAATAAGGCAATCGAAACCATATCTATGCAACCATATGCAACAAGAGAATATACTTTCTTATATTACTTAAGCGTGCAAATGTTCCAGCACACGATATCATTTGTTTCTATCTTACTTGTATAAGGCCAGTTCTAGAATATTGTGCCCCACTGTACCATCACGCACTGCCTGACTACTTAAGTAAGGATATTGAACGCATTCAAAAACGTGCACTATCAATTTTTTCGCCAGGCCTTTCTTACGATGACAGCCTGTCAATGTTCAACATGGCATCTTTAGAGGACAGACGCATATATCAATGTGAAAAACTGTTTGATTCTATTGTATCTAATCCAGATCATAAGGTTGCATCATTTTCTCCTTCCCAAGAACTATTGTCATTATAACCTCAGAAGACAACGTAACTTTGCAAATCCAGTCATGCGTACCAAGCGTTTTTCTAGCACATTTCTGCCATCTATGTGCAGGCGTTAGCAGTTTTTGTATAAAGTTTAATTCATCTAAAGTATAACTTTTATAAATTAGAATTCTAAAGTATAATTTTGTAGATTTTTTTTTTTAAATTGGTACATTTTCATATTTTAAGTTTTGCATCAATTGTATTTGTAAATTCATGCAATTCAGCCTTGGAGGGCTGCCATATGATTTGAATTAAATCTATCTATCTATCTCTATCTATCTCTAGCAACTCTGGATAGAGCGCCCACCTGGCCTCGATTGTTGAAAGACTGGCATGGATAGCGCTATCCATCGGATAAATCTATATTTAGTGGATAGTACAATTAGTTTCCCCAACACTGATCCGCTGGATAGTAATTTATCCGGTGGATAGCGCTATCCAACTCTGAACAACTGGGGCCTGGTTTCTGGGAATGATATGGGTTAGGAACCTGTCGGAGACTGGGCTCAAGTTTTGATTGCTATGTCCTGCCACGCTTGTAACACAACAAAAAAATGTGTGTCTTGTTCTTGACTAAGTTTTGGTTGAAGACGATATGTCATAACATATACCTGAACATTTTGTCGCAGTTGCAACAGGTGAGCTCGCATCCATCTTTCCATTTTCTATCCCTACATTGGTCTCCGTTCATCCGGGCCTTGAAACAACGATAAGTGGGTTCAATATCTTTACACGCCGCTTAAAAAAAATAAAATAAACTTTACAAAAAGGCAAAGCTGTTAAGAGTTCCATCAAAAGTAAGGAGAAATTCCCTACAATACTAACGTCAGCCAGGGCGTTTTCTACGTTTATTTTAAGAGACAACAAGGGTCCTTTTTCGGTAACAATGAAGGCCCCGCTCTAGTGTAAAGAGGAGTCATTTCAAAGGTAAGTACTGGATAGGACTGTTGTCGACAAAGACAGACGTTTCGACAACCTGTGCGGTAGTCATCTTCAGAGTCAAAGTGAGTTGTATCACGCCATTTGATGATATTTAACTCTGGTTATTGACCTGATTGGTCAATTAAGTCGCGATGTTATTGGTCGTCTGTTAGTTAAGCCGTGATGTTATTGGCTGACTCGAAATGTCATCGGCGCGATTGGCGCCATCAGTCGATTGTACGGGTCAATAACCAGAGTTAATTACCAGTTTTTCAGGTCATGCTCAATTTACTTATACAAAGTATATGTATGTAACATAGCGTAAAAAAGATAAATGTCATATTTCATCGACAATGGCACAAATACTTGAAGCTTTCCACAAGTTGCTGGCCGGCAACTTTTTGGCAACTTCTCGTATTTCGAGCCATTTTTTTCCTTTCGAGCAACTTTTTGCTTTCTGAGCAATTTCTCTAGTTATCTTCTAATTCTGAGATATCGGAGCAGCTTTCAGAGCTTAAATTGGCCTTTTTTCCATATTTCACAATGTTATAGTAGACAATTTATGATGAATTTCCTGTAAAAAAAAGAAGCCAAATCCTCCCCCTGCCGGGCTGCTAGGTCAGCGGTTTTTAGAGAAAATTCAAAATGGTGAACGAAGATTCACATCCGACTGACTTGAGTGTCTCGGGTGAAGAAGGTCAATCACTAATTTTATTAGCTCATTGCATTTTTTTTGTTTTAATTGAGGAGAAAGTTTTTTCCTAACCCTGGTCACTCCGCAAAATAGTACAAAAATGCTTAGAAATCTTACTTTGTTGTACAGTTTGCATATTTAGCCCCCCGAGGGGGACCTACTTGGCTTAATTTTTGCTGGATATGTGCCGCTGACCTCTCAGAGTCCCTACCCCATTATAGTCTATTCTCTGGCCAATCATAGACCCATCTTAGTCACTTTTGGGCAAATATTTAATTTTCGCGATCCCGACTTAGTCCGCACTTTCTATTTATGTATCTACCTTATCAATCCTTTAAATAGGTCATCCTAAAATGAATTGACCCATTTTTTAAATTGAATGAAGAACACTTTACTTTTCACCTACAGTAAAAACATTCTGGTACGTTTGCTAACCGTAAATGTGAAGAACTGTCTTACCCAAAAAATCAGAAAATGTGCGACCCGATTCTAGTAACTCTTTTTAAAATGCAACCCCCTTGTAGTAGTCAATTCAGTCGTAAAAATGCGACCCCATCCAGCGGCACATCCCAATTAGTCTCTTATAGCCTGCGTAGCAGGCGTCGAAAGGGGTAGGGGGTAGGGGATAGGGAGGAACGCCACGCAGCCTAAGTCTCTTATAAGGAAGTACCGTCCCCCCCGGGGATTTTAGCATCAGACCAAAGAACGTCTTTGTATTTTCGAGCAGCTTTTGAGCTACTTTCGTTACAAAAAGCAACTTTTGCTTGTTTTTATGAGCAAATTTTGAGCAACTCTTTTTGAAATTACGGGAAAGCTTATGGAAAATCTCGTGCAACTTGTGGAAAGCCCTGCAAATACTCATATCCGGCTGAATGTTTGCTGCGCTGCCATGGTTCGTGTGACTGCTGCGAAAGTTTCGATAAGTCAATTTCGAATATCAAAATTCATACCTGACATCGGCTGAAGGGTATTAAAAAAAGAAATCGCATCAGGATTCAGAGATTAAATGATTCATGAGCCAAGTAGGAATTTTCTCGTCGTCACTGGCGACGAGATCGATCGATCTTGCAATTAAAAGGTTTGCGAAGACGCCTTGAACACTGAAGCATAAGAGTGTTTGTTCCTGATTAGACGCAATATGTATCGAGTATATCAATGAAGCCCTTACCGGCGCATTCTCCACAATATTCGTCACATTCACCTTTGTGCTTGCGACACAAGTATCTAGGGTCGTCACCTTGAATCACATCCTTGCAGTCGGGTCTTTTGTCTTTGCAATCTGTTGATATTTAGAGGATAGAGAGACTGAGAGGTTAGGAGACAAGACTTTGGCCTAATTTGAGGGAAATAGTCAGGAATATTGAACGGAGGGAATGTCTTTGTGTACGAACAATTTCTCGCGACATGAATGATTCCAGTGGCCTTTGCTGCAAATTAGAATTCGATTTGATTTCTATATGGGAATCCCTCGCGAGTCAAAACTTACAAATGGATAAAATAACATAAGCAACAAACGAATGAAAAGAGACCAGAAACGAAATTTTACTGGGGTTGCATGATAGGCATTTAAGTTTAGCCATAAGCGCGAATTTAAAGCCTAATCATAACAATAGCAAAATTCTCAAATCTGATTGGCTATCAACTGCCCTGATTTCAGTGAATTGAACAGTACGCGCCTTCACGCGCGCGCTTAAATGACTTTTCTTTTCGCCGCCAGCAAAAAAACCTTGGAATTTCTTGTATTTTGATTTAAAAAAAGAGCCTTATATATCTGAAATTTGTCAAAGTTATGATTAATTGGTAACAGGACTGAGTGGAGTCCAATTTGGTCTGCAATCATACTCGTGATTAAACAAACCGGGAGTTTGTTAAACACCCGTACGACTACAGACCGAATTGGACTCCACTCAGTCCTGTTACCTTGACCAATATCGCCATAATAAGGCTACATTCACAATACCGCATAGCTTTTCTTGCCAACATGCAGAGCTATCCGATGCGGCATAGTGTGAACACCTATCCGATATGTGACTCTCCAATTTAGAGAACGGTGCGACCCAGCTTCGCTCCGTTACAGAAATCACGCCGAAATCACTGTTCTCATTTGTGAACAGAGGCTCTGCTGAGCAGTATGGTTTTTCTGCCGGCGCAAAAGTTGTTCGGTATAGTGTGAACACTACGCCTACGCAGTCTGTAGATCCCGATTCAGTTTCTATTAACAAAAAGTTTAAAATGTGATGTTTTCTAACATTTCGGGCTTAGCCCTTGGCCTCTATTGATGGAAATAAACTTGCCTGCGAATACCGCAGTCTCTCTTTGCTAACGCTTCTGGTGGCGAGGAGCTAAGCGAGAAGAGACGGCCATACGTATTCGAAGACTATAAAACACTAAAAAAATGGTCTTTAATTTTCCTTTGATGAAGGGCTTCGGCAAAATGTCAAGAAACATGGCATTTCACTCACTTTTGTTGGTGGTAAAAACATTTTAATCGAGATCTAATCCACATCTTTTGTCTATTTTAACCGCCTGACCAAGTTTTAACTTCCTTTTTAAGTAAAAGGTGTGTACTGTTTACTATATCTACCCAGGTTTTGACACTTTTTGATATTTCTTTACCGATAGCCTGCGTAGCTGGCGGTATTGTGTAGTAGTCGAGTGAGATTTGGCGGCGGAGCCGTTGTAATATAGTCGAGTGATACTTGACGGTGGAGCCGTCCCTTTTTTTGGAACACGGCTCCGCCGCCAAAACTTTAATCTCGCACCCACACAATACCGCCAGCTACGCAGGCTACTTTACTGACTATCACCTTATCAGCTATTTAAGTACAAGTGTCACGCATCCTTGACGGTTTTTCCGTTTAACATTCATTACATCTACCCAGACCTGAGAAGTATCACACCACTTTTTTCCCCCACACAGTTTTTTTTCTGCACTTAAGCCATTTGAAACCGCCGGATCCCCCGCTCGGGGATGACCGGGATAAGGCGGGGCCTTTCACTTCATATTCACTCCACTTTTCTCAGGAAATACGCCAGAAATAACGGTCTTTGATTCCCGGGCAACGCGCTGACCAAGAAGCCTGAAGACTCTGGGTACGACAGTGTAATTTTGCATGCTTTTCTGATCGATTCTAGCAGCAAAGAAATATTTGTCGTGGCTTCAAACTGCGATCGTGGATAATAAAGTGGAACTAATCGACTACTCGGTTAAACTTACTTAACGGTAAACAAGTCACTAGTGGCTAACAACCGTTTAAAAGGATGAAACGACATAATTTTTGATAGGGGGAGGGGTGTTAGAAAATTATTGCGTCATTGTTGCGGAAAAACTTGTC